TAAAATTCATTCTCCGCGGGCCTTAACTTTGACACATGTGCTCTAAGGCTTACGTCAGGAGCAGTGGTCGCCGTAGTAACAGCGCCCGGGAACCCATCTCCAGATGTTGATGCTCGGCTTGGTCAGGACCAGAGCTGGAAGATTTTTAGGCACAGGAAGAACACGCAAACTCCATTCAGAAAGGCCCTGTTATGACCGGGATTCGAACCCAGGACCTTCTTGCTGAAAAGTGCTATCCGCTCAGCCACGGTGCCGCCCCATTAATGTGCCTTGAGAGGTTTTTTTGGTGTGAAAATTAAAGAAATTAAAAATACTTCTTTGCACTTTTTTGATGTTCTAGATCGTACACTTTGCTGAGATAGACTTTGATTTGTGAAAAAAGACTGCAGTTACATTTTTGTATCGGTTTCAGTGGTTCAGTGCTCAGAGCAGGTTTTCATGGCCCTAGTTTAAAACAATAAATTGGCTCAATGTTGCTGAATATTATGAATCCGTCCATGTACAAATAAACACTTGGCCTGTGCCACGTCAGTCTCCCACAATCCGACTTCCTTGATTGCAATCCTTTCTTACAATGATGCTAGCGTTGATGTAGTCCTGTTTGTTGGGGTTGGTCTCAGTCTTCAGCTTCACTCGGGTGTGATCGTCTGGAACAAAGCCAGACGCCAAATCAATAAGAACAGATGAATTAATGATGAGGCCGTTCCAAATTATTGTGACAAATGAGAAGCTTCAGTGATGTTTCTCCCCATCTGCGGCTTACTTTTAAGTAAGTTTTATTTATATACCGCCTTTTCACTGCAGATCTGAGTCTCAAAGCGGTTTACAATTGTTAATTTTGGGCATTTGTCTCTCACTCCACACAGAGATGGGAGGGGCCAGTACAGGAGGCACATGCCAGAACTATTGTACATATTTTTAGTGGTAGGGGAAACCGGAGTACCCGGAGGAAACCTACGCAGACACGGGGAGAACATGCAAACTCCACTCAGAAAGGCCCTGGTCCGACCGGGATTCGAACCCAGGACCTTCTTGCTGAGAGGCGAGAGTGCTATCCACTCAGCCACCGTGCCGCCTTTTTAAAATGTGTGTCTAATTATACTTTGTGTGTGTGTTTGTGTGTGTGTGTGTGTGTGTGTGTGTGTGTGTGTGTGTGTGTGTGTGTGTGTGTGTGTGTGTGTGTGTGTGTGTGTGTGTGTGTGTGTGAAGGTATTCAGTTCTAGTGCAAACTATGAATTATATAACAAAAAAACCTCTGGTGCACATACATACAAGTGCATATATATACACACATATACATACAGACAAACCTGCGTACAATCAAACATACACTGTTTAATGACACTTACAGGGGATAGACGCTGCGTATCTGTTTTTGTCTTTGTTGATTTCTTGCTGACCCACAGCGACAGAACTGGGCTCGGCCTGATAAGAGCACAGGGCCTCCCACTCTTTCTGAAGACGGCCTTTGTTCCTCAGGTGGTCTTCCATATACGCCTGAGGGGAAACAGTTCATTATTTATAACGTTAATAAGTTATAAAAGTAGCACACTGACCACTGTTTTTGTTGTTTTAATTTGCGATTAAAAAAACATGATACGTTTTTCTCAGCAGTACAATCGCTGGCCTCACATTTGCACAAAACAATCTGACATCGTGAACGTCAATTCTGATTGGTCAGACACGCTGTCAATCACTCTTCAGCTGCTAAGCAACAAGCAGGCCCACCCCATGAGAGTAGAGAATTGCCCCTCAAAATGTGATCCACCAAACGGTCGAGGAAACCATTTTAAAATTATGTTATTTCTCTGCCCATTTGTTTCAGGCACAGTGGGATTTTAGGTGATTTTCATTTAATTTCAAGAGTAAAAAAAAAAATCATCAAATGAAGAAAAACAAATGTCTAGATTCCTAACAGTAAACGTGATCACGATAGTCATCTGAAAAATCACAGTGAGCAGTTCGTAAAATATACTACACTATACTCTACCATAGTAGAGTATAGTGCAGTCGTTCCAGTTTAGTATAGTTTAGTATGGTTTAGTAAGGTTTAGTATAGTATAGTTTAGTATGGTTTAGTTTTGTTTATTATAGTATAGTTTAGTAAAGTTTAGTATATTATAGTTTAGTATGGTTTAGTATAGTTTAGTATAGTTTAGTATGGTTTAGTATAGTTTAGTATGGTTTACTATAGTTTAGTGTAGTATAGTATAGTTTAGTATGGTTTAGTATAGTATAGTTTAGTATGGTTTAGTATAGTTTAGTTTTGTTTATTATAGTATAGTTTAGTATAGTTTAGTATGGTTTAGTAAGGTTTAGTATATTATAGTTTAGTATGGTTTAGTATAGTTTAGTATAGTTTAGTGTAGTATAGTATAGTTTAGTATGGTTTAGTATAGTATAGTTTAGTATGGTTTAGTATAGTATGGTTTAGTATAGTTTGGTATAGTTTAGTATAGTTTAGTATGGTTTAGTATAGTTTAGTATGGTTTAGTATAGTATAGTTGTACCAGTATCATGTGTTTAGTATAGTATAGTATAGTATAGTATAGTTTAGTATAGTTTAGTATGGTTTAGTATAGTATACTTTAGTATAGTATAGTATAGTATAGTTTAGTATAGTTTAGTATGGTTTAGTTTGGTATAGTATAGTATAGTTTAGTATGGTTTAGTATAGTATAGTATAGTTTAGTATGGTTTAGTATGGTTTAGTATAGTATAGTTGTACCAGTATCATGTGTTTAGTATAGTATAGTTTAGTTTAGTATGGTTTAGTATGGGTTAGTATAGTATGGTTGTACCAGTATCATGTGTCCAGTGGAGATGTCCATGTTGGACTGGGCCGGCTCCTCGCTCCATGAGGGGGTGGAGCTGTGGGTGGAGGAGGGGCTGTGTTGGGGTCCGTCGCTGAACTGGGAGGAGACGCTGCTGACTCTGGAGGTGTCTGTGCCTCTGCGGCCCCCGGCCCCTGTCCCGGCGGGGGCCACGGTCCCACTGCTGCCCCCCCCACAGTCCTGACGGCACAGGGACGACTTAGAGGCCATGTGCTGCCGACATAACTCCTGATGAACACACAAGCAGCATGGCTAACCTCCACCACACACACCTCTCTCTGCATCTGTTCTGTCTTAACCTCTACATTACTCAACATACATTTGGTAAATAACTATCTATTTCTAATCTTTTTATCTCTGTGCAGCACTTTGCAAACTGGTTTTATAAAATGTGCAATAAGTGGATTGGATTGGATCTATGAACTTGTCTTCTTGACTTTTCAAAGCCTCTTAAATAATCACTACACAATTGTAAAGGAAACAGTTTGTTGTTCTATGTTTTGATTATTGTAAAAATATGTATATACTAATAATGGTATAAATTAATATAATAAATACTAATATAATGATCTAATAGCCATACATCATGTTCAAGCTAACCTGGACTAAAATCTAAATGATTAAGTTATGCTGATTTTTATTTGGAATGGGGGCCTTCGATTGTATAAACATTTTTTAAAATAGCTAAAACTCCACCTCCCAATTAGTTTGTATGTGTCCTTAAAGCTGGGGAACCTAAATTTGTAATGAAATCCATTTAGCTAATACTTTGCCATCATCTATCTATCTATCTGTCTATCTGTATCCAAACGTCATTATTTATGAATAATAACACAACTTTTGCACTGTTTTCAAATAATGACATAAACGAGCAACTCTGGGGAGATCACAAATGTACAGTTCAGGCACGGCAGCCCAGGAATTTATAGAGTAACTGGTGGCTTCTCATCCACAACTTCCACAAAAGACTCACAGATGTGTCACAGATGTTAAAAAAGCAAGACACAATTTTGAAAACTGGAGGATGAAGAGAAGTTTATGTTGTCATTATTATTTGAAAATAGAAAACTATATAAATGTCTTCACAAAACTACAAACAATGAGTGAGGAAAAAAAGTTCATAATCTCCAAAATAAGGCCAAAACATGCACTATAAGAAAAAGAATGAAAGAACTAAAACAAAAACACATCTGTAGCGATGAGGGAATGGCTCGATGCCCGTGTTGTGTGTAGTTTTCTGACCTGATAGTCAAAGTGTGTCTCTGCTCCCGCCTCTGGACCCAGCCCGAGCTTCCCATTGGCCACCTGCTGAGCGTGGTGCCTAAAACAGGCCATGCCCATCGCCACCACCAACACCCCGCCCACGATCGCCATGGAAACCAGAGTGATGACCGTCCCACTCGAGCCCTGAGAAACCCTGGTCACCTGTGGGAGACCCCGAGCGTTTGTCCTCTGCCAAGAAAAACAAGGGGAAAAAGTAGAATATGGAGTAATTTGTAATTTGTGAACAGATAACGTTATTTGCAGACTCAAGGTCCAGATCAACAACAAAAAAAAAAAAAAAAAAAATTTAGCATTTCTGTTGAGATGTTTTCATAAGAGATTTACTAAAACTATAATTCTCACTATTGTCATTATTTGTTCAGGATTAGCTCCAGAATCACTTGTAATTTAATGTCTTGAAAGATTAAGACATCGTACAATAATATTTGTACAATAGAATTTCAAAGTTACCTTTGTGGTCTGTAGTGAAATATATTAGTTCGTGATGAACGAATCCCATTGGTTTATTTTTATCGGCCCGCTCCAAAATATGTTTTATTAATTTTTGGAGACTATAGGCATCAGGTCAATTCCATTACTATTTGAAAACACATGATAACTTGACACTTTTAGGGTTTAGGGACGTTTTCTCACAATATTTAAAAAAATTCATCTGGAAAAAATCACTGACTGCATCTTTAATTTCATTTTTACGTACTGCTCCTTTAAGAATATAGTGATACGATATATGAACGAATAATGAACCTGTCTGTATTGGTCTTAATCCATTAAAATGCTGCTGTGATCCTGTTTAATGCACTATTGCTGCCATATGTCTCACTTTGTCCCAAATCTCCATCTCTCCTTGACAGCAGATTTTTCCAATATACATCACACACATAAAAATCAAGTCATTCCTTTCTATTTGAGCACATGTGTTTGTTTAAATATGACAATACAATTTTTACATCCACTGCTAAAAGGTTCAAGGCAGAATGAGGAGTTGTAAATGTCAATCAACCCACAACCATATACTACATCCATACACTGCAAAACCCTGCGGCTGCTCGTCTATAAAATGGCTCCTCCTCATTAGTTAAGACTGAAGCTGCCTTTGTGACAAAAATGGTGAGAAAAGAATGACTCCCTGGTGATTTCACGGTTTGATTCCTCTAATATCTTTCCACGCTGCTGATATCGTCGTATATTTCCTGCTCCTTTGGTTGGATAAACAGAGGGATGAGGTTAATGACACCTGTTGCCATAGCGCCTGGATCTGGGAGGCGGAACACACACACACACACACAGCGCCATGGCAACACGTGGAATATTCTGTCTCGCTTCTGTGACGCCATCGAGACTTGCCCCAGTGGCTGCGACGACTCATTAACATTAACGCGCTGTGATAGAAAGAAAAAGGAAAAAACGTATCTTTTGTGAAGGAAAAAATGCACCTTTTCACACGTACACTTTAAAGAGGTCTGGTATGAGCAACGGATTGTAATCAGTGGCAGCTCTGGGGGATTCATAAAGAGGGGCAAAGGCAGGGTTTCTATCGTGTGATGAAGGGAAGAAGAAGCTCTGACGCAACATGGCTAATATTAATAGGTTGAAAAAAAACACTGTAAAAAGTGACAAAAAGTAGGTCAAAAATAGGTTGAATTAGTGCCTCGCTGTGTAATGAGGGTAAAGTGGGCGTCCTACACGATGTCTCACAGGGGCCACGGCTCCTCTCTGCACTTAGCTCTATGTAGCTCTAATTTTTCTCTAAGACCATGATCAATGTCATGAATTGGAGGCTGTACTAATAGTAATAATGATAATGCACAGTACTTATACAGTGCTTTTCATGACACCCAAAGATTCCACAGATTTTAGCTCCCAAGGGTTTATTTTATTTGGCACCACAAGAAGTGACATTTAGGCCAAGATTACTCAAGATTACCCTGGGAATATGAAGGGTAATCTTGGGTAATCTTGGCTGAAATGTCACTTCTTGGGGGCTAAAAGCTGCGCAGAGTCATTTCCATTCGACTTTTTGCACAATACCCATTTGCAGATGTGCGTGTCAACCTCACTCTTGCTCTCAAAGATTTCATGAAGTCAATCTCGTTGTGCAGAGAAGCAGTAAAGCAGATACTTCTCTGAGGTACCTGGTGTTCCCAAAGGTCTCCCATTACGGTACTAACCAGGAGCAGCCCTGCTTAGCCTCAGAGATATGGCCGGACAAGACACCACCTACAGGTGAAGGACATGTAGGTGGTGTCAGGAGTAACGTAAATGTTTCAGACAGAAGTGAATCTTTGCTTTTACGAGGCATAATCTTTTCATTATTAAATATGAACTTTTAACTGAGCACAGTTTTAGTCAAGTACTTTTACTTGAGAACAATCAATGGGGCACAAAAATGTGAAAATATTTCATCATGCATTTACATCCTGTTCATGACGGTGGAAAATAGGGATGAGTCATAGTCGTAAAAACCCAAGTAAGAAATATGAAAGTATTTACATTTCTCTGGAAGAATAAGAAGAAACAGAATATTCATGTTTGTTTTAAAAGCACTGACTTCTTCCTGTGGATCTTTCAGTGCTTTTTGTGTTTCCTTCAAATTGTCACTGCTAATGTCCTCTAAAAATAATGGGTGACTTTATCTTGTTGCCGTGACGACTGCTCCTTGGAGATAAGCGCCGTGAAAAGTCAAAGGAAGTCTCCCGCTGAGACTCCTGGTGCAGATATATATTTATTAATATTTGTATCATACCTCGCCCACTCCAGTCTGGACAATCTTCAGGCCAGTCTCGGTCTCCAGGAAACTCTTCTCTGACACTGTGAAGGGAAGACAGAAAGAAGGAATTTAGCACTTTAAAAAAAATGATCCAGTGTGCTTTCAAAGTTGAATCCATTTTGAGCTGAAAAATGGTAAAATATATTGTAAATAAACTGCTTGTATATATGTATGTACTGTTTGTATATGATGTATATATAATGGAAACACAGTCGGCAAAGTAAACATAACGGAATCTCCATAAACAAAAGAATATAATTATTGCAAACGACAAATGAATGAAACAAGATAATTTAAGATATCCACATAAACACAGCTTTGAAACACAGCTAAACACTAAACACTAATCCTGTCTCACCAGCTTCATAATGTCACCGGGATGTTTCATCTATATTTATGATAAACGACTTCCACAAGACGTCTGCTGTTGTTAATGTGGATGTACAGCAGTATTTTATTTGACATTCGTGGCAAAAAGTTTATTTTGGTTAAAGATTCCAAGATTCCAATCCTTCTTTAACTGATAACAGTCGTTCAGATATATTTGAATTTCTAAATTACTTTTCCAGCCTCTAAATCTTGTTATTGTTTTCATTTTGATGTCCCGCCCTCCACCGTTTCACCAATCAGAAAGTCTGTGATCCGGGCGCCAGAACTCACCGTGTGGAGCTAATCTCACTGGTAAAGTACCATGTGTAACTAGAAAAGGTCTCGTTATGATTCTCAAATCATTAACGACAAAACAAGGAATAAAACCAGGATTTCTATCTTTGTGAAAAAGGTGTTGGTTATAGATTTGTTGTTGACAAAACTCTTGTCTATTCAGCTGTTATGGTCCCAGCTGGATTCGTCTGCATATCTGGCAACCTGAGTCAGGGAGCGTGGGAGAGGCTGCAGTACCACTTTTGGACACATGTTTACATACTGCTCCTTTAAACAATATAAAACGTGTATAATGTTTAAGTTACTTATTCCTACTTTAATGCATTTCTCTCTGTAAATATATGTATTCTTATTTTCTATTGATTTGATGCATTTTTGGTTTTATTGACCTGCTTTTGCCGCCACCTCTGCCGCCGTCATGTTGCGTTCGTTCTGCCTGATGCGAAATGTCAGAGCTGGACCGACCACACTGTAAAAAAACACGACACACACAAATAAGCACAATCCTTTTCCCGCAGACTTTAACATAAAACACACTCAAAAACTCATTCTAACTGCACCTGATGTTGAAGAAACTGCTCGTGGTCAGATGGATTTGATTGGCCAACACCTCCAACAGCTTCTCTCCGTCCTGCATACTCAACGGACTGAAACAGAAGAGATTTATCGATTGAATTGATTGAGTCATTCAGTTCATAATTCATTGTATGTGAATTTATTTCTTTAACACATGGAACCAAGCCAAATCTGGCAACGCAAAGAGCCTCACAGCCCTTTGAAAATACAGTTAAAACCATAGACTGTATATATTAACGGACAGAGTCACGCCTATTTCCGCCGTTCTAACTGATGGGCCAAAAAATTTGCTCCACTGGAGCAATCCAAAATGGCCACGAGTGGTCCCGCCCACAAGAAAATTGTGAAAAAACGCATCTGCGCATGTGTCAGCCGGCGCAGCTCCATTCATTTGAACGAGAGACTTCAAAAATTCTCCGCGAGTAAACTAGAGTGGACCAAAACACCCCCTCAGCATTGACACACATGTGGAACGGAGCTTTGGGCCAAGAGACAACTTTTGGTCCATCCTGTAAAGACGTTTTTGAGAGGTCTGCTAACACTATATGTTAGCATTGGCTAATTCTTCTTCTGGGTCCACCCCCACTGGCCCGGGGTGGTATTGCAGCATGTCAGCGCACGTCATTTTGGCCACTTTTGAGCTGGGACCCGCCCCCACTGGTGAAAATCCCACAGAGGGAGTCAAAATCAATTATTATATGACTTGGATCATACGCGCGCTCTGATTGGTTGATTTACGGTCTGACATTTTCCCATCTCGGACCGTTACCATGACAATCAGTCCGCAGCGCGTATCACATTTGATATCTTTCCTCGGTAAACAAAGAATGAGCGACGAGTTGGAAGAGCCAGAGGAAGTAATAACAGCAAATAACGACGAAAACACAACTCACAACAGTCAAGAAGAGACTGACAACTTCGTTACTGACCAGAAAGGTAAAAACAGGATTAGGAAAACCAAGTCGGAGATCGATATTTGCATAAATTAAAAATAGTCATATAATAAAACATTTATTAACCTCGCTTGCTCGGTCTGTACCTTGGTCTTTTTGCACAGACCTCGTGCTTGTTTAATAAGCCGTTAGTATAAAGATCACAAGAAATATCAAAAACATAAACTTAAATTCACACAAGAATTTAAAAACCTTAAAACATTAAAGTCACCAAAGTGAAGAAGAGTAAAGATAAAATCATTCAGTCGTCCCTGTTTTTGTTCTATACTCTCTTTAAAACGCCTTCTTTTTGTCACTAATGTTCTGTTTGTGTCATTATTGTCATAGTTTTAATTTGTCTGTTTCCATCCATCCATTTTCTTCCCCTTAATCCATTTCTGGGTCGGGGGGGTGGCCAGAGATGCCAGCCAGTCCACAGAGCACCAGCCCCTCACTGATCCTCTTGCAGGTGCTGAGTCCACAGGAGCTGAGATCTTTCAGTGGGAGCTTCAGGCAAAGTGGGGTTAAGTGTCTTGCCCAAGGACACAACGACAGCAGTCATCAGTGGGAGTCGTGAAGTAGGTCTTACGGTGGGCTCGAACCCACGACCTTCAGGCTCAAAGGCCAGTGCTCTACCAACTGAGCTACTGTCGCCCCTTGTCTGTTTCTAAATGTTTAATTTTAGCAGAGGGAGGAGTGTGCGAAGGAGCCTTTTCAGTTTTTGTTCTGTAAATTGTTTGTGTGTGTGTTTGTTTACATGTTTGTATTAAGTTTAGGACCCCCTCAAAAATGTCATGATTCATCTCAAGAGGTTTTCCTTCATAAACTTAATTAAACTTAAACTATTACTACAGGATTTGCACTGTTTATTGTCTTAAAAGTGGGGCTCAGTTGGAAGAGTATTGGCCTTTGAGCCTGAAGGTCGTTGGTTTGAGCCCACCTCGAGACCTTCTCCACCGACTCCCACTGATGTCTGCTGTCGTTGTGTCCTTGGGCAAGACATTTAATCCACTTTGCCTATAAGGAGCGCAGAAGTGATGTTCGCTGCTTGCCTTGATGTATATGTGTATGTGTATTTGTATGCGTATGTATATTTGTATGTATATTTGTATGTGTATGTATATTTGTATGTATATGTGTATGTATATGTGTATGTATATTTGTATGTATATTTGTATGTGTATGTATATTTGTATGTATATGTGTATGTATATTTGTATGTGTATGTGTATGTATATGTGTATGTATATTTGTATGTGTATGTATATGTGTATGTATATTTGTCTGTGTATGTATATTTGTATGTATATGTGTATGTATATTTGTATGTATATTTGTATGTGTATGTATATTTGTATGTATATTTGTATGTGTATGTATATTTGTATGTATATGTGTATGTATATTTGTATGTGTATGTGTATGTATGTGTATATGTATATTTGTATGTGTATGTATATTTGTATGTGTATGTGTATGTATATTTGTATGTGTATGTGTATGTATATTTGTATGTATATTTGTATGTATATTTGTATGTATATGTGTATGTATATTTGTATGTGTGTGTATGTGTATGTATATTTGTATGTGTATGTGTATGTATATTTGTATGTGTATGTGTATGTGTATGTATATTTGTATGTGTATGTGTATGTGTATGTATATGTGTATGTATATGTGTCTGTGTATGTGTATGTATATGTGTATGTGTATGTGTATGTATATGTGTCTGTGTATGTGTATGTGTATGTATATGTGTATGTATATGTGTATGTATATGTGTATGTATATGTGTATGTATATTTGTATGTATATTTGTATGTGTATGTATATTTGTATGTATATGTGTATGTATATTTGTATGTGTATGTGTATGTATATGTGTATGTATATTTGTATGTGTATGTATATGTGTATGTATATTTGTATGTGTATGTGTATGTATATTTGTATGTATATTTGTATGTGTATGTATATTTGTATGTATATGTGTATGTATATTTGTATGTGTATGTATATTTGTATGTATATGTGTATGTATATTTGTATGTGTATGTGTATGTATGTGTATATGTATATTTGTATGTGTATGTATATTTGTATGTGTATGTGTATGTATATTTGTATGTGTATGTGTATGTATATTTGTATGTATATTTGTATGTATATTTGTATGTGTATGTATATTTGTATGTGTATGTGTATGTATATTTGTATGTGTATGTGTATGTGTATGTGTATGTATATGTGTATGTGTATGTGTATGTATATGTGTCTGTGTATGTGTATGTATATGTGTATGTGTATGTGTATGTATATGTGTCTGTGTATGTGTATGTGTATGTATATTTGTATGTGTATGTGTATGTATATGTGTATGTATATTTGTATGTGTATGTGTATGTGTATGTATATGTGTCTGTGTATGTGTATGTATATGTGTATGTGTATGTATATGTGTCTGTGTATGTGTATGTATATGTGTATGTATATTTGTATGTGTATGTGTATGTATATTTGTATGTGTATGTATATTTGTATGTGTGTATGCATCAAACTAAAATTTCCCCATTGTGCGACCTTCTTCTTCTTATTTTGTCCAAACAGAAAGAGTCTACAGTGCAGTCTATATCATATTAAAAAACATCTAAAACTCTTTCGTAAACGTGTAAGAATGAGCCTTGTGAGTCACTTTTTCCCTTTTCTGTCTGAAAAAGCTGATTGAAAGATGTGACAGAAGCCAAAAAAACATGGACAGGACAATTCATCTTTTACATTTGACCCTGACGTTACCAAGGCTTCCGTCAGGAGCAGTGGTCGCCGTAGCAACAGCGTCCAGGAATCCATCTCCGTGTGTTGATGCTCGGCTTGGTCAGGACCAGAGCTGGAGGATTTTAAGTGTATATACTACACTAGGTTACAATCTAGTGGTAGGGGAAACCGGAGCACCTGGAGGAAACCTACGCAGACACGAGAAGAACATGCAAACTTCACAACTCAGAAAGACCCTGTTCTGACCGGGATTATCTACTCAGCCATGCCGCCCCAGATGGATTTTCTTTACATATATGAATGTTTTAGAAGTTTTAAAATCAGGAACCCCAGCTTTAATGCCTGACAACACACATATTTTGTATTGCATCCTTTCTTTCATCTTTTCTTTCATCTTCAGACTATATTTTTAACCTTTAACATGTTTCACGCTTGTATCTTTTGTACATTCTGAGTGACTCTGTCTGTGCCAATAGTCAGTCAAATCTTATTGTATCCTTTACTGTTTGATCTTTTATTGTGACGTACCTCTGGTTGGTGACGATGTATCCGTACTCCTCTTTGATCCCGAGGCCTTGGGAGAGTGCAGCGTTTGGCCTGGCGTGTGGGGGGGGAGGAGGAGAGGCCGGGAGGGGGAGAGAAGGGGTCTGTGCAGGAGCCGTGGCTGCAGCAGAGGAGGTGGCAGGAGCAGGCGCCGGAGCCAGGGGCCGCTGGGATTTACTCGCCACGCTGACCATTTGCTGGAGAAATATGAGTTTTTGGTGAAAAGTCTGTGTTTTTTCACTTCAATAAAACAGAAGGAAAGTTGTTTACCTCTTTGAGAGAGAGCAGGTCTTTTTCCAACGGACTCGCTGTTTAAAGAGATTAAGTCATGAGTGCTGTGGATCTTATCTGAAATGTCATACAATAGACCTGAAAGTTTATTTATTTTATTTTATTTGACTTATTTATTGCCCACTGAATGCCCTACGGGGATCAACGAAGTGCACCTTTACCTTTACCCTGGCTACTATATATAATGTATGGAGCACAAGTTACAGAACGAAACAAAACGGCAAAGCATTACATCATTCTAGGTGATGTCGTTATTATTCTCAAAGCATTAACAGCAAAAACCAGGATACATTATTTTGGCAGTTTAGTGTATTTTAAGGAACAATATGTAAGATTTTTATGTCAAGTCTTCATTAAAGGGCACTAATCTCACTGGTAAAGTACCATGTGGGGCAGAACTAATCGTGTTATGATTCTCAAATCATTAACTCTTGTCTATTCAGCTGTTATGGTCCCAGCTGGATTCGTCTGCATATCTGGCAACCTGAGTCAGGGAGAGTGGGAGAGGCTGCAGTGTAGTGAATGCTGAGTACCTGTTTGTTCCCGAGCCTGCAGCATCTGAAGCGTAAGTGCCAGTTTGTAAAGTTGTTCTTGACTGAGCTCTCGAGGATCCACTCGGTAAAGCTGCAAGACTTCGGACATCCTCTGAAGAAGACCATCTGGAGCAGCACAAGGACATGTTTAATCACTGTTCAGGAAGAGTCAGGAGCAAAACCAAACGACAACTTAAAAACTACAAGAGTCATGGCGAATTTAACTTTAATAATAATAATAATAATAATAATAATAATAATGTATCGGTTTTATACATTGCTTTTCAGGACACTCAAAGTCTCTTCACATTATTATTCTTTCTCTCCAAACACGGTGGTGATAAACTACTGTAGCCATCGGCCCCTCCCACCACCACCAACCATTCACACACACACCAGACTCACTCTAATGTCGGGGAAGTGGCACTTTACAGCCGCAGCCGCCCCACTGTGGCACCTGCTGTTCCCAGAGGTGAGGTGTCTTGCCCAAGGACACAACGTCAGCAGACATCAGTGGAGAAAGTCTTATGGTGGACTCAAACCCACAACCTTCAGGCCCAAAGCTCTACCAATGCACTGTGACTATGCCTCGCTGTGATTGGCCAATAAGAAAAGGTGAGAAAATGACTCTTTCGAATCTTTTCTTTTAAATTGTGTTTGTCAAAAGAAAATAATCTGTGTTTGGAGATATTCAGACTACTGTCTATTTTAAATATCTCCAAACCCAGATTATTTTGATGATCAGGTGCAATATAACATTTGTCTTTTCTTTCGCTGCACTTTTCCAACTGATTTGCAAAATTATTTTACTTATTTATTTATTCTTTGTTTTATATTTATTTTTGTATAAAGTTAATTGCTGTTTTTTAACTTTATTTAAATCCTTTTTTTTTTTTAAGATGGGATATTTGTATATTTACATGTGTTACTTTTATCCGTGCACTTTGGAAACGTGCTCTATAAATAAAGTGGATTACCATCTTTCCCATGCACAGAGCTGAAATCCTGGGGAGGCCTCTTGATTTGCACTGCTGGTTCTCTGCTGGTCCCAATGCGCTCTGCAATGGTATAATCCTCCACATAGTCCACAGGGATCTCCATCTCCAGGTCTTCATAGTACGGGAGACCTGCTGTATAGGATTACAGCTCATTACCATCTCGTTTAATTATGCATGCAGTAATTAAATGCTATGTTTTAATTGCGTGTTACCTCCCGGGCTCATGGGGGCAGCACCTCTGTGTCTGTACGAGGGTTGCCCAGATGCCAAGTAGAGAGAAAGCGCCTCCCACATCATCTGTCTGTCGCGTTCTCGCTCCCGATTGGCCTGTGCACGTGACGAGGGGCGGGCATAACCACCGCCCGGGCCAATCAGAGACCTCTCCATCTCGTCCTGGTATCTGTGCTTTAATTAAAAACATACACATCAGATATTTTCTTCAACCATGTTTTTTTATGGAGTTTAAAGGATTTGGTTGGACAGAGTCTGGGTGGTTAGTCGTCAGGAGAAAAAACATACACATTATATAGCACATTTTTTTAAAGTTCCGAAAGTACCACACAGAGGTAAAAGTGATGCACTAAACAAAAATAGACACAGAATTCCAGATTTCACTGACTGAGCTGCAGAAGATGCACTAATACTGGAATAATGTGTTTTATTTAGATGGGAACGAAATATTCTACGGTCAAAGCCACTGGATATGACCCAATTCTGCGTTCCAAATGAAAAACATCCAAACAGCTAGAATGCAGTGGTCATTTTCCTCAGGATTCAGCGCCCAGGTAAGGCCCAGGTGCATCATGGGATAGTGTGGAGTGGAGCCAAATAGTTTTTTGACCGTGCTCAAAGGAACTTGGTTTTTGCCATATTTCTGCTAAGGGTTATTGTTATTTTTGGTTATAATTTATATTTTTAATTGCATTTTAAGAATACCTTTTAGCCCAAGTCCCTCCCATAGTATCCCCAAGATAAATACATTTATAAAAATTAAAGAAAAAACAAAGAACAGCATCAAAGAACAATTATAAAATCTCTATCTTGAACATAATAATAATAAAGACGCATATAAAAAAAGATTCCATTACCTCCATTCCAATTACCCTATTTAATTTGCATTATCTACTAATTTTATTTTTAATGTTTTTATTTAATCACTCAAATAATTTATTGTATTTTTTTTTTTTTATTACTATTATTTTTGTTTCTCTCTTTTTATTTATATTTTTGTGTTAAATGTCATATGCCAACTCTCCTCGTGGGGATACTGTGGGAGGGACTGGGGGTAAAATGTATTCTTAAAATGCAATTAAAATATAATAATAATAATAATAATAATAATAATAATAATAATAATAATACTGTAATAATAATAATAATAATAACAATAAAAATAAAAATAATAATCATCATAATAATAATAATAAAGATCCAATTATATCTAATCCAAATCCAGGGGTGCATCCGTGTGAAAACCCCACTGCATGTGCGTCGCCATGGTTACCTGGTGGTATGAATATGGATCCACTGACGCTGGCTGCATCCTCAGAGAAGCCTCCGGAGGTTCCACGATCGTGTAATCGGCATAGTTTCGTCCCGGGGGAAACGAGCTGAACTTGTGCTGATGGGAGCGCTGGTGTTTGGACCTGAAAAGTAAGAAATGTACTTTTGATTGACAGGAATCAGGTTATTGTCTGAAATTGGGTTTGTTCACAGTAAAAAGTACAAATGTGTGAGAATTAGATTTTAATAGTGTTTTGTGTTTTTCACGTTTCCAAATCCTCCTCTCTTCATTAGAAGTTGTAATAACGATTTCATGAATTTGTCAAGACTCCGATAGTAACTGTTAATTTAATGTAACAACCTGATCCTTTCAATCAGGGAAGTTTGTTACATTTTTTTCGGATCCACATGTATTTTTTTTTTTTTTTTACACACAGAGTTGAAACAAAGTGATTACATTCCTATAATAAACCAATGAAATGTTAAACCAGACCATTTTTTCCCCAAGTTTAATTTTTAGAACAAAATGCACAGAAACCATCTCGTTCTTTTCACATAAACTTGTTATGATTATTTTTTTTTTTTTTTATGATTCCTTTTTAAAGTAAGTGATTTCCTCATAATCTGTGGAGTTCATCTTTTATTTTCTTGGTCCCTGAGTCACAGAAGGATCCAATCAGAGGCGGATCTGGTTTTTAAAATGTCGCCAAAAGTGTATTTGTCAATCTTTCCTCTGATCTGTCTGAGTCTGAAATCTTTCTTCCAATCTATGACAGTCATTTTAGTTTGTGAGTTATAACCTTTAAACGCTCAGATACTTTAACACTTTACTCTGAACACACTCAATACAGAATTTCATCTTTTAAATAAGTAAAATGAACCTTTAAAGACTGAAGTTGACAGGGACAGTGTAGAATAAACATTAACCTCAAAGGGAAAGAGGCTGATGTTATGATATTACATTAAAAACAACAGGCATTCATGTATGTACGAATCCTAAACAGAAACCAAATGTCTCAGATGGATTCGAGGTTTGAAAGTTAGGTACCTCAGCTTTAAAGCAGGCCTGTAACACTGTAGATGCCACGTGTAGCTGCTCTGAAGGACTTACTGTGGGTTTGCATGCTGGGAGGTGGACACATTTGGTTTTACTGCTTGAGTGATGTGAGGAACTCGCTTTAGTTCTTTGGATAAAATATACTGCGTGAGATCGTCCTGCCAAGACAGACCTGCAAAAGACACACAAAAATATGTTTAAAGACAAAAATATGTTTAAATAGATGCATAGACTGTCTGTAAAGCAGCACTGGTGTTGCACTGTGGACACATGGTTAAACATTGACCATGTATCGCTCTGGCTTTGGGCTGCAGAGGCTGGAAAGTGGGCAGAGACCTGGCAACCGAAGGAAAACTGAGGCTAAACATTGATTGGTAGATGCTAGAAAACGACAAGGAGCAAGAAGAGAAGAAGAAGAATGGAAAAACCACATGCAACCATAACATTATTGTTGAGAGGATTTGGACAAACTTAGTAATCAAGATTTATGATTTTAGGAGAGTTTTTGTACATCTCAGTTCAGACAAGACATATTTGCTGATGAACTAATACAAGAATCTCAGTCCTGGGTCTACAGCGTCAGTCCTCGTTCTACAGTCTGAGTCCTGGGTCTACAGCGTCAGTCCTCGTTCTACAGTCTGAGTCCTGGGTCTACAGCCTCAGTCCTCGTTCTACAGTCTGAGTCCTGGATCTACAGCCTCAGTCCTCGTTCTACAGTCTGAGTCCTGGGTCTACAGCGTCAGTCCTCGTTCTACAGCGTCAGTCCTCGTTCTACAGCCTCAGTCCTCGTTCTACAGTCTGAGTCCTGGGTCTACAGCGTCAGTCCTCGTTCTACAGTCTGAGTCCTGGGTCTACAGCCTCAGTCCTCGTTCTACAGTCTGAGTCCTGGGTCTACAGCCTCAGTCCTCGTTCTACAGTCTGAGTCCTGGGTCTACAGCGTCAGTCCTCGTTCTACAGTCTGAGTCCTGGGTCTACAGCCTCAGTCCTCGTTCTACAGTCTGAGTCCTGGATCTACAGCCTCAGTCCTCGTTCTACAGTCTGAGTCCTGGGTCTACAGCCTCAGTCCTCGTTCTACAGTCTGAGTCCTGGGTCTACAGCCTCAGTCCTCGTTCTACAGTCTGAGTCCTGGATCTAAAGCCTCAGTCCTCGTTCTACAGTCTGAGTCCTGTATCTACAGCCTCAGTCCTCGTTCTACAGTCTGAGTCCTGGGTCTACAGCGTCAGTCCTCGTTCTACAGTCTGAGTCCTGGGTCTACAGCCTCAGTCCTCGTTCTACAGTCTGAGTCTTGGGTCTACAGCGTCAGTCCTCGTTCTACAGTCTGAGTCCTGGGTCTACAGCCTCAGTCCTCGTTCTACAGTCTGAGTCCTGGGTCTACAGCCTCAGTCCTCGTTCTATAGTCTGAGTCCTGGGTCTACAGCGTCAGTCCTCGTTCTACAGTCTGAGTCCTGGGTCTACAGCCTCAGTCCTCGTTCTACAGTCTGAGTCCTGGATCTACAGCCTCAGTCCTCGTTCTACAGTCTGAGTCCTGGGTCTACAGCCTCAGTCCTCGTTCTACAGTCTGAGTCCTGGATCTACAGCCTCAGTCCTCGTTCTACAGTCTGAGTCCTGGGTCTACAGCCTCAGTCCTCGTTCTACAGTCTGAGTCCTGGATCTACAGCCTCAGTCCTCGTTCTATAGTCTGAGTCCTGGATCTACAGCGTCAGTCCTCGTTCTACAGTCTGAGTCCTGGGTCTACAGCCTCAGTCCTCGTTCTACAGTCTGAGTCCTGGTTCTACAGCCTCAGTCCTCGTTCTACAGTCTGAGTCCTGGGTCTACAGCGTCAGTCCTCGTTCTACAGTCTGAGTCCTGGGTCTACAGCCTCAGTCCTCGTTCTACAGTCTGAGTCCTGGGTCTACAGCGTCAGTCCTCGTTCTACAGTCTGAGTCCTGGGTCTACAGCCTCAGTCCTCGTTCTACAGTCTGAGTCCTGGGTCTACAGCCTCAGTCCTCGTTCTACAGTCTGAGTCCTGGGTCTACAGCGTCAGTCCTCGTTCTACAGTCTGAGTCCTGGGTCTACAGCCTCAGTCCTCGTTCTACAGTCTGAGTCCTGGATCTACAGCCTCAGTCCTCGTTCTACAGTCTGAGTCCTGGGTCTACAGCCTCAGTCCTCGTTCTACAGTCTGAGTCCTGGGTCTACAGCCTCAGTCCTCGTTCTACAGTCTGAGTCCTGGATCTAAAGCCTCAGTCCTCGTTCTACAGTCTGAGTCCTGGATCTACAGCCTCAGTCCTCGTTCTACAGTCTGAGTCCTGGGTCTACAGCGTCAGTCCTCGTTCTACAGTCTGAGTCCTGGGTCTACAGCCTCAGTCCTCGTTCTACAGTCTGAGTCTTGGGTCTACAGCGTCAGTCCTCGTTCTACAGTCTGAGTCCTGGGTCTACAGCCTCAGTCCTCGTTCTACAGTCTGAGTCCTGGGTCTACAGCCTCAGTCCTCGTTCTACAGTCTGAGTCCTGGGTCTACAGCGTCAGTCCTCGTTCTACAGTCTGAGTCCTGGATCTAAAGCCTCAGTCCTCGTTCTACAGTCTGAGTCCTGGATCTACAGCCTCAGTCCTCGTTCTACAGTCTGAGTCCTGGGTCTACAGCCTCAGTCCTCGTTCTACAGTCTGAGTCCTGGATCTACAGCCTCAGTCCTCGTTCTACAGTCTGAGTCCTGGATCTACAGCCTTAGTCCTCGTTCTACAGTCTGAGTCCTGGATCTGCCTCCGTCCGTCCGTGTGAATCCCTCTCTCCCTGTCGACCTTAGGTTTCTCACTTTTCTCCCTCTGGGTTTTAGAGTTTTTAGGTCTCTCCGTCTGGTCTATAAAGCAATGTATCGTAATAATTATGATGATATATATTAGGTATCATTGTTAGTATTTATTTTGTTATTGTTATTATTTCATGATCAGATAATCAATAGAAATTAGCAAACGATTTATTATTATTCGTACATTATGCTAGACCTGCATGTTATACTATAAAGCATAAAAAATACAAATGAAATAAATATAAAACAGTCTAGAACAAAAAATGATAATGAAAAATGACAATAATGACCTTGTTGCGTTAGCTTCTTGAGGACTTCCTGCATCCTCTTCAGGACCGGGACAGAGACCTGGTACCGGACCTGCTGCCCCTGCTGCCCCTGCCTCGAGCTCAGACAGCGACCGAAGAGACCGTCTGCAAAACACAGATTCAATCCATTGTCATTTGTGTATTTGAACAGTCAGTCCGCAGAGTCCGCAGTTATGACTCATTCAGTGAAACCCACCGGTTACTGCCGCTCCAAGGACTCAGACTCATCACCACGAAGCTGGGTTTTTATTACAGTCTGTTCTCATCTCACACAAATATAAAGCAATTATAATCATTTCACTTTCTGTACCTGATTCCACAGCAATAGAAAAGTTTAATCCCACAAAAAACGATATTCTCTACACGTTTTACTGAAATAAAATAGCCAAGACAGTCTGCTCGAGGAAGCATCCTATTCCCAGAACCAATCATAAAAATGAAATGTTTTTGCGAGGACATTAAAGGAGCAGTCTGTAAAAATGTGGCCAAAAGTGGTACTGCAGCCTCTCCCACTCTCCCTGACTCAGGTTGCCAGATATGCAGACGAATCCAGCTGGGACCATAACAGCTGAATAGACAAGAGTTTTGTCAACAACAAATCTATAACCAACACCTTTTTCACAAAGATAGAAATCCTGGTTTTATTCCTTGTTTTGTCGTTATGATTTGAGAATCATAACGAGACCTTTTTTAGTTCTGTGCCACATGGTACTTTACCAGTGAGATTAGCTCCACGTGGTGAGTTCTGGCGCCCGGATCACAGACTTTCTGATTGGTGAAACGGTGGAGGGCGGGACATCGAAATGAAAACAATAACAAGATTTAGGCCCTGTCCACACGAAGTCAAGCTCAGGCCTAAACGCAAAAATACTTTATCAATCCAGTGTATTGTCCATACGAGGCCGGCGTTTTGGGGGGGTGTAAACGAACATTTTTGAAAGTAGGTCCCAGAGTGGAAAGATTTCAAAACTCCGTATATGCCGCTCCGTGGTTACTGCCTCTCCGCAATGTATCTGAGACGCTTGCGTCATCGCCCCGCCTCTTGTTAAAGCACGCATGCGCCGCACTCAGAAAATAATGACAACAACAATGTAGCTTGTTGGTTTTGTAATCCAGTGTGACCCGAAGCAACAGTTCAACCTCATCGTCCGTCCATACTAATGTAGTACCAGCTCGCCCACTCGCCATGTTGTCTGTTTACAAAATTCCGCGCATGCCCAGTTCCCGTCACGGAAGTTTGGGCTTGATCCCGTCATTGCGTCACAGCGCCACCAACAGGTCTGGCATAGTTTCACAGCGTTTTCAGGCGTATTGACTACATTCATATGGACGCACACATTTACTGAGCTAACTCCGTGTTTACAGAAAAAGTTTCTGAAATTATAAGCGTTTTGTCTTCGTGTGGATATAGCCTTAGAGGCTGGAAAAGTAATTCAGAAATTCAAATATCTCTGAACTACTGTTATCAGTTAAAGAAGTATTGGAAAAGAGCAGTTTATTTTTATGACAGATTAGGGCCATTTGATGATGACAGATTAGGGCCCTTTAATGACAACAGATTAGGGCCCTTTAATTAAAACAGATTAGGGCCCTTTAATGATGACAGATTAGGGCCCTTTAATGATGACAGATTAGGGCCCTTTAATGATGACAGATTAGGGCCATTTAATGATGACAGATTAGGGCCCTTTAATGATGTCAGATTAGGGTCCTTTAATGATGACAGATTAGGGCCCTTTAATGATGACAGATTAGAGCCCTTTAATGATGACAGATTAGGGCCCTTTAATGATGTCAGATTAGGGTCCTTTAATGATGACAGATTAGGGCCCTTTAATGATGACAGATTAGAGCCCTTTAATGATGACAGATTAGGGCCCTTTAATGATGACAGATTAGAGCCCTTTAATGCTGACAGATTAGGGCCCTTTAATGATGACAGATTAGGGCCCTTTAATGATGACAGATTAGGGCCCTTTAACAATTACAGATTAGGGCCCTTTAATGATGACAGATTAGGGCCCTTTAATGATGACAGATTAGGGCCCTTTAACGATGACAGATTAGGGTCCTTTAATGATGACAGATTAGGGCCCTTTAATGATGACAGATTAGGGCCCTTTAACGATGACAGATTAGGGCCCTTTAATGACGACAGATTAGGGCCCTTTAATGAAGACAGATTAGAGCCCTTTAATGACAACAGATTAGGGCCCTTTAATAACGACTTGACATGAAAATCTTACATATTACTACTTTAAAGAAGATTCTACAATTACTTAAGTTATGTTGTTCAATGTTGGATGACGTTCTGACTCACTCGAAACACGTATTCTCTTGTATAACTCAGATTATCCACTTTAATTATGAACGAAAAAGAACAATGTGCAGAAACCCCCGAAAGGCCAATTAAAAGTGGTCAACAAAGTCCTCCAGCTCTGATGCATGAGTGAGAATAGGACAAAGCTTTGGGATTTATATTGAAGCATGTATTGTTTGGTGCACCGATGAGTCACCACAGCCGGCACCTCTGCAGACCAACGCTGAAGTGCAGTAACTAACACGATTACGACGGATTAATGCTTTTTCACAGCTCATAATGTGACACCAACCGCCTCTCATTTCAGCTTTACCCGATTTAATTAGATTTATAAGTAATGGCTATTTATAAAAACAAACATATTCTGATAAAGTTGGTTTCCCAGATAATCGACCGACTATATAGGCATCTTTTAATCTTTTAATTTAGGATTTTAACTAGTTGTAGATGTCTGTGGTGAAGTGAAGGAGGACCCGAAAATGCAGGAATGTGAATGTGAATAATAAAATTTAGAAAAAAAGGAAGTAGGCTTTGTTTCCGGGGGTCAAATCTCCATTCGTCTATGGTTGAAGACAGAGGCTCCAAAGGCTGGACCATAGACTGTAAATGGCTGGACACTGAATACACAGATAGTTATAGTGCACATTTTAAAGTAGATAATACTCGCACATCAATAAAAATACAGAATTCCGGAGTTCCGGCCGGACCACCACCGTTAATGGCTGCGCTGTGAGTGAGCTCCCGAAAGGACCAGAGCATTTTGTGATCTGAACCCGCTTAAACTATGTAAATAATCTACGAAATGCAAACTAAGAAGCGGGGGAGAGAAGTACACACCAGTTTCCACATTGGATTGGACAAAGAGTAGGTGAACCGAAAGTTTTTCTCAAGTGGAAACCTTGCGCTAGCATTTGCTGCTAAACGAAAAGCTAACAGCAACACCTGGAGCTAAACGGCGAATCATGGCAAATAACGAAGTTATTCTACAAGAACTGAGAGCCTTTCGACTAGAAATCAAAGAACAACTTGAGGGCATCAAGGAAGAGCTGACTAGAGCGAATAACAGGCTGGAAGAAGCTGAGGAGCGGATTGAGAAAGCAGAGGAGAGAATTCTCAACGTGGAGGAAGCTATGACCGAGCTAGTGCAGCTAAACATAAAGCTGGAGGAGAAGATGGTGGATATGGAGAGCCGGTCAAGGAGAGAAAACGTCAGGATTTATGGTGTTCCAGAATCGTCAGAGAAAGACTCTCCATCAATGATTGCTTTTGTTGAGACACTACTGCGTGAAGGCTTGGAATTGGACGGCGTGGACATTAGCATTGAACGAGCCCACCGCTCGCTAGGCCCCGCTTCTCCCCAAGACGCTCCGCCACGCTCTATCGTGGTTAAGTTTCTAAGCTTTAAGATCAAAGAACAAATACTCCGCAAATCATGGCAGAAGAAAGGATTTACTTGGAATGGTAAACACATATCACTGGACAACGATTACCCCCCTCTCATCCTTAAGAAACGAAAGGAATACGCAGAAGTACGCAAGATTTTGAAGGCAAAGCAGATACCATTTCAAACCCTCTACCCAGCGCGACTAAAGGTGAAGTTCACGGATGGAGAAATAACCTACGCCTCTTCATCAGAAGCGACTGAGGATATGTCCCGGAGAGGCTACGCTGTCAAGATCATCAAACCTCCCGAAACAATCCTGGAGCAACTGAAGCAGTTGACCTGGACCAGAGTGACCAGAGGAGGAGGTAGCAGTGCAGCGCAACCGGGACAAGAACCAGGCTATAAGAAAAAGCTCCGTACCTTCAGGAGAACGGTAGCCACCACTTCAGTAAGTAAGTAAGTAAGTAAGCTTTTATTTATATACCGCCTTTTCACTGCACATCAGAGTCTCAAAGCGGTTTACAATTGTTGGGTGGGGGGGCCAGTACAGGAGGCACATGCCATACCTATTGTACATATTTTTAGTGGTAGGGGAAACCGGAGCACCCGGAGGAAACCTACGCAGACACGGGGAGAACTTGCAAACTCCACTCAGAAAGGCCCTGGTCCAACCGGGATTCGAACCCAGGACCTTCTTGCTGAGAGGCGAGAGTGCTATCCACTCAGCCACCGTGCCGCCCAGGGACTTGAGGTTTCACTTTGACTCTTACCAAGACACTTTCACATATCTAAATCCACGTACACTGACTGAATACTATAAATATGTCTTTGGGTGTTAATTTTTAAAGTTAATATGGTTCTGAGGGATTATTCTTGACAGCAAAGCCACAGCCAATAAGGGCCCACATCGTTGCCGATGTGGAAGCAGCCTTTGAAGGCACCACAGGGTCTGTTTAAAGGACCCCAGCCTTGGAAGTTCATGTTCATTTGCAGTTGTTTTTCTCTTTTGACTTTTTCTTTTGTTGTGTGTTCAGTGTTCACTATTGAGAGTGGGGTACCAATTAATGTGTATGAAGTAGATATAAGTACAATATAAATGAATGACAAATATGTAAAACTTGTAACAATTAATATCAATGGCTTGCATAATCCAATTAAAAGGTGGAAAGCCCTATCCAAGTTGAAACGGGATAAAGCACAAATTGCTTTGATGCAGGAAACACATCTCTCAGATGAAGAGCATTTAAAATTGAACAAATTGGGATTTAAACATGTATTTTATTCTTCTCACAGTTCAGGACGGCGGAGAGGAGTGGCAACTTTGATTTCCGGCGCACTAAACTATGAGCATGTATCAGAGCATAAAGACAAAGAAGGCAGATATGTAATGATAACGGGTAAGATAGACGGTACTCTCACAACCTTGCTAAACGTGTATGCACCTCCTGGCAGCGACTGGTCCTTTTATAGACGTATATTAGAATTAATGACAACCGAAAGTCGAGGAATCTTAATATGTGGTGGAGATTTCAATATTACATTAAACGCAAAATTAGATGCTTAAAATGGGAAAGGTGGCTCAAAAAATATAGGGAAAAAAATTACACAATTTATGGAAGATACAGGTGTTTTTGATGTATGGAGAGACATCAATCCAACTAAAAGGGAATATACCCACTATTCCCATGCCCATAACGTTTATTCACGTTTGGATTATGTTTTCATGTTCAAATGTGACTTGTTTAGGATACAAAACTGTGAAATTGGGCCTTGCACAGTTTCTGACCATAGCCCTGTTTATGTACATGTTTTCCTCGCAAAAAACAAAAGATCTACTCTTTGGAGGTTAAACACAAGCATTCTGAACTATTCAAATATTAAAGAAAGCTTGACAGTTGCTATAGGGGAATATTTTGAACATAATGATAATGAGGAGGTTGATCCTGGAATACTTTGGGATGCCTTTAAGGCAGTAATTAGGGGGAAAATAATAAGTATCTCTTCCCATCAAAAAAAGCAACTATTAACAAAATTGTCAACTTAGAACATAAACTACTGAAACTTCAACAAGAACACTCTAAACATATGACAACTGAGACCAAATCTGAAATAAAACAATTAAAAAAAGAAATAGACGACATCAATACACTGAATATACAAAAAAAACTAATTTTCACTAAACAACAGTACTATGAAGCAGGCGGGAGATCCCTAAAACTTCTCTCCTATAAACTCAGGAAACAACAAGCTGAGAGAACCATTCATAAAATTAAGAATCCCTTTAACAATAAAATTGAAAACGAACAAAATCAAATCAAATGGTGCTTTCAAAAGTACTATTTAAAGCTTTACTCTCAAATCCACGCAGATAATGATCAAGATGTAGATGCTTTTCTCTCACAATTGAATTTACCAACACTGACAGATGAGCAAAATAACAGACTCCTTTCCCCAATAACCAAAGAGGAAATCCAGCTGGCAATTAAAAAACTGAAAAAAGGAAAGATGGCAGGAGCAGATGGATTTGGCCCTGAATGGTATAAAACAATGGAGAGTTGCCTGACCCCAAACTTATTGAAGACATTTAACTGGGTGATGCAAGAGAAAACAATTCCTCCCTCATGGAACGAGTCAATAATCTCCATCATCCCAAAGGAAGGGAAAGACAGACTTGAATGTAGTAACTATCGCCCGATTAGTGTCCTAAATATCGATTACAAACTGTTTGCATCTATCATATCAAGGAGATTGGAAGTAATATTGCCACACTTAATACACAAGGATCAGACCGGATTCATTAAACAAAGACAGACACAGGACAGCATAAGGAGAGTGCTACATGTGCTGCATAATGTTGTACAGAAAAAACAAGAAACCTTGGTGATGAGTCTGGACGCAGAAAAGGCGTTTGACTCAGTGAGGTGGTCCTTCTTATTTAAGGTTTTCAGTAAGTTCGGCTTTCATAAATCTATTACAGAAATTATTGCAGGGTTATATAACAAACCAGTGGCTAGAATTAAGATCAATGGAGACCTTACTGAGTCAATTGCATTGGAAAGAGGGGTAAGACAGGGATGTAATTTGTCTGCACTTTTCTTTGCTTTGTACATTGAACCGCTTGGACAGTGGATCAGGCAGAGACAAGATATTGTCGGGGTAACTGTCGCAGGAAAAGATCAGAAATTGGCCCTATTTGCTGATGATCTATTGCTGATCATATCTAATCCTACCCTGACGTTACCAAAAGCTATAAAGATATTTGAGGACTTTGGTATCTTTTCAGGATACAAAATTAATGTAAACAAAACTCAAGTATTGACCCTAAATTATAATCCTCCCCAAAACATTAGAGACCACTATAAATGGAAATGGGACACAGAATCGATTAAATATCTTGGAATTTTCCTACATAGGGATTTCACCAAAATGTATGATGTTAACTATGGACCCCTAAACACAAAGATAAAATCTGACATTGAAAGGTGGAATACCATACCATTCTTCGATTTATATTCTCGGATTGACACTATTAAGATGAATATCCTTCCTCGAATCTTATACTTGTTTCAATGTCTGCCGTTTACCATACCCCAAAAACAATTTACAGAATGGGACCAAATTCTATCGAAGTTTATATGGAAGGGTAAAAAACCCAGAATTAAGTTCAAAACTTTACAAATTAAGAAAGAAAAAGGGGGTATGGGCCTCCCATGTTTAAGAGAATATTATTATGCTGCCCAGTTGAGGCCCCTGGTTTGTATGTGCTCTCCGATCTACACAGCAGGATGGAAGGACATAGAGGGGACTATGATCAAAGGGATACCTCTTAAAGCTCTAATAGCAGACTCTAAATTACAATCCAAAATCAATCTTTCAACTGAACACATATCATTCACAACAATTACGGCCTGGAATGAAATAATCAAGTTATGTGGTTTACAGGAGGAATCTAAAATTCTGCGATGGTGTGCATATGACTCAGAATTTACTCCTAATAACTATGATAACAGATTTAAAACATGGATTAGGAAAGGATTAACCAACTACAATTCATTTGTCCACAAGGGGGCTCTACAAACATTTGACACACTGAGGCAAAAACATGGGTTGGGCTCTGAAGATTTTTTCAGGTACCTGCAAGTCAGACACTATTTCAATCAGAATATTAAAATACCGTCATCTGACCAAGGGCTCTTACAAACATTTATTTCACTAACAAAATCCTTGTCCCCTACCAAACTTATCTCCAAACTATACAACAGCATCCTGCGGAGTAAGGGAGAGAGCACCTACTATGTTAAAGAAAAATGGGAAAGAGAAGGGCATTTTACAGTAACTGAGGAGAAATGGGATCATATTTGTGAAATACAGTGGGTCTCAACTGGGTCAAATACATGGCGTCAATTCTGTTGGAAAAACACAATGCGTTTTTTCATTACACCAGCACAAAAAAGATACCAGGGAACTGGAGATGCGTGTTGGAGGTGTGGTGTTGCAGGGGCGAACCATTTTCATGTTTTTTGGAGCTGCCAAGTTATTCAAGATTATTGGGTAGAGATTCATCAACATATACAAAATGTATTTTCAATTGCTTTTCCCCTATCATTTGAAGCAATTTATCTTGGTGACATAGAACTGGATGGTCTCAACAATGGAGACAAGAAACTACTTTACATTCTCTTAGCAGCAAGTAAAAAGGCCATCACCAGAAGATGGCTCAAACCTGGAAAGCCAACAAACGAGGATTGGACCAATATTGTGCATGACATCTACATCATGGAAAAAATTTCATCTCAGTTGAAATTGCAAATTGACTCATTTTACAGGATTTGGTCAAAATGGACACAATATGTTAAGCCGATAAGATCTGATTTCATGTAATGTTGAAATATAAATACTACTGATTGCAATTGTCTATTTTGCTATGTAAATCGAAAGGGTACCCCACCTCTCTATTGTTTCTCTATTGTTTCGTTTGTGCGTGTTTCATGTGTAAAAATGGAAGAGCAAAATCGCACTACTATTTGAAAGAAAATCTGTAATTATCTGTCTCTTCAATAAAAAATAAATGTAAAAAAAAAAAAAAAAAATACAGAATTCCCTGATTTAAGCAGGATCCGTCATGTTTGTGTGTGAACACTGGGCGGTATTCCCTTTGTGAAGTGATGACACAGGAGGTGGAGGAGGATGAATGGAGTGACGGCGCCGCTGCAAACGGGAATCGGATTGGAGCTATTTCTGGAGACCGGGTTATTTCTGTTAATGGCATTTTTACAGAGCCAGAGAAGAGCCCCCTTTGATCGCAGGATTTAGATCATAAAAACCTACAGCCTTTTTCTTTATTCTTTAAACTTAAACGTCAATCTTTGTTATTTCCAATAGATACAAATACATCATAATTTTTCCACTTACTTAAAGGTCCTCTGTGTAATTTTTACAGTTAGTCCAAATGAAAAAACATGTTAACCAAAAACAAATGTGACCTTATTAGGATTATTGACCTCCACAATGTTTTATAATCGTTTTCAGAGGGTTAGAAATGGACTTATAAACGTACATGAGGCTGTAAATAAGTAAGTAATCTTTATTTATATAGTGCCTTTCACAGACCAGAGTCACAAAGTTCTTTACAATTGTCTTTTTCAGGCATTTTGTCTCTGACTCCACACAGAGATGGGAGCGGGACCAGTACAAGAAGCACATGGCCGACCTATTCTACATGTTATTAGTGGTAGGGGAAACCGGAGTACCCGGAAGGAAACGGGGAGAACATGCAAACTCCACTCAGAAAGACACTGTTTTTCCACCTATTTAAAGGTAATTTTTTACAGATGCTCCAAATGAAAAAACCGGTTTACCAAAAACAAACATAACCTTTGTAAGAACATTTACCTCCATCATGTTTTTAAATTCTTGTCATAGACTTAGTATTTGACTTATAAATGTCCACTGTTTACCACAAGGCTGAGGACTCTCCGTGTCAATCCGCCATTTTGAAATACAGTGGCTGATAAGGGACAAAAAGGAGTTTGAGTGGGACTTTGGGACCACTGGGGACACATAGATTAACATGTATAATCTCAACTACAAACTATGATTCACAACAAGTTCAATAGATTTAAAATAACGATGTAGGAATGTGTTGTTAAAACGCTTTGCCAATAATGATTTTATTATTGTGTGCTTTTCAAATGGATAGAGATCTGATGGATGGAAATCAGTATTAGCATCTATAAATGTAGTATCTCTCTGTCGTAACGGAGGCTCTCTTTGTCACGAGGGTGAAAAACAAAGAAATCCGAAATGCAAAACTGCAAAAATGACGGATTTAATTAAAAGTAATACAAAATCAAGATCCAGGAAAAACACAGGGATAGGTAGATGAGGGCGGGCAGGGGCAGGTAGATGAGGGCGGGGTAGGCACAGGAGGGCGGGGCAGGTCTATAAGGGCGGGGCAGGTAGAAGAGGGCGGGGCAGGTAGAAGAGGGCGGGGCAGGTCTATAAGGGCGGGGCAGGTAGAAGAGGGCGGGGCAGGTCTATAAGGGCGGGGCAGGAGAGGGCGGGCAGGTAGATGAGGGTGGGGCAGGTAGATAGGATAAGGCGGGGCAGGTAGATGAGGGCGGGGCAGGTAGATGAGGGCGGGGCAGGAGGTCTATAAGGGCGGGGCAGGTAGATGAGGGGGGCAGTAGATGAGGCGGGTAGTAGAGTAGAGGGGGGCAGGTAGGCAGGTGAGGGGATGATGGGGCGGGGGGCGTAGTGAGGGCGGGCAGGCGATGAGGGCGGGGCAGGCGCATGAGGCGGGCAGGCGCATGAAGGCGGGGCAGGTCTATAAGGGCGGGGCAGGTAGATGAGGGCGGGGCAGGTAGATGAGGGGGTAGGCACGAGGCGGGCAGTAGATGGGGGGTAGGCACAGGAGGGCGGGGCAGGTCTATAAGGGCGGGGCAGGTAGAGAGAGGCGGGGCGGGAGGTAGATGAGGGTGGGGCAGGTAGATGAGGGCGGGGCAGGTAGATGAGGGCGGGGCAGGTCTATAAGGGCGGGGCAGGTAGAGAGGCGGGCAGGTGATGGGGCAGGTAGATGAGGGCGGGGCAGGTCTATAAGGGCGGGGCAGGTAGAGAGGGGGCAGGTAGATGAGGGGGGGCAGGCGCATGAGGGCGGGGCAGGCGCAGGGATGAGGGCGGGGCAGGCGCATGAGGGCGGGGCAGGCGCATGAAGGCGGGGCAGGTCTATAAGGGCGGGGCAGGTAGATGAGGGCGGGGCAGGTAGATGAGGGCGGGGCAGGTAGATGAGGGCGGGGCAGGTAGATGAGGCGGGGCAGGCAAGGGCGGGGCAGGTAGATGAGGGTGGGGCAGGTAGATGAGGGCGGGGCAGGTCTATAAGGGCGGGGCAGGTAGATGAGGGCGGGGCAGGTAGATGAGGGTGGGGCAGGTAGATGAGGGCGGGGCAGGTCTATAAGGGCGGGGCAGGTAGATAAGGGCGGGGCAGGTAGAAGAGGGCGGGGCAGGTAGATAAGGGCGGGGCAGGTAGAAGAGGGCGGGGCAGGTCTATAAGGGCGGGGCAGGCAGTAGAGAGGGTGGGGCAGGTAGATGAGGGTGGGGCAGGTAGATGAGGGCGGGGCAGGTCTATAAGGGCGGGGCAGGTAGATGAGGGCGGGGCAGGTAGATGAGGGCGGGGCAGGTAGATGAGGGCGGGGCAGGCGCATGAGGGGGGGCAGGCGCATGAAGGCGGGGGCAGGCGGCAGTAGAAGGGCGGGGCAGGTAGATGAGGGCGGGGCAGGTAGATGAGGGCGGGGCAGGTAGATGAGGGCGGGGCAGGTAGATGAGGGCGGGGCAGGTAGATGAGGGGGGCAGGTCTATAAGGGCGGGGCAGGTAGATGAGGGGGGGCAGGTAGATGAGGGCGGGCAGGTAGATGAGGGCGGGGCAGGCATAGGCGGGCATGATGAGGGCGGGGCAGGCGCATGAGGGCGGGGCAGGCCATGAGGGCGGGGCAGGTCTATAAGGGCGGGGCAGGTAGATAAGGGCGGGGCAGGTAGAAGAGGGCGGGGCAGGTAGAAAGGGCGGGGCAGGTAGAAGAGGGCGGGGCAGGGCTATAAGGGCGGGGCAGGTAGAAGAGGGTGGGGCAGGTAGATGAGGGCGGGGCAGGTCTATAAGGGCGGGGCAGGTAGATGAGGGCGGGGCAGGTAGATGAGGGCGGGGCAGGTAGATGAGGGCGGGGCAGGCGCATGAGGGCGGGGCAGGCGCATGAAGGCGGGGCAGGTCTATAAGGGCGGGGCAGGTAGATGAGGGCGGGGAGGTAGATGAGGGCGGGGCAGGTAGATGAGGGCGGGGTAGGCACAGGAGGGCGGGGCAGGTAGATGAGGGTGGGGCAGGTAGATGAGGGTGGGGCAGGTCTATAAGGGCGGGGCAGGTAGATGAGGGCGGGGCAGGTAGATGAGGGTGGGGCAGGTAGATGAGGGCGGGGCAGGTCTATAAGGGCGGGGCAGGTAGATAAGGGCGGGGGCAGGTAGAAGAGGGCGGGGCAGGTAGATAAGGGCGGGGCAGGTCTATAAGGGCGGGGCAGGTAGAAGAGGGCGGGGCAGGTCTATAAGGGCGGGGCAGGTAGAAGAGGGCGGGGCAGGTAGAAGAGGGCGGGGCAGGTCTATAAGGGCGGGGCAGGTAGAAGAGGGTGGGGCAGGTAGATGAGGGTGGGGCAGGTAGATGAGGGCGGGGCAGGTCTATAAGGGCGGGGCAGGTAGATGAGGGCGGGGCAGGTAGATGAGGGCGGGGCAGGTAGATGAGGGCGGGGCAGGCGCATGAGGGCGGGGCAGGCGCATGAAGGCGGGGCAGGTCTATAAGGGCGGGGCAGGTAGATGAGGGCGGGGCAGGTAGATGAGGGCGGGGCAGGTAGATGAGGGCGGGGTAGGCACAGGAGGGCGGGGCAGGTAGATGAGGGTGGGTCAGGTAGATGAGGGCGGGGCAGGTCTATAAGGGCGGGGCAGGTAGATGAGGGCGGGGCAGGTAGATGAGGGTGGGGCAGGTAGATGAGGGCGGGGCAGGTCTATAAGGGCGGGGCAGGTAGATAAGGGCGGGGCAGGTAGAAGAGGGCGGGGCAGGTAGATAAGGGCGGGGCAGGTAGAAGAGGGCGGGGCAGGTCTATAAGGGCGGGGCAGGTAGAAGAGGGCGGGGCAGGTCTATAAGGGCGGGGCAGGTAGAAGAGGGTGGGGCAGGTAGATGAGGGTGGGGCAGGTAGATGAGGGCGGGGCAGGTCTATAAGGGCGGGGCAGGTAGATGAGGGCGGGGCAGGTAGATGAGGGCGGGGCAGGTAGATGAGGGCGGGGCAGGCGCATGAGGGCGGGGCAGGCGCATGAAGGCGGGGCAGGTCTATAAGGGCGGGGCAGGTAGAAGAGGGCGGGGCAGGTAGATGAGGGTGGGGCAGGTAGATGAGGGCGGGGCAGGTAGATGAGGGCGGGGCAGGTCTATAAGGGCGGGGCAGGTAGATGAGGGTGGGGCAGGTAGATGAGGGCGGGGCAGGTAGATGAGGGCGGGGCAGGCGCATGAGGGCGGGGCAGGCGCATGAGGGCGGGGCAGGCGCATGAGGGCGGGGCAGGTCTATAAGGGCGGGGCAGGTAGATGAGGGCGGGGCAGGTAGATGAGGGCGGGACAGGTAGATGAGGGCGGGACAGATAACAGGAAGTACAACCAAAGAAAACACAGGTATTTAACAAACTACAAAATAAAACCGGAAATAAGCCTAACCCATGACATGGTTTGCTTTGAGTCTAGTTTTTATTTTGAAACATGAACCCAGGGCACATCATAATAATACCATACTCTGGGCAGCAGCAGACGGAGCTGTTTGTCCAATGCCCGATCGAAATGACAAGATAAACAACTTATTAGATCTCTGAAGGACATAATGCCATTACGATGCATCTTCCTCTTTCTCTGTGTGGAGTGAGATTCTGAAACTCAAACGATAGACTCCTCCCATATATTCATAGAGTATAGTATAGTATATAGTATAAAATCAACATACAAGAAAAAATGTATTAAACTATATTTTTGTTTGAATTGCTGCAACTAGCTTTTCACAAACGTATTATTTGAGTAAAAATAATTATATTAAATAACATATCACTCTTTTGTCAAATCTTCCATCATGTATTCACTCTTTCTTATGTGTCCAAAGCCCCAATCATTTAAATTAATGAGTTTTATTTCAGCAAAACAAACAAATCCCTTTGATATTTTCATTCCTGATAGTATTTATCGCTGCCACTCAACTCACTTTGCGATTTCTCTCATGCATGACTGGCTCTTGTCATTTAAAATGTCAAACCAAATGGACACTTGTCTTTCTCTGGAAGTCTGGGAATAAATTATGCAGAGTGCTGCTCGGCTGCTTCTGCTAATAAAGACCCAAAAGAATGAAATGTTTTCCTATTGATTTTCTTTCTCTTCCTTTTTCCTCTTGAGGCTCAGAAAGTCAAACCTAACCAGCTTTATTAAGAGGCCAAACATATTGTTCCTTCATCCGAGAAAAAACACCATTATTTGGCTTCGTACAGTTTAACCAGAACCCTTTGATAACTAGCTCCATGTGTTTTAATGTTCTATGGATGTGTATTTGTATTTTTGTATCTATAGTTGTATTTGTGTATCTATGTATTTGTATTTGTGTATCTATAGTTGTATTTGTGTATCTATAGTTGTATTTGTGTATCTGTAGTTGTATTTGTGTATCTGTAGTTGTATTTGTGTATCTGTAGTTGTATTTGTGTATCTATAGTTGTACTTGTGTATCTATAGTTGTATTTGTGTATCTATAGTTGTATTTGTGTATCTGTAGTTGTATTTGTGTATCTATAGTTGTATTTGTGTATCAGTTGTATTTGTGTATCTATATTTGTATTTGTGTATCTATGTATTTGTATTTGTGTATCTATAGTTGTATTTGTGTATCTGTAGTTGTATTTGTGTATCTATAGTTGTATTTGTGTATCTATAGTTGTATTTGTGTATCTATAGTTGTATTTGTGTATCTATAGTTGTATTTGTGTATCTATAGTTGTATTTGTGTATCTATACTTGTATTTGTGTATCTATAGTTGTATTTGTGTATCTATAGTAGTAGTAAGAGCATTGGTTGGTTGTATATATTCCAACCAATGCTCTTTGTGCGTCTGTGTGCGTAGATGCGGTTTCCAGAGATGTGCGTAAGTGTGTGTGCGTGTGACTCATCACCGTATCAGCGCCACAACTGAGGGGGTGTCGACCTGGGTGATGTCAGAGTTGCTATGGAGACAGCAGGGGAGGGGGGAGGGGGGGTCACCTGCAGCTGAGCGTGGCGACGTCAGAGATGGAAAACTCGACAGGATCGCAGTGTTGCTGTGAAGTTTTGTGTGTGGTCAGTGTGTGTGTGTGTGTGTGTGTGTGTGTTGTCAAGAGTAAAAGTACACATTCAGCATTTTCCATCGGCTGCGTTACTTTACGTCTGATGGTTTTGTTCACGGATAATGTTTCAGATGTGTGTGAATTGTTATTATCAATATCTTATGTTCAGAGTCATTTTAATTCATTTTAAATGTAATGTTCCAGAGATTTTTATTGATTCTTGTGAGACTTGGTTCTGATTTTATTGTTAGGATTAAGCAAAAAGAAATCATCCCTCACACACCTAACCCTTTGGACTGTGGGATTTTTGTTTAATCTGGATTTTTGCGATAAACAATCACACGCACACACATACACACACACATACACACACACACACACACACACACATACACACACAGACATACAGACACACACACACACACACGCACGTACACACACACAGACACACACACACGTACACACACACACATACACACGTACACACACACACACACACACACACACACACACACACACACAGAGACACACACACACACACACACCTTAGTACCATTAAAAATCACTCCAATATATTATTATGTATTCAATTTTAACCAAAAATCTTTTCTGGTTTAAAATCATGTTTAAATACAATTCTGAGGGAACTACACATTATTCTCTAGTGACTGTTATCACAATAAATCTGCAAGTCTGTTATGTTTTTTTTCCTACAAACCTGGACTCCCTTTTATTATAAACTACAGCAGTTCGTGGAGCTCAGAGAGAGAGGAAGAGAGGAGCAGCCGGAGAAACATGAGCGATGCAGCAATAGAGACCACGTACAGACGTCTGTGGGTTTTTACTTTCTTAAAAAACCAGTGACGATAAGAACAAAAAACTGTTGGATCACAGCCAGAAATAAATGAGGTTTCAGGTTCAAAACTGGTGCATAAAGGTTCATATCTGTGGCGGTCAGCAGAGAGTACTGTCTTGTTCAAAGCCACATGTTAAGCCATGACTGCTTTTTAAATGTGCTTAACAAATTAATATTGATGAATTGATTGATTGATGTATAAATATGAGTTAATTAATACAGTAATTGCTATATATAGGGGCGACAGTGGCTCAGTGTGTAGAGCATTGGCTTTTGGGCCTGAAGGTCTTGGGTTCGAGCCCACCTCAAGACCTACTTCACGACTCTAACTCATGTCTGCTGTCGTAGTGTCCTTGGGCAAGACACTTAACCCCACTTTGCCTGAAGCCCCCACTGAAAGATCTCAGCTCCTGTGGACTCAGCATCTGCAGGAGGATCAGTGAGGGGCTGGTGCTCTGACTGCCACCCCCCCAACCCAGAAATGGATTAAGGGGAAGAAAATGGATGGATGGATAATTGCTATACTTCTGTAATAAAAGCAACAAAGTTACAAAATGGAAGCAGCAAGTGACAAAAACGAACATGAACACAATGGTACTAGTTTGGCGCCACTTTGAATATGAATACAGAAGCTGGGTTTGTGTGTGGACAGGACTGGGTTTATTTTGCTGCAATACCACGGACTTATTGTGTAAAACATAAAAAAAATCTGCAGTTTCTTTGATTCAAGACTCACCATCGGAGCAGAACTGTTCCCTGGTGCAGAGCGTGGCAGGTCCCGCGAAAAGGCAACCTGCAAAGACAGAGCCATCGCTGGTTACAGGTTAAAATGATATCACAGTCGCCATGGAAACGGCTGCTTTAAAAAAACAGAAAATGTGACAAAAAGTTACATCTAAGTGAGTTTAGTCATCATCATCGTCATCGTCGCCACAGCAGCATTAATCACAGCGGCTGCTATAAAAGTCCACACTATATCTGTAAAAGCACTGGAAAAGGACTTCTATCATGCAAAAACTATACATTTACAAACATTTAGAAACACTAATAACGTATATATTATGACGGAGTGGTGTAATTCTCGTTACACATGAGTTATAAATGAAAGTAATAAGTAATAGACAATTTGATCTTTTCTGAACCATCCTACGCAAATACATAAAAAAGTAAAAAGTTAATTTAGAATTGACCAGTTTTATCACCACTTTTATCACACTTAGGTTCAATCCAAGAAAATGTGAGCAGGTACCAGGCCCCGTGCTTTACAGAAATAATATACAATAAACCTCTTCCAGTTAATTCATTCATAACCAAATCTCTTTTTTCTTTTTAATCCAATGGATTTTTGACATTTTGGGAATGCATTGTTAAAGACTACAGACTTGTTTCTCACAAATAGACAAATTAAATACTTTTAAAGGCTTGATTTTGGAAAGCACATCCTCACTGAACCCAAACTGACCATTGAAACATATTTATATCATAATAACTTGTGCACTAAGAAAATATTCAATATAAGGAGCAGTACTGCAGCCTCTCCCACTCTCCCTGACTCAAGTTGCCAGATATGCAGACGAATCCAGCTGGCACCATAGCAGCTGAATAGACAAGAGTTTTGTCAACAACAAATCTATAACCAACACCTTTTTCACAAAGATAGAAATCCTGGTTTTATTCCTTGTTTTGTCGTTAATGATTTGAGAATCATAACGAGACCTTTTTTAGTTGGTACATGGTACCAACATGGTGAGTTCTGGCGCCTGGATCACAGACTTTCTAAAGAAGTATTGGAAATGAGCAGTGTATTATTATGACAGATTAGGGCCCTTTAATGATGACAGATTAGGGCCCTTTAATGATGACAGATTAGGGCCCTTTAATGATGAAAGATTAGGGCCCTTTAATGATGACAGATTAGGGCCCTTTAATGATGACAGATTAGGGCCCTTTAATGACGACAGATTAGGGCCCTTTAATGATGACAGATTAGGGCCCTTTAATGATGAAAGATTAGGGCCCTTTAATGATGAGAGATTAGGGCCCTTTAATGATGACAGATTAGGGCTCTTTAATGATGACAGATTAGGGCCCTTTTAATGATGACAGATTAGGGCCCTTTAATGATGACAGATGAGGGCCCTTTAATGATGATAGATTAGGCCCCTTTAATGATGACAGATTAGGGCCCTTTAATGATGAGAGATTAGGGCCCTTTAATGATGACAGATTAGGGCTCTTTAATGATGACAGATTAGGGCCCTTTTAATGACGACAGATTAGGGCCCTTTAATGATGACAGATTAGGGCCCTTTAATGATGACAGATTAGGGCTCTTTAATGATGACAGATTAGGGCCCTTTAATGATGACAGATTAGGGCCCTTTAATGATGACAGATTAGGGCCCTTTAATGATGAGAGATTAGGGCCCTTTAATGATGACAGATTAGGGCCCTTTAATGATGACAGATTAGGGCCCTTTAATGATGAGAGATTAGGGCCCTTTAATGATGACAGATTAGGGCTCTTTAATGATGACAGATTAGGGCCCTTTAATGATGACAGATTAGGGCCCTTTAATGATGAGAGATTAGGGCCCTTTAATGATGACAGATTAGGGCTCTTTAATGATGACAGATTAGGGCCCTTTAATGATGACAGATTAGGGCCCTTTAATTATGACAGATTAGGGCCCTTTAATGATGACAGATTAGGGCCCTTTAATTATGACAGATTAGGGCCCTTTAATGATGACAAATTAGGGCGCTTTATTACACAGCTCCTCACAGCAGCAGTAGAACGCTCCATTGATTTGAATGTAATTTCAAAACGTTCTACCTGTCATTATTTTCTATAACGGACCTCTCAAAACAATAATGACCGCTGCCCTTTGGCAACGCACTCTCTGCTTGTCTTTCAAATGCGTGGATAACTCCGCAAGTAGGTCCGGCCACTCTGGAGCTAGCCACGCTCAATAAACGCAAATACCAATCAATCAACGCAATGAAATGTTAATCAGAGAGTAATTTATACATATCCAGTCTTAATACAAGTGCACGGAAGTTTTCAGAATTTTCCGTTTACGATTTCATGACAAAAACACTGATGTAATGGGAGAAAAGGCGATCCCAAAAAACCCGAAAGTAGATACCGGCACATTTTAAGATACCGGCACATTTTAGGAACATTTGCAGAGGATGGAATTATGGATTTAGGTTAAGTTTATGTTTGGGTCACTCACCGCTGATGTTCAGGATTCTGTTTTCAGTTTTCATGCAGTTCCAGAGAGTTCTAGTTTGGAAGTTGCCAGCCTAACTGTTGCTAGCATAGCCACGGGAAAGCCTTTGGGAACTACTTTATTTTCTGTTATTAAATAAACCTTTGGGCATTCCTAAAAGTGGACTGAAGTTTATGTTGTGTGTTCTGTTGGTATAAAGCCGTATAATAAGCGGGAAGCAGACCAGGAAGGTACTAGCGGGAAGCAGACCAGACTGAAGGTACTTATTTTCCGATAATGACCTGCGTAATATACGTTATCCCTTATATATTATATATATATATATATATATATATATATATATATATATATATATATATATATATATATATATATATATATATATATGTAACAGCTTATTAACCGAACGTGAGGTCTGATATTTCTCTGCACAGACCGAGCAAGCGAGGTTAATAAATGTTTTATTATATGACTCTCGTCTGTGTCTTTACCAATGCTTTTGAGATATTTGTGAAGTATGTTCATGTCCGACTTGGTTTTGTGTGATACACGCTGTGGACAGGTTGTCATGGTAACGGTCCGAGGAAAGATATCAAATGTGATACGCGCTGTTCGGGCCAATTGTCATGGTAACGGTCTGAGATGGGAAAATATCAGACCGGTAATCAGCCAATCAGAGCGCACGTACGGTCCAAGTCATATAATAAATATATATATATATATCATATTTGAATTATATACGAGCGCAATGATTGACAGCTCTTGGCATCACTTGATTGGTTAAAGCGGATTTTGAGCTATAGCTAAGAGAAGGGAAGGCGGGACTTATCCGGAGTATTATAATTCATTAAATGACTTATTTTATATCAACATTTAAGGCCAGGAGGTCAATTTAATACAATTCTTAGAATGTGTAATTCTTTTAGAGTTCCAGACTATCACTTTAAATGACATATTTCCACAAACTCATATTTTGGTGTCACGAGACAGAGCTGTGGGAAGGAGCAGCTGGTTATAGATAGCAACAAGCACAAAACACAGAGACCAAGCTTCAAGCAAATGATGTAAGAATATAAATCAAAAAACAAACAAGACACATGCATTTAAGATAGTTAATGTAGAAAAAAGCTATTTAAAGCAGTGTTGTAGTTTGGGGTAATAATAAGGTAAAACATTTCTCTCTGCAGTTGTGTCCAAATAAAACTGCATTTATTGTCAAAAGCCGCTGATAGAACAAACACAAAACCAAGACATACAACTGAGAAAAAGGGCTTTAATTATTGTTATGATCATTATTGATGATGCTGATGATTAGAAATACTCTGTAAACACATGTTTAATGTCATGTTACAGTCTTTATAATGTCATACAACCTTCTCAGCGTGTTTAAGTCCACGACAGTTTTTTAAAATGATTCCAAAAACGTATTAACTGCAATTAACTGATGATTGTGTTTTAGCTGTAAATATGAAAACTATTCAAAACTACCAGAAAGAAGACAATAGTGCCATAAACTATTATAGTATAGTATAGTATAGTATAGTATAGTATGGTATAGTATGGTATAGTATGGTATAGTGTATAGTATGGTATAGTATGGTATAGTATAGTATGGTATAGTATGGTATAGTATAGTATGGTATAGTATGGTATAGTATGGTATAGTATGGTATAGTATGGTATAGTGTATAGTATGGTATATTGTATAGTATGGTATAGTGTATAGTATGGTATAGTATAGTATGGTATAGTATGGTATAGTGTATAGTATGGTATATTGTATAGTATGGTATAGTGTATAGTATGGTATAGTATGGTATAGTATAGTATGGTATAGTATAGTATGGTATAGTATAGTATGGTATAGTATAGTATGGTATAGTATGGTATGGTATAGTATGGTATAGTATGGTATAGTATAGTGTTGTAAACATGCTTAGGCAAACCCATTGGTCCATTCACTATTGATAAAACATTTATTATTCATTCATAACAAACACTTTTTTAACAATCAGTGTGGATAGAATTCAAACTAACATCATGTGAGCTTATGATAAAGGTGCACTGTATTGACCCCTGTAGGGCAATTCATCCTCTGCATTTGACCCATCCTGATGCCGCTAAGGCTTACGTCAGGAGCAGTGGTCGCCGTAGTAACAGCGCCCGGGAACCATCTCCAGATTTTGATGCTCGGCTTGGTCAGGACCAGAGCTGGAGGATTTAACCTAGTGAGCATGTTTTTAGTGGTAGGGGAAACCGGAGTACCCAGAGGAAACCTACGCAAGCACGGGGAGAACATGCAAACTCCGCTCAGACCTGACCTGACCGGGATTGGAACCCAGGATCTTCTTGCTGAGAGGCGAGAGTGCTATCCACTCAGCCACCGTGTCGCCCTATTAGCTCACAACATGATTTACACATGAGAACATCTGAGTCAGAAGAACACCAAGTCTTGGCTGAATACTAAATGTTTTGTGTGTGGAAAACCATGCCATGGGTTCATGTTCCAGCAGGTTATGGACTGATTAACGTGTCGTAAAACATGCAAGAAAGCTACTCTCACATCCTCCAGGGGCCAACACCGGCAGCGGCTAATTGTGTAGCGTATTAGCATGAGAACAATAATATCACTGGTTTTCCTGGGTCTCTGTGTTTCCAATTGAAGCTCAGGAGCAAATAGCCTCTGATATTGTTTTTAAAAGACGGCTGTGAAATAGAGTTCGTCATGACAACGGGGAGTGGGGGAAGGGGGAGGAGGCGGCGGCCCACAGAGGGGGAGACGGACGGCTGGACATATGCACGCAGATAATTGTTGGTCTAATTCATGTTTGTGACGATCTCAAAATAACAAAGGTTTCAGCGTTAGTTTCTGTCCATGGTGCTGAAATCTGGCAACACACTCTGTTTGTATTGATCGGTTATGACATCTTGATCAATTACATGTTGTATTAGTCAACTGATTAATGTATTTGAATAACAAGGACTGCTTTGAGAAAAGAGCAAAAATTAGATAGATACTTTATAGATAGATACTTTATAGATAGATAGATACTTTATAGATAGATACTTTATAGATAGATAGATACTTTATAGATATAGATAGATAGATACGTTATAGATAGATAGATAGGAAACCCGTAGGAAGCTAGATGAGGACCAATGCCCAATAAATAAATAAATGTTAACACATGTCCCGGTTCTTCCCGGTTCTTCCCGGTTCTTCCCGGTCCATCCTGGACCATCCCAGACCCTTCTACAATATTTAAGAGTATAATAAGAAAGTTGCTGTCAGTCCGATCTATGTCAGATTTAGTTTCATCAGATTTTGTCAACAATAAACTGACAGGAAAGGAATAGTTCCATCTCTGCTCAAAGTGCATTCAGTGCTTTTATAGACGTAACCACGATAGTTAATACAACAAATGTGTTTTCTTCTCGCTGAGGTACAACGCCAAATGTGTGTTGTAGAATACATGTTTTCATTCCAAGTGCCGAAAATGAGAAATAAAAAACATGAATTTGGGCTCTTTGGTTATTTTCAAATGTGTTTTCTGTGTGTTGTTATCCGTACACAAACATATACATACAACATAAACATATTTTAAAAGCTGTGATTGTAATTACTGAAAGTTAATTTTTTTTGTGTAGCAATAAACCATTAGTGATTATTATTATTATACATTTCCCTTTGCTTCGTTCTCCAGTCTCAGCAAAGTCACGGGTCCATTGCACGTTTGCTCATGAATTACTGAAATACATTGTCACAAATATTGATTTTGTTTCAGGGAAAGCCTGTTTTATGTTGTAGATATAATTCTGATGCGCTTTTTAACACATCTATAATCTCACCATTCAAGGCTGGGATCTGCAGTTGCAATATTGTGGACCATAATACAGGCGTAATGATGATTGATGGTTCCTGCTGGTCTTACCATATTTCTCGGACAGTCCCAGTGGGCAGAGCGACACCAGCAGCAGCAGTCCGCGCCATGCCTGGTACTGATGCAGCTGTCTCATGGTCCCTCACGCCTGGAACCAGCAGCAACGGGAGGCAAAAGGACCAAGTGGAGAGAGGATACAGACAAGGCTAAACTACAGACTCCCTGTTTAGATGCGGTCCCGTCCCCCCCTCTATGTCCCCCAATGCAAAGTTATATCCCCATACTGTCAATGTCGACCCTCAGCCACCACCGAGACGTGTCCGAAGCCCATGTGAGGGAGGAATGGGGGATAGAGAGGCTCGGGAGAGAGGTGTCTGACAGAGAGGGAGGAGCTTTACATCAGCGTGACGTCATGAGCCTTGATCATGGAAACCTATGGCGACAGGTGTATCCGCCGTGACGAAGATGGGAAACATAACTTATACAAATGGGCACGTATGGATTCTTCTCTCCATAAGACCTACCGGAGACCCCCAAAGGACTCAGCCCGTCAGCTCTCACACACCTGAGTAACATCTGTCACACTTACTGCCTATTGTCAAACCTTGCAGTAGGATTGGAGATAGGCTTGGGGCTGTTGCAAGGAGATAAGTTTTGTTCTTCAATTCGCCTTTTAGTTGAAATTTATAAAAAAAAACTTTAACAAAAAAAACTATTAAAACACGCAAAATCATTGAGTTTATCGTTATGACTCACGGTCGCCATCTGGTGGCCTTTATGGGAATAGAAGCGGACAAAACAAATCGGAATATTTTTTTAAAGACTTTTCCGTTAGATTCATTTTCATTGAGGCAACTGTGAGCAGCAGACTTTTAAATTGTCAGCTCTAAACTTCTCATGTTTTTACTTTCTGCTTTGTTTTCCTCTATCTAATTATTTTGACTTTGTATTCTTATGACTGTTTTATTGTTTATTATGTTTATTGTTTAAAGTTTAAAATATTAGTTAGCTGGTCCTTATAGACAGAGTCAATGCCACTGTTAACATGTAAACATAATGTAAACATTTCCCCACTGTGGGAAGAATAAGTAAATATATCTTATCTTTTAGCTTTCAAAGTACATTCCAATTTCAAAGTAAATCCATTCCATTTTCTTCCGCTTCATCCATTGCTGAGTCGCGGGGGCAGCAGTCTATGCAGAAACACAAATTCAATGTGTCCCATTTCAAAGTAAGTAATTTCATAAATGTATTTTTGATAAAATAATAACAACAGTAAACATGTCTCTAAATGTGGCTGGTTAATTTAATTTATACAAACAATTCACACACACGGACTGTGAAAGCATCCTTACAGAGTAAAAGAGCTTCACATCACATGTCTATAATACTGCACAGACAAAAGTATTTGCACTAGAAGAAATGAAAAAGATACAAAAATATGTATAAATATAAAATAAAAACAGATTGTATGGTACATTAAGGAGTGTCAAAGAAAACCAGAGGCTTTGCAGAGTAAAAACAATGAAATCAGGAAAATTAGAATTTAACTCCACAGATTGTCAGTCGTTGCTCTTTGAACACTTTGTGGCACTTAGACACAGAGATCTCTGCTTTTTAAAGCTTTTCCAGAGTCCGTCCTGAAAAACTGAGACAGACAAATGAGTAACAAGAGAAAACAAAAGTAAACAAGAGAATATATAAAGAAGGTCCTGTGTCCTCTTTGGATCAAGAAAACATTCATAAATCACTCCAGGCGCCAGAAGAACGGTTTGTTTCTACACATTTTACTCAAAGACAGAATAAGACCTGAAAACACAAACTTTCACCAGTAAAAAAAAAATAGTCAAGCAAGAAGTAGTTTGTTAAATCCAACATAAATGACAAACTAACCAACGATAATTGAGGATTGTAGACAAATAACTTTTCTAGTATAAAAAGTGGGTGAATTTAAGACAGAAAAATAAAATGTTGTGCTGCTTTTGGAAAACAAGGCAAAACTTTTCAATGAAACTGTAACAAACGTCTCAAAAGCAATACTGGAAATAACACAAAACCAAACAAAAACGCTGTTGTCGACTGATTGTCAAGGAGCAATAATTCACTGTCGATTTGTATAACCTTGTTTTGGAAGCTAATAACAGTCTCTTTGTGTTGCTTTGACACACACTAAAGCGATTCTCTGAAGTCCGCTGGCTCCACTCGGGTCTTCCTGGTCTCGCTCCTGGGCTCGGGTCCAGCCGGAGCCGAGGAGCGACGCCATAGTCATCACAACACACTCCAAATGCACAACTTTCAAAAAGCCAAGACCACTTTCAACACAAACATGTAGTAGTGATGCTAATATTAATAATAATAATAAAAAACACAATATAAAGCAGCATGTTGTAACTGAAAGGAAATATACTGTTTTTGTACAGAGCAAGTTTCAGTTCAAAGTGTTTAAAAACGTATCATGTTTTCGTATTGCACATTGTCAGACTGTCATCACATATTGGTAAGTTATTTTAAGAGATAAAATAGGGTCACTGTTGGATTTTAACAACAAAAATACCTTTAATAACAGATGGTAGAGGGTTTTCCGGTACTGAAGTTGGTTTGTTTTAATCTGAATTCAGTCAGAGGCCTTAAAACTACATTTTTTAGTCACTTTTTCTAATCTACAGAATGTGATATACTTTGCAAATGTTGAGTAAAAGTACTTTTTCAGCAACTAATATCCACTCTTTATCTAAACGTATTTGCGTATCGCTGCATTCTTTAAGTGCAACAGCATCTGATTTGGAACTTCAAATTTGTCAGTACTTCAAACGTAACAGTTTAATTGTCAGTTTCGGCGGTAACTTCCTCTTGAGGAGACGAGGGGAAAGGCCTTAACACTGAAGCTGGCACAGATTTAAAACCAGATTTTGCAGGACTGAACCATTAGGCGTCTCTACAGGCTGTAAATGCCACACTACGCACACGGTCGTCATAAAGGTCTTTTTAGGAGCTATCATTATCTTGCTCGATATCATAAAAACATCTCTCAGTAACGAAACTTCATTATTTTGAAGTCAAAAGCGATTCGGTAAAACAAATGAGAGAGCGTGGGTGTTTGTAGCTTATTTTGCAGCAGCTGTTGAAAATGGCATGTTACCTCTTTAGCCCACAGCTCCCTCTGGTGGCGAACGCGAGTAAACTGGCTCCACTCTTCACATTGAGATGTCCAACATTTGTGTAAAGCAGCTGGGACAGACGCAGCTCATGTGTCACTCGGTGGAACTCGCAGACGTTACTCCGCTCAGATCTAGACTTTACATTCACGGTCACCCCAAGAGCTGCCTGCTCCACCTCTGCACAAAAGGTTATAGTTTCTTGGTCCTGGATGAAAGGAGGTTGGATACAGATTCCAATAAGGAACATATTGTCACTACTGCAACTGTTCAGAATGGCCTCCTGATGTAGAGTATCAGTGGAATACAGTCAGTCTCACCTCTCCCTTGACCATTACTAAACATGATAAACTGCTCTTTAGACATAGACTGGTTCACAGCCCTCTCCCTGCTCCCCCTCCTCTTCATCCTCTTCTTCCTCTTCTTGCTCCTCCACCTGCTCTGGGCTGCTGGCTCCAGCAGCTCCAGACAAAACATAATTGTCCAAAGGTTTAGGGTAGCGGAACGGGCAGCCATTGTCATCAAAGAACCTGCGGAAGGTAAATTCATAGAAAGCGTGCTCTGGATGTTTTCCTTGAGGCGAACAGAGCAGGTCCAGTGTCCGAGTGCTGTCTTCACTGTCGCTCCAGGCCCCGGGGCCCCCTTCCTCCTCCACCGGGTCAAAATTGGATGTGTCCATGGGATGGGCGATCTTTGGTCTGTAGGGTGCAGGCTGTTGGCGTAAGTTGCTTGAGAAATCTACTTGTGAGAAGAACGGGTGACTCTTGATTTCTCCAGCTCCATTGGCTCCCAGTCGGTCCTCAGCCGAGCAGCAGAGTCGACCGATGATGTCCACGGACTCAGGACTGAGCTTGACCTGAGCAGGCACCTGAAGCGTGCTCTCCCAGTGAATAACCTAACAACAACACCATGACAACACTATTAGTTTAAAACAGGATAAATAGACCAAAGATCTTTCACATGTGTGATACAAATGTCATAATTAACCTTAATCTGAGTCTCCGTTGGCGTGGGGGCCAGGAAAGGTGGCTGTCCCACCAGCATCTCAAAGAGGATCACTCCCACACTCCACCAGTCACACAGCTGGGTGTAGCCTGGACACAATTCAGATTGTAGTTACCAATACTTCATTGGAAGAAGCAGCAAATCTGCTGAATACAAAAATGTAAAAAGACCACACCTTTCCGCAGTAAGACTTCAGGTGCGATGTAGTTGGGCGTTCCCACCAGGGAGTGGGCCAGACAGCGCTGGTGCTGCCTGTTCGCCCTCTGCTCCAGAGTCATCAGACGGTCTCCACAACGGCAGTTTGACACGTCGTCCCACAAGTCACTGGGCTCCATACTGTCTTGTCGAGCATGGCTTCCTGGGGAGATAAACATTTAAAAAAACGGTTAAAACAACATCATCTCAATTAAAAAGGATGTGTATTATTGTGTGACCTTTCTGGTAGTATTTAGAGTTGTGGGTCCAGCGAAAGCCTGTGCAGAGGCCAAAATCTGTCAGTTTGATGTGTCCGTCCAGGTCGATGAGGATGTTGTCTGGTTTGATGTCTCTGTGGATGAAGCCCATCTTGTGCACGCTCTCGATGGCCAGTGTGAGCTCGGCCACATAGAAGCGAGCCAACGTTTCTGGAAACACTCCCATTCTGATCAGGAGGCTCATCATGTCGCCTCCGGGGATGTAGTCCATGACGAAGTACAGGCTGTCGCGGTCCTGGAAGGAGTAGTAGAGGCGCACCACCCACTCGTTGTCTGCTTCTGCGAGGATGTCCCGCTCGGCTTTCACATGGGCCACCTACAACATAATCAACATTAAATACACAACTGTCAGATAAATACAACCAAGGTATTGACAAGTTTAAATGAACGTAACAATAATGAACTCTATCCATCTCACCTGGTTGCGGTTGAGGACATCTTTCTTGCGCAGTGTTTTCATGGCATAAAGCGCACAAGTGTCCACCTTTCTGGTCAGACAAACTTCACCAAAGGCACCAATGCCCAGAGTTTTGATCTTGACAAACATGGATTTGTCCATTTTAGCGCGACGAAGCCTGTTGTAGTTGGATTCTTTCTGGTTCAACATTTTCCTCATCTGCTCTTGCTCTGCCTCCGATAGACCAGCCTGGACAACCCATGTGGAAAGAATATTGAAAGAAAGATACATTAAGACTGAAAGAATATGAACACAAACATATGTTGAGGGTTGAAAATAGGAGGTATTCTGTGTGTACCTGTTGTAAAGCATTTAACACTGAAAATGAAAATGTGTGTGATGAAGCCTCTGGAGTACAACAAAAGTCATCAAATGAATTCATGATCTGAAGAACTGACCTTGGACATCTCTTGCTCCAGCTGCAGTCGTCGGTTGAGCTTTTGCTGGTGGGTTTTCATCACATTCTCAATATGCTGCTCCATGTAGAACTTAAATGCAAAAGGTGAGTAGGACTTAATGCGAGACTCCCTCTTCTCCTCATCTCGTCCGTTCTTCCTGACGGGGACGGGTGATGTCTGGATTTGTTTCTTGTCTTTCACAGCCTTCCCTCCTTTTGGTGCCTTGGCCTTCTCCTTCAGCTGGCTCTCCTCTTTGCTGCTCCCTCCACTGCTGCCGTGTGAGCTCCTGGCCCCAGGTTCCTGGGGTCCACACAAAGCTCCATCCATAACTGGGACTGCCTCAGTCCCAGTGAGGAGCAGGTTTTTGGGGTACGGAGGCGGCGGGCAGCGGGGCTCCTGCGCAGGCTCCAGGCTGTATGTCTCCTCCGGGACATAACTCAGTGTGTCACTGTCCGAGCCTGGACTGGTCATCCAGCCTGGGTGGCAGGGGCCCACAGCGGTCTTGGGCTCTGGCCTCAGGACTCGGATGCTGCTCACAGGCTTCTGGATGGGGGGAGAGGTCACTGCAGTGATGGTGTTTGGGGGTCCCAGGGACGGGTCCTGCGCAGACATCGTGGGCCGGATTCCAGGTCCAGTGGAACGGTTATTGAAAGAGTTGGTTCTACTCGGAACACGGACCTCCCTGAAGGGGGGGCACTGGGGCTGAGACTGTCGGGCTGAAGGCGCTCCCTCTGGACCTGGGGGTCCCGTCCAGTGGTGCTCGTACAGGTCCAGGTTCAGGCTGGCTCTTGATGGGGTCATTAGACCTTGGGGTATTTCTGAGAAGTCAGGCCCCAAGGCGCCCCCTGGGGGCCGGGACATGAGGTGGACCTGATGAGAAGTGGGGCTGTTCTGCCGGGGGTGTGAGTGGGACAGGTACATGTTGGCAGGATACCCCCCTGCTGTGGCAACAGGCACACTCTGCCCCATGGCACTTTTACTCTGCATGTACTGCTCTGCGGCCATGGGGGATGAGGACATCTTGTTCTGGAAAGACGGGGTCCTCTTGACTCCGTAGTTAGCGGGCTCCATCATGTGAGGTCTGCCATGGCCGTAGTCGAAATGTGCCCCCGGGCCTCCAGGGGGCAGTGGCTGGCCTGCAACACTGTAGCTCATCATGGGCTCCAGGGCACCAGGGTAGCCCTTCTGCTGAGCCCCCGGAGGGTACATGTTGGGAGTGGGGTTACTTTGACCCGTCATCACGGGTGGATAGGTGCCCATATTAGGGGGACGGCCCATTGGGTTTCCCATGGCAGGGCCTTGTCCTGCACCATTAGGAGGCAGCATATAATTCATGACTGGGCCCGGGCTCATGTACGCTCTGGACATCTCTCCATCAGGACCATATCCAGCTGCTCCGTCGTACAGAGGTACCCCCATCTGGTGGTACGGAGGCATAGCTGCAGCTTCAGCGGATGGCTCTAGTGGTCGGTGGTCCAGGGTGTTTGACATTCCACCTTTTCCTGATGGTACATTATATGAAGTCATTATAGGACTATTTAACTTTCAGTGTAAATGTGCATGATAATCACCTGGAGAAGTCTGTTTGATTACACGGACAATGAGTTCATTGCGGGGGTCAAGATAACCCATCTTACTGATGTACTCAAGAGCAGCTTCGATGTTTCGACTTCCTGTTTGCTTTAGTGCTCGCACTGCCATCTCCTGCACAAACAACATGTGTCTAATTAGTTACTTAAAACCAATTTGTTTTCCAACAAAATAATGAAATCTGGAGTGAATACGGCAGTAGCTGTGTTTTTAACAAGCATGTGTTTTAACTTTAGCTCTGTCTTTTCCCTGTTTAAGTGTTGGGAGGATCACCTCCAGAGGCTTTCATCTGATCATCTGAGCTCTGCTGGTTAACGCTGCTGCCAGAATTTCTTTCCAAACAGAGGAGTAACTTATGATTAATGCACTAGAGAAAAATATGAAGAGGAACATTCCTTTCAGCCTTTTATGAAACTGTGTCAATCACGCTTCGGGCTCCCACATTAATTCAGCGCAGATCTGATACAACACCTTCTCAGTTCACCAAAGCAGTAGTCAAACTGGTAAACCTTTCACCCCTTGTGGATCGATCAGTCGACTAAAAGCGAAGCAGCAGGAGCTGCCACGGCTTTGTGACAGCATTTCAAATTTGTGCAGCTAAAATTCTGTTGTGGGTGCTTCTACTCTGACAATGTTCAAATCCAGATTAAAAAAGACCTGTTTATCTGCGTATACAACAGAAGGATTGCATTTCACTCTTTTAAATGCACTGTGAAACGTTACGATGTCAATGGCTTCCTTGTATGATTTTTCTATCTTGTTTTGTTAAGTACTTTAACTTGCCTTGCCTTACAGTAATTATAAAACCCATACTGGCAAAAAATAAACTGGACAATGCAATAATTGACAACACAAACGGCATGAATTAGCACCAAAGCTAACATGTTGTCTAATGCAGTGGCCTATATGTCTCCCACTCACGGGTCCACACCTCCCCACAAATGGCTCATGACCTCAGCCCAAAAACATTTCATCCAGAGCCGCACAGAGCCTCCATTGAGCGTGGCAGCAATGACACCACTGTTAATGGCTCCAATTTAGCACCACACGCTGCTGAGAATAAATAGCTTCATAGTATTTTACAAATGAGGCTCTACAAGGTTTGAGACAATTAGCAAACGTGAAACTAGAAATACTTCGGCTGCATAGTCCACATGTTTTCCCTCTGAATCAAAGCTAAAGTACTTTTTGTTTCATTAACAACATAACATGCTGCATTTATCTCAATAGAAAACACTTGGAAAATACTTGTAAAAAAGAGTCCTGTGTCATGATTTAAGGCTTTGGGCAAAGAGCTTTTTGGCGACAGTGGTCCTCTCTTTTTCAAGTATCCGTCTTCAGGCTTCATGCATGTGAAAATTAGTCTTTGAGCAAAACTGTTTTGAAAATGTCAATGGATTTTCATGGTTACATTTGCAGAAAGGACACCTCCTGGCTTTGTGCTGTGAAGCACAAATACTAACCGGTATTACCCAGATGTCTCGATAGTACTGTAAAAGTAGAGGGACAGAGTTGCAGCCTTACACGCAGCTTCCAACGCAACAGAACTGGAGTTGATGTGTTGTTGTTTGGTTGCTGTCCCAGTGACCATATAGGTGTAACTTGTGAATTACGTCGATACTTCTATTTTAAACGTGTTCTTATTTTTTACACAAACAGAAGAGCCATCCGCCCTCGACAGTGTTTATACTCCATTTCCTGTGAGTGGATGTGTGCTACATTCCTGCGTAGCAGAGTCCAGGCTCAGCAGAGTCCAGGCTCAGCAGAGTCCAGGCTCAGCAGAGTCCAGGCTCAGCAGAGTCCAGGCTCAGCAGAGTCCAGGCTCAGCAGAGTCCAGGCTCAGCAGAGTCCAGGCTCAGCAGAGTCCAGGCGCAGCAGAGTCCAGGCGCAGCAGAGTCCAGGCTCAGCAGAGTCCAGGCTCAGCAGAGTCCAGGCGCAGCAGAGTCCAGGCGCAGCAGAGTCCAGGCTCAGCAGAGTCCAGGCTCAGCAGAGTCCAGGCTCAGCAGAGTCCAGGCTCAGCAGAGTCCAGGCTCAGCAGAGTCCAGGCTCAGCAGAGTCCAGGCGCAGCAGAGTCCAGGCTCAGCAGAGTCCAGGCTCAGCAGAGTCCAGGCGCAGCAGAGTCCAGGCGCAGCAGAGTCCAGGCTCAGCAGAGTCCAGGCGCAGCAGAGTCCAGGCTCAGCAGAGTCCAGGCTCAGCAGAGTCCAGGCTCAGCAGAGTCCAGGCTCAGCAGAGTCCAGGCTCAGCAGAGTCCAGGCGCAGCAGAGTCCAGGCTCAGCAGAGTCCAGGCTCAGCAGAGTCCAGGCGCAGCAGAGTCCAGGCTCAGCAGAGTCCAGGCGCAGCAGAGTCCAGGCTCAGCAGAGTCCAGGCTCAGCAGAGTCCAGGCGCAGCAGAGTCCAGGCGCAGCAGAGTCCAGGCTCAGCAGAGTCCAGGCTCAGCAGAGTCCAGGCGCAGCAGAGTCCAGGCGCAGCAGAGTCCAGGCGCAGCAGAGTCCAGGCTCAGCAGAGTCCAGGCTCAGCAGAGTCCAGGCGCAGCAGAGTCCAGGCGCAGCAGAGTCCAGGCTCAGCAGAGTCCAGGCTCAGCAGAGTCCAGGCTCAGCAGAGTCCAGGCTCAGCAGAGTCCAGGCTCAGCAGAGTCCAGGCTCAGCAGAGTCCAGGCTCAGCAGAGTCCAGGCTCAGCAGAGTCCAGGCTCAGCAGAGTCCAGGCGGACAGAGCTGCGCAGTAATGTCACAACCCATTTCCTCGCTGTTAAACGCAGAGTTCTGTATTCTGTAAATGTGGCACTACAGGGCTTAGAGCTAACATAGAGTTAACACGGAGTTAACATAGAGTTAACACAGAGTCAGTCACACTCACATTGGGGGAGGCTGAGATTTTCACTAAATATATTAAAGCAAAACAAAACCACGGGGATTTATTTTGATATAAATGTATAAGAAGTACTTCAGGTTGAATGTAAAAAGGGATTAGCTAAAAGCTTAATTCCCACTCATTCAGAAATATATCTAATATAATGTTTAATTATCAATAGGATCAAAGTATGTCGAAGGATACAAAGAATGTTCTGTTCCATTAACCATTTGCTGATGGAGACCATAATAATTGCAATTTTGATTTGTTTCTGATTAATCTGGCATGATCGACACATCGATTATATACAATTTACTTTTTAACATGGATTTATATATTGGTTGTAAACATTTGTTGCAAGTTCCTTGCTATAGACACTGTGGAAATACTTGTTTTTATAAGTTTGCATTGATAATACCACAAATATGTAATGTATAAAATGTTTGTAAATAACCCAAAATGTTTGCAGCTTTTGAAATAACTACAGAGTCAGAAAAGTGACATTTCAAAACCTGATGAAGGCCCTGTTTATCGTTTTATTTAACTTATGGCCCGTATTTAAAGGTTATTCCGATGTTTGGACCTTCTCTGCGTCTCGGTCAGACGGCGAGCGGTGACGCAGCTGTCATGGCGGCAGATGTTGCTCTCATTCCTCTGCTCAGGAAGAAGGAATCCGAGCTATCTGCCAATCTGTGTCTTTCTTTTACTCATTTGAAACTATGCACACAATCACAAACACACAATCACAAACAGACAATCACAAACACACAATCACAAACACACAATCTCAAACACACAATCCCAAACACACAATCACAAACACACAATCACAAACACACAATCACAAACACACAATCACAAACACACAATCACAAACACACAATCACAAACACACAATCTCAAACACACAATCCCAAACACACAATCCCAAACACACAATCCCAAACACACAATCCCAAACACACAATCCCAAACACACAATCCCAAACACACAATCCCACAATCAGACAATCACAAACACACAATCCCAAACACACAATCACACAATCCCAAACACACAATCCCAAACACACAATCCCACAATCACACAATCAGACAATCACAAACACACAATCACAAACACACAATCCCAAACACACAATCCCACAATCACACAATCAGACAATCCCAAACACACAATCCCAAACACACAATCCCAAACACACAATCCCAAACACACAATCCCAAACACACAATCCCACAATCACACAATCAGACAATCCCAAACACACAATCCCACAATCACACAATCAGACCCCAAACACACAATCCCAAACACACAATCCCACAATCACACAATCAGACAATCCCAAACACACAATCCCAAACACACAAACTGAACTGTGCTGCTGCAAACAACAACATGGTCAAAGATATTAACGTGACAAAGTTTATGAGAAGAACTGTGAGACTCGAAGCCATTTCTCAAACACATTCCTCTGAGCGCTCACAAATGAGAGCCATATGGCGGACGGTCCAGAGCAGAAGCCGGGATGGACAATGCCAAGAGGGATGTCCATCTATCATCCAACATATTCAACTGTTTTACTGTTTCTCATTTACAGACTTTATAAAGGCTGAAAGTTCCAGAGAAAAGAAATGCTAACTTCCCCTGCTCTGCTCTTTCCTTCCTGGTCATGTCGATGCGTGGCAGAGCACCCCCCCCCCCTCCACCCTCCCTCACATCCCTCCCTCACATCCCTCCCTCACACCCCTCCCTCACACCCCTCCCTCACACCCCTCCCTCACCCCCCTCCCTCACACCCCTCCCTCACACCCCTCCCTCACACCCCTCCCTCACACCCCTCCCTCACACCCCTCCCTCACACCCCTCCCTCACATCCCTCCCTCACATCCCTCCCTCACACCCCTCCCTCACACCCCTCCCTCACACCCCTCCCTCACACCCCTCCCTCACACCCCTCCCTCACATCCCTCCCTCACACCCCTCCCTCACACCCCTCCCTCACATCCCTCCCTCACACCCCTCCCTCACACCCCTCCCTCACACCCCTCCCTCACACCCCTCCCTCACACCCCTCCCTCACACCCCTCCCTCACACCCCTCCCTCACACCCCTCCCTCACACCCCTCCCTCACACCCCTCCCTCACATCCCTCCCTCACATCCCTCCCTCACACCCCTCCCTCACACCCCTCCCTCACACCCCTCCCTCACACCCCTCCCTCACACCCCTCCCTCACACCCCTCCCTCACACCCCTCCCTCACACCCCTCCCTCACACCCCTCCCTCACATCCCTCTAAAACATTTCCTTCATAGAAAAACTATTATGTAACAGCAACATCGCTCCTGAATACAGACAGAGGCTCGAAAAGAACCCAACACAGGTTTATTTAGTGTGTAAAAACTTGGTAGGTCATTGTAAGTAATCAGAGAAGAGGCTGCAGATTATTAAATCACTTCTTACAAAATGCCATAATGACATTTAACATCCATTAAAGTGACACCAGCAGAAAAGAACTCATTTTTCTATGAGGCGACACACTGACTGGAGACTGGACGGAGCGGAGGAGGAACTACTCCACCCTGCTGCCATTGAATGTTCATTTCCTGTTTGCGCGGCCGAGCGGCAGGCCCTGGTCCATTCACAATGGTGGAAACCACACACGGCAACAGGTCATCGACGACCCACATCTGAAGCCTGCTACATTTACTGCTTTGCTCCAATACTTCACAAAGCATTTGTACTTCAGCTGCAGTACATCGTACATGTTGGAGAAATACCAAGGCCACAGAGAGACGCTGGAAAGGGCCTCAAAGATACTGCGCAGAAACCCTCAAGGTCCTTGTTGAGAGAGGTATAACGGCCTGTGGAAGGTGAACGTGGCTTTACATGAGTCTATACATACTGGACAACAAAAACAAAATGACTTTCAGGAGGGCTGAAGGACATGGGAGTATCCGGGACATGAGAAAATAGTGAAAAGATCCGCACATCTGTGTTACTCCCAATAAGTGTCATCATTTACAGACCACGTGGAACGTTTCATCAGATCCAGGACATTGATTAAACTAAGGACCAATGACTCCTGGATGTTTTATTGTATTTCCTGATCTGCTGCTGGCAAATTGACAATTATGTGATTTTGTTGTTGCCATCTTTAACATGTGCAACGATCAGAAGTACTGACATATTTTTACTACTACTACAACTGCAAAATCTGCAAAGATTAATTTCAGAGGTGTTTTCTTGGTGAAGTGGACTTCCTCCCGTCAGGAGTTTGTGAGCAGCAGAGCATTCCTGACATGCCGAGCTCCATCAGGCCCAGGCTTAACCACTCACAGACCAGCATCATGAAACACTTTAACACAATCATGCTTCACTTATTACTGATTCAATGTAAGTTTTATAATTGTGTTCTTTTAGGTAACAGTGTTTCTGCAGTATCTGAGTCCACATGACTCTCATCGATCTGAGGACAAAGGTTAAATATGTCTCGCTGTTCTCTTAAAGGCCTTCACTTAAAGGAGAAATATGTCTGGATCTTGAGCTCACATTCCTCAGAATCTCACTAAATATGTAAATGGCTTGATTGGGAAATCACTCAAGATTTCAACATTTCATCCTGTTGCATAACCTCAGCAAACACTTCAGAGAACATGTTTCATTCACAGAAGAAAAAACAATCCAATTACTGGACATTTGTCGACTCATTCAAGTGTACAACACATTTAGTCTGCTCTTGGAAGATAATGAAATGAATAATGACATTATCTGTTAAACAAAGAGTGTTGCATTTGTTTAAACTCCATAATAATAATAATAATAATAATAATATATACACACAAACTGAACTGTGCTGCTGCAAACAACAACATGGTCAAAGATATTAACGTGACAAAGTTTATGAGAAGAACTGTGAGACTCGAAGCCATTTCTCAAACACATTCCTCTGAGCGCTCACAAATGAGAGCCATATGGCGGACGGTCCAGAGCAGAAGCCGGGATGGACAATGCCAAGAGGGATGTCCATCTATCATCCAACATATTCAACTGTTTTACTGTTTCTCATTTACAGACTTTATAAAGGCTGAAAGTTCCAGAGAAAAGAAATGCTAACTTCCCCTGCTCTGCTCTTTCCTTCCTGGTCATGTCGATGCGTGGCAGAGCACCCCTCCCTCACACCCCTCCCTCACATCCCTCCCTCACACCCCTCCCTCACACCCCTCCCTCACACCCCTCCCTCACACCCCTCCCTCACACCCCTCCCTCACACCCCTCCCTCACATCCCTCCCTCACATCCCTCCCTCACATCCCTCCCTCACACCCCTCCCTCACACCCCTCCCTCACATCCCTCCCTCACATCCCTCCCTCACACCCCTCCCTCACACCCCTCCCTCACACCCCTCCCTCACACCCCTCCCTCACACCCCTCCCTCACATCCCTCCCTCACACCCCTCCCTCACACCCCTCCCTCACATCCCTCCCTCACATCCCTCCCTCACATCCCTCCCTCACATCCCTCCCTCACACCCCTCCCTCACACCCCTCCCTCACATCCCTCCCTCACATCCCTCCCTCACACCCCTCCCTCCACACCCCTCCCTCACACCCCTGTGTACAACACATTTAGTCTGCTCTTGGAAGATAATGAAATGAATAATGACATTATCTGTTAAACAAAGAGTGTTGCATTTGTTTAAACTCCATAATAATAATAATAATAATAATAATATATAAGCTGATGTTTGTGTTCTCGCTCACCTGGTCACAGCCAGCGTTGACCAGCTCCTGCAGCATTTGTCTGTTGACCTCCCCAGCCCCTGTGGGATGACCCGAGCCAGACGAGGCCCCAGACTCGTTGGCAAAGGGCAAGAGGGACTTGCGGATCTCCCTCAGAGCATTCTGGTAGTTGTTAAACTTCTGTGGTGGACGGAGCTGCTGCTGCCTGTTTCCTGTGTCTTTATTGCTCTTACAGTCGGAGCTCCTACTGCCCTCGACACGAGAGCTGCCCCCGTGCAGAGCTTGGCTCATCAGTTTGGCCGGCTGCTTCAGACCCTCCTTGATCTCCTGCAGCCTCTGCCGAGTGTTGCCCACATACGGAGCGGCGGGGAAAGTCTTGGGCCTCATGGCCTCAGAGGCTGAAGCGATGACTGAGTTATGTTAAGTGTGGCACTCTACAGGATTAAACAAACAATGCCACTGCAGATTACTGAGTGCAGAAGGTCGTATAAGTTTGTTTCTGATGAGTATGTAGAAGCTGCAGTCTCTACAGTCTCTCCATGGTAAAGCTTTCACGGCTTTGGGTCCAATTTATTCCAAGAAATAGAGCCGGTCACAAGTGCACCTCTGAGCCAGACCATGATGCTGCCAAACTGCGCCTGCACAAGAGACAAAGATTCAGTTGGTTAACACCATCAACTAAAACATATTCAAAGTATTTTATGCTGAATGCCTGGTAGTGTTGATCATGTGAACGATACAGTTATATTATCTGTGAATACATAGTTGAGAGGGTCAGCACGGTGCAGACCCCAGGACATGATGCAGCGCCACACGACTGGACGCTCAGGGTCAGCACGGTGCAGACCCCAGGACATGATGCAGCGCCACACGACTGGACGCTCAGGGTCAGCACGGTGCAGACCCCAGGACATGATGCAGCGCCACACGACTGGACGCTCAGGGTCAGCACGGTGCAGACCCCAGGACATGATGCAGCGCCACACGACTGGACGTCCTACACCCAGAGCCTCCTTATCACATCTATTCACATAACAGCGGGATTCAAGCCACGCATAGCATTAATGCACATGTCTGTGTTAAAGGGGCTTCATGTGAGGCCAGAGGGCTAATACAGAGCAGACCAAAATAACTGACATGTGCGGGTTGGTGTGAAAGACGGGAAAATGAAAACATGTAGAAGAACCATCTTACAAGTTAGTTTCAGTTGTTTATTTCATGTTGTAGCATTTTAATACTTCTGGGCGTACAGAACCCCGTGAGTCTCTGTCGCAATTTATTGGTGTTTATTAGTTGTTGAAATATTTTGGTCTGGACCAAATTAGTGACCCAACCCTCCTCGGTCCCAAAAGCTATGCTGTCCAACTGAGTGGCTCATAAACTTTACATACCGATCTCAGCATAGACAGATTCCTACAGCTGTAGCCGGTATGAGAATGTCTTTAGTTCAGATAAATTACGGCCTTTCATTAAGCAGCGGGGACATTTACCAACAACAGTTTACCCAAAGTCAAAAGTACAGAGAAGCATGGAATTGTTTTGTGAAACTGGATAGAACTAAATATCTACGACTATGAAGACAAATCCAAATTAGAAACAGATCATGGTTCGACGTTTAATCTATAAACCACATTCATTATTACTAAATCCCTTTGAGGTATTCTTTAGCTGTAACTTCAGACTTCAGTTTATAATTACATCAGCAGCTGTATGAACTGGCAACTCCTGTGCGTGTGGGCCACAGCGGGTCGAGAGGGCGGAGAGTGTATAAATGTTGAACCATCTCTGAGATCTCGACTCCATTCCTGCGATGCTTTAGGCGCCATGTCCAACGAATAACATTCCATTCCACAAGTAACTACAAGTAAAGCCATAGCAGCAGCGACGCATCATGAGACCCACACTGACCAAAATACACCAGAAAGCAAGATTTATTGGAATTGGGTCTCAGAAATAAGGACGTAACAGGATCCAAATGTCAAAAAGCAAAATTACCGCCAATGATTAGTAAGTAAGTAAGTATTTATTTATATACCGCCTTTTCACTGCAGATCTGAGTCTCAAAGCGGTTTACAATTGTTAATTTTTGGGCATTTGTCTCTCACTCCACACAGAGATGGGAGCGCGGTCGCCAGTACAGGAGGCGCATGCTAGAACTATTGGACATATTTTTAGTGGTAGGGGAAACCGGAGTACCCGGAGGAAACCTACGCAGACACGGGGAGAACATGCAAACTCCACTCAGAAAGGCCCTGGTCCGACCGGGATTCGAACCCAGGACCTTCTTGCTGAGAGGCGAGAGTGCTATCCACTCAGCCACCGTGCCGCCCGGTGTTGTTGTTTACAAAGTGTTCCGCTCTTGAAATGTACTTTTGTGATTTCTCAGTTGAGCTGGTTCTGACCTCTGTGCTGCGACCTGTGCACATGAGCAGGAGAATGCTGCATAAAGCACTTTACAAGACGTTTTTGACATCGTGTTGCACCTTGAACAACAAAACAGAATACTTTCCGACGTTTTAACATTTAAACCTCAATGTAAATATCGTGCCACTATTCACTTATATGGGGCGACAGTAGCTCAGTTGGTAGAGCATTGGCCTTTGAGCCTGAAGGTCGTGGGTTCAAGCCCACCGTAAGACCCACTTCACCCGTCTCCCACTGATGACTGCTGTCGTTGTGTCCTTGGGCAAGACACTTAACCCCACTTTGCCTGAAGCTCCCACTGAAAGATCTCAGCTCCTGCGGACTCAGCACCTGCAGGAGGATCAGTGAGGGGCTGGTGCTCTGTGGACTGGGTGGCATCTCTGGCCACCCCCCCGACCCAGAAATGGATTAAGGGGAAGAAAATGGATGGATGGATGGATATTCACTTATATTATAATTAGGGCTGTAGTTGACCAAAGAAATCCACTGATCAACGTGAAGAGAGAAATATAAAACTTTATGGTTACATGTTTCTGAAGGATCTACGATATTTAATCTCTACGCAAACAATGAAACAAACTTAAAATGGAACAAAAGAAAGACCAAATCTGAAGCTCCATTTCTTTCAGGTGAAACTCAAAAAATAAGAAAATCATTGATAAAAATGAACCCAATATATGATCAGAATCGTTTTCATTGCCATGTGAGTAACAGGAAGTCAAAAAGGATTCTGATTCTGATCATATATTGGGTTAAAAAGGGTCTTTTGAACAATATACTTATTTTACTAGTGTCACCTGTCGTTACTAATAATGTGGTAGAACAGACGGGCTGAAGAGCAGTTAAACCACATTGGATTAGGAGAAGTGTAAAAAGGTGTGAAAGACAATAACAATAAATGTTTGTCATACGAGTTTTCTAGTTTTATTTTTGATAAAAGTAAAAACTAAGGTCAAACTTTTTCTGAAATCGAAGACCTCAGATGTTGTGGAACTTGAATCAAGAGTCCATCACAAAATCAATCTTTGTCAGATAAAAGTGTTTCAATATGAATTACTCGAACAATACACATGTTGATCGACAAGACTTCAACCGATTTATCGACTAAACAACCAAAGACTGATCATAGTAAATAAGAAAGTAATGTTTATTTATATAGCGCCTTTCACAGACCAAAGCGGTTTACAATTGTGGACATTAGTCTCTCCACACAGAGATGGGAGGGGTCGGTACAGGAGGCACAGACCTATTGTACATGTCTTTAGTGGTGGGGGAAACCGGAGCACCCTGAGGAAACCGACGCAGACACGGGGAGAACATGCAAACTCCACTCAGAAAGGCCCTGTTCCATCATCAGAGCCCTAATCATAACACTTTTATTCTCCAGATAACTGTAGATTGATACACTATCGGTGCTGGCTTCCATCTTTCAAGGGGTTGTTCTTTTATAAATTCCGGTCCAGAACCACGGATGGATTTTCCAAAGAAACGGTTGTATAAAAGTACCGACTTTGGATCTAGAAGGAACCAACAGTCGATGACATTAATAGTGTAAGCTGCTCCTGTCAAAGCGGCCGTCAGCCTCGTCACATCTGGCCTCATGTTTGCAGCTTGTGTTTGTCGTTTCCCTGACAGATGCTTGACACGATTGGATCCAGCTGTGGCCTCTTACCTGGCAACGCAGCGCTGCATTGGAGCAAACAAAGCACAACAGTCCCCTGTGTGTGCGGAGAAAGTGAACCCCAAATAAAACAGCTCACGAGTCACTGAAACCAGGGCATAAATGACTCCTCACAACTGGAAACAATACACGATAATGCCCACACACACATCCAGCAGGAAATGTACGGCAACGATAAAAACGGACACACAACAAGAGGAGTAAGTGGTACAAATATGTCTAACACTCGATCCAGATGCCCTCCAACAAAATCACCTCATGAGTCTTTGTGAGTCTCATTTAAGCGACTAATACGCTGATCAAAAGCTATCTTTGCACTCTATCGCAACTGTAGCCAAACTATTCAGCATCTTTTGTTTTAAACATAAAGACACAGACACAGTAACAGACAAATCTGTACCAAAAAATTAAACAAAGAAATGTTGACTTGACCATGTTCAGAGTACAGTAATATCCACTAATGTTGTAGAGAGTGAGGGGGCTTCCACCTTGAGGCTTTTGGCAGCCGTAAGCCCTGCCAAGAGAACCCGCCAAGAAAAGTCTGAAGAAACAGGAGAGAGCAGATATATGTACTGAATATACCGTCTGCCCTCCATACACGGACAGACCACCATCTTTCAGAACTCAACAACACTCCCAGAACAAATGGAAATAGGTCCAGACGCAAAGTGCAGGTCAGGTCCGATTTACACTTTATGGAAAGTTCTATGGTAAAAGGTTTGATGAACAAATAATGGGAAAGAACAGGAGGGATTAACTTGATCATCAGGTAAACCAGACTTTCTCTTTTGAGCAGATGAAAAAACACATTATTCTGTCTCCTGTAGGTTAAAGTTTTGCTTCACAAAACAAATGTCTGTGTCATTATGAGTTCTATACATTATATTTGTCCATTCACTGTCTCATTTATGAATACTACAACATCATTGTATAGTAATAATAATGTGTGTGTGTGTGTGTGTTGCCGGGTATGTACATTATTGTTTTCCAGAGAGAATAATTTAACTTGAATTCAAAGTATTAAACATGTTCAGATTGAGGCCTCCCACTTATATGTAATATGTCCATTGAAACCAGCCGAGTCTGGAGATAAAGCTCTTCTTCTAAAAACTACAATTTCAGATAATAACGCATGTGCTGGGATTTTAAGAAGGTAATGCCACACATAAAGTAGGTTATAACAACTGCAGATTACCACATTCCTATGAAGTTAAAATAACCTGCAGATGATAAGATATTCTGAACTTACTCCATTTTGTCCTATCCTAAATACCACAACAACGCAAATACAGTGTGACATTAAAATACACAATCTGTAGAGTCCTGGGGCAGATTGGGGTGAAACAGTAAGATAAGATACGAGTTCCTTTACTCGTCCCACAGTGGGGAAATTTCAATGTTGCAGTGCACAGACAGGACAGTAGTAAGAGCATACAGTGAGCACACAAAATATACAAAAATAAGTAGTAGCTGAATTACTTAACTATCTGTAAATGCTGTAAATGCTACGATACCAGTCTTTCAAAATAAAATATATACATGTAGTAGTGCAGAGTTAAATACTGTACAGGGTAATAGGCAGATAAGTAATGTGACTTTGTTCAGTGACATTCTGAAGGAGCAGAAAAAGAAAAAGCAAAGAGGATTTAACATTGGAGATAGACACAATACATATAAAGCGCTTCTATGTGAAGTTGTACGGTGAAACATTCTTAGTCTGGTGTAAAAGCACAGTAGTAACATGCACAGAGCAGGATATCCAGGCTGCTCCAACGTGCTTTGGCCTTCACCGCTGGGGAAAGACGCACGCCTTCAATACGCCTTTTAAAACTCTCAAAACACTTAAATAACTATTATCAAACTCTGACTTCGCTGTGATTCTCTGCTTCATAAACATAACGGATTTTCCTCTGAGCAACAACCCGTGCAAACAAAGTTCCAGCACCACTCCCCTCCGCAGGAAAACTATGTCCAACTTACCATGTGAGAGACGGGGCAAGAATAACACACACATTTGCGCAGACTGCGTCCAAAGTCGGGCGTCAAAGTGCGCGAAAAAGTCGTGGATAACGAAAGAAAATCAGTGAAATTGCGGGTTTTTCTCAGACTTGATGAAACGAGACTCCATTTTATCGCAGACTGCAGTGGGATCAGAAATGCAGCACAAAGTTGGACACTCGCCGCATTGTTAACATTCCTGAGGTCACGTGACGGACCAACGCACGTCACACTGCGTCAAAGATCGTCTCTGGAGGACAAACAAAGATCGTCTCTGGAGATGTGCTCAATTATGATCACAGCGGTGGGACTTGAGCTCATTCTGGTAGCACTGTGTAATATTATTACATGCCATAATAGTTGCACCCCATAGTTTTATTTTATAACCACCGTTTTATTGTACATAATTTTGAAATGCAATGCTTGGTTCCGCCAGCAGAGGGCGCTTGGTGCTTTCACTAGTGGTTGCTGCCGGGGCAACGCTTAACGTGATGACACTGCACCGAGTGAGCTCCTGCATTCAATGTCTGTTTTACGTGTAGCAGGTAGGCTGGTTTGTTAAAAACACACAGGTGATGGCTAACAGTGGTGACATGTATTGTGTACAACTTTCAGTGCCTTTGATAGAGCTAAAGGGGCAAAAGGGATACTTCGGGGTGATTGTATCAGTTGGGGTTGCCGCGAGTCAACAGAACCGTTGGTAGTCGCGAGACAACGGCCACAAAAGTATCTGAAACTGTATTTTTTTGTAACAATTGTATATTTGAGAGTGGTTAAAGATGGCTCAATGTTAACATGTTTCTAAAGAGTCAAACTGAATTTAGAGTTTATTTCAAATAAAACACGGGTCCTTTGTCAAGGTGAGATAGGCGGACTTGCATGACTAATGTGATAGGGCAGAGCGTATTCTCCACACAATGTGACTTCATACTGGTAATGACATGATTGTAAGCTGGGGAATATTAGAACAGTATCTATAATTAATAATATTGAGAGGAATGTGTTTTTTGTGTGTGTTTTGATCATATTGCAGATCATATTGTGTGTAATTATACTTAAATGTATAGAAGTACACGAGTGAGCTCCTGCCTTCAATGTCTGTTTTACGTGTTTTGCAGAGACTGAATTAAATTTAAATGTGCTGCACATGAATGAGCCCATCATTCAAAGAGTGTAACATTTGCGCCACGATTTTTTGTGTGCAAGATTTCGACAAATATATTGAAAACGTAAACTGAAAGTGCACGTACGAGAACCCTGAAGGACAAACAAGTGGGAAGACTCTTTGCGAAGTAGAGGGCCTGCTGTAGTTTTGGTCTCTGATGATAGATGGGAGCAATCTCAGCACAATGAAAGATGTAGGAATGATTTATATATTTTTTTAAAATAATATAATAATCTTATTCCTTCAACGACTAAGATACAAATATATTTATCTTTGGTGCGTGTAGAAGCTGGAGAACAATCTAATATATTATTAATTATTAATATATATCTAGACAAACCTATTTAATCATTAAATAGTTCTAAGTATCTAAGAAGTATATTAAAAATTACAAATAATTTTGCTCCACCTCTTCTGAAAATCTGTCAAACTTTGCTCTGAACAAATATCTCGATCGACTCGGTCCACTGTAGATAAAAACTGTGTGATCCCAAAAAGATCGTCAGCTTCGTCGGTCTTTTCATGTCGTGGCATTAAACAGAGGAACAGCTTCAGTCTCTGTCTAACGACCTGAAATGGGTTAAAAACACTGACCGGGTTGTTAAGAAAGCTCGTCAGCGGCTCTTCTTTTTGCGGAAACTTAGAGAATTTACCACTAACTCTAAGATTCTGCTTAACTTTTATCGCTGCACCATTGAGAGTTTACTTGTTGGATCTGTGTCTGTGTGGTTTGGAAACATCACAGATAAAGAAAAGAGAGCTTTAAACAAGGTGCTCCGCTCTGCAAAGAGGACCGTGGGCTGTGAGCTTCCTGTTCTGGAGGTTCTTTACAAATCCAGACTTTTAAACAAAGCTCTTAAAATCATCGGTGACTCTTCTGGCCAGCCTGGGAAAGCCATGTTCCAGCTTCTTCCCTCTGGCAGAAGATATCGGTCACTGAGATGCAAGACATCTCGCTATGCTAACAGCTTCTTTCCACAGGCTGTTTATGGCACTTTTCCACAGCACCAGCACTACACCACTCTAGACGACACGTCACGACCCGGTCGAGTACGCGTGCTTTTCCACATATCTCCATCGGACATCTTCAAGTGGGTGGGCTTTTCATACCACCGCTACCGTTACGTCATTTCCGCTACCGTTACGCCATTTCCGCGCGACTCACGAGCATGAAACCAGGAAAAACATTACATCCTCAAACAATGGAGGACTCTGAGCCGATCGTGGTGTTGCTGCTCTCTCTGTGGCTACTAGTCACAAATAGACTGAAAAGCCTGAGAAGAATCCAGGCGGCGAGACACCAAAGAATGACGAAGTTATTGAAAACCTTGCAGGAGTTTGCAGTTGAGGACAGGAGACAACGAGCTGAAAAAAGACGACGTTTGTGGGTAAGCTAATATTGCTATCGCTAGCTTTGTAGCAGCCGTCCTGAACAAAATGGCTGCTGGCTGTCTCTGTAAATCATTAAAATGTGTATGCTGTATGTGTGTGTTTCAGATGCTTCTCGGGTTGCGTCGCCGCCGCAAGCCATCGGTGTGGGCCTTAAACCGAGCCTCCGAGTGGTGGGATAATGTAGTCCCAAGCTTCAGCAACACGCAATGGGTGCAGAATTTCCGAATGTCCAAAGAAACGTTTGATTACCTCTGCACAAAGCTGCGCTTGATTATGGAGCGACAAGACACTACTTACCGGGTATGTGTGCCCCTAAAGAAGAGAGTGGCTATCGCACTCTGGAAACTTGCTACTGGCTCTGAGTACCGAAGCATTGGTCACCTTTTTGGAGTCAGTATAACAACGGTGTGCCGCTGTGTGCAAGACTTTTGTGCTGCAGCAAATGCGGTGTTGGTCCCAGCGCAGATCCGTTGTCCTACAGAGGAGAAATTCAGGGAGATTGCTGCCTACAACGAGAACAGATGGGGGTCCCACACTGTGTTGGTGCCATTGATGGATCCCACATCCCTATCATGGCTCCACAGGAATGTCATTGTGACTATTTCAACCGCAAAGGGTGGCATTCCATTATTCTCCAAGGTGTGGTTGGTGGAAAGGGGTTGTTTTGGAACGTGTTTGCCGGATTGCCTGGGAGCTTGCATGATGCCAGGGTCTTGAGACTCTCTAACTTGTGGGAGTTAGCCTGCCGGGAAAGCCTCTTCCCAGCTCACACAAGAGAAATTGGTGGGGTGACTGCTGGCTATTACCTCCTAGGGGACTCCGCTTACCCCCTGCGGAACTGGCTCCTAAAACCTTTTCAGGACACCGGACGACTGACAGACGAACAGCAACTATTCAACAGAAAATTCAGCAGAGGGCGGGTGGTTGTTGAAAATGCTTTCGGCAGGCTTAAAGGAAGATGGCGCTGTCTTCTGAAAAGGAATGACTCTGACACTGAACTGGTAAAGTCTATGGTGCTGGCTTGTTGTGCTCTGCACAATCTGTGCGAAAACCATGGAGAGAACCTACGTGACAGAATGGGACACACCTGTAGCAACAGTTCAGCCTGTGGTAGCAGTGGCACAGGGTGCAGATGAGGGGGGCAGTGATGTTAGGGAGGGTCTGATGCGTCACTTTCTGTCCAATGTCTAAACATTTTGCCTGTTTTGGAACAAGAAATAAACCTTTTTGTATTCAGCAAAAATGCCTTCTATTCATATTTCACTCCTGGGAAAGTACAGGTATTACTCATATAGGTCACATTACAGTCACCACTCACAGAACAGTCGCAGGAATATGCCATCTGCTGCAGATGCTTCCTGGAATACTCACAATGAAGAGCAATAATCCTAAATAAAATCAATATCCAAACAGTTAACCTGGGCCCATTTAAACGCAGAGCTTCTAAAGTTCACTCCCAAAAACAAACTATTATGCAAATGACTTACAGGAATTGACACTACCCAACACGATGTCAAGACTTTGCATTTTCTCCAGATGCCAATTTCTGGACCCAAATCCGCAACATTTACTTTATGGCCAAAAACTCAAACTCAAACATACAACTCAAAGTCCTCCATAGATACCACTACAGAGACCGCTAACTTTTAAAAATGGGTTTCAGCACTTGCTCGCATTGCACAAAAATAGTGCCGATAACATTAATATAGATATGGATGTTAATAGCAATAATGAGAAACTCAAGAGGGCAAGTGGAGAGGTCCAACGCACCACTAGAACAGGACACAATGTATCGCAAGTATTGACAGTCATAATGGATTCATTTTTTGTGCTGTTACTTGTTTTGTCATTGTAACCTTTTGGTGGGATATGCATGTATGTGTTCATGTATATGCAGAGAGCCAATATTGCATATTAATGAAATATTAATTCATACATTTTCAATCATACACCCATTAACCATTCCCACCATTACAAATACCTTTATTCCCTTTCAGATTTGGATCAGCCACTCGCACGTGCACACACACACTCTTTATCGTGCCTTTCTTACCCACTTTCCTAGCTTATTGTATTGTAACCAACACTGTACATTATCAGTAGTCTGTATTGTTCCCTGTAGGCTCCTCACTCCATGACTGGGAATAAATAAACCTTCTATTCCTAAATTTACCACAATTAAGGATTTACTAACAACAAATAATGTGAAACCTTTGGTTTGCATGTTAACTGTGATGTGTACCGAGAAATGAAACCTGTCTTGGAAAAAATCACACATTTATTTAAAAAAAAAACAATTTAAAGTGCACCAATAAAATTATTTACAGTGTGTCTTGGTGAAGAGTGTCAGTTTCGGCGGCCACTCATGGCTTCCACCAGCTGGCCCAGGAGACCAAGAAATGATTGGTTAAATGCAGCCGCCTGTGCATTTTCCTCCCTCCTCAATGTCGCTTCCAACTCTTGCGACTCTCTGACAAGCTGGAGTTGCTGTGTCCGGTTCAGCTCCTGCTGCACCACATCTTCAGCTTGGATCTGCCTCATCATTTCTACAGTCTCCGTCTGGAAGAGCGCCCTTTTTCTCTTCCCTGTACAACAATAAAAAAAGGATTAACAGTTGGTAATTATCCAAAGCAGTGACATTTCTGGAGACATACTTTTATGTAGGCAAAAAGATTATTACGTTTCAGACCAGTATATATCACACTACCCGAGATGTTGCAACAACTACCCTTTCAAAGAGGAAAAACCTCCACTAAAAGAAAGTGTTACGTGTGGGATCATTTGACTTAATTGCAAATCGGGTAATGTTTGTTTCACGCTTTGTCAATAAACAATATTTAATGGTCAATGTTTAGGCATTTTAGGACAAAGCATGAGCATGACTTAAATACACCCAGATTAATCAAATCAGTCAGTGCAGCTAAAATTACATTTTGCTGCATTTCTTTTTCACACCAAAGTGAAGTGGTATTTTATCACAAATTAGATTTTTTATTTGGAAAAAGATCACTGACAGGTGGTCCGATTCCTTTTTTATTGACATTCATCACCGAGTTGAATGCTATTACTTCTGAGATCCACCAGGTGTCGGTATAGAGCTGCACTGTTGCGGCACAGTATCAATGTAGTTGTATTATTTTTTTTTGCTGCTATAGGACATGAATTTCTCCCAGGGTGATGAATAAAATATCTATCGATCATGTATTATGTCTGCCCCGCGCCTTACCCGTGACCACACGCTGTGCGCTGCTAGACGTGTCGCTCGCCATCGAAGGGAACGCATCTCCAGGCATGGAAGCTGCAGCTGGGTCTGGAGGGATTGGGGACGGGGACCTTGGGGGGTCGTTCGACGCTTCACTTGCGACAAGGGATTCTACAATAAGACAAACACACACAACGACTTAAGTAAAAGCACAAAACTGAATGGCAACACGTGAAATGGCAAGATGTAGCACGTGTTAGCAGCTTGCTATCGATAGCTTAAAGTAGCTAGCTCACTTTGTACAGCAGACAACAATCAAACGTTTACATGAATAAATACATTCCAGTGGGCATTGAGCCACAGGTTACGTGATAATGCATTTTCACAATAACTACAGATAAAAGTTACAAAGCACTTACCATTATCGCCCATTCTCGACGTGGTAGAAGAGTCCAGAGCACACTCCCGTCCATTGTTTGCAGGCCTGTGGCCATAAATGGCATCCATCTCGGCATACCACCTCCAGGTCTTCCGATTGACCCCACTTCGGCCGTTGTGGTCCTTTATGGCCCGGTAATCGCACTTCATCTTTTTAATCTTGTCCCTGCACTGCTGATGCGTACGGTGGTAACCGTGTGTGAGCAAGAGCTGGGCGATCTCTTTATAGACCTTCTCATTTCGCGTACTGCCATCGAGCTCCTTCTGTATTCTGTCTTCGGCCAGTAAAGACAGAAATGTTTGGACCTCATCAACAGACCACGGTGTGGACTTTTGCGGCTTGCTGGATTCCATTTCTCGAGTGCAGTACGTATGCTCACAGGGCAGTTTTAAAAATGGCGGGGTTGAATCTTGTCAGACGTCGCACTTATGACGCTACCAGTGACGACAGTCGTTGGCCAATAGTGTGAGAGAGCCGTTGGCCAATAGCGTAGGCAGTCCGCTTACGTCACGAGAGTGTAGCTTTTTGGAACCGCTCCCGAGGCGGTCCGAAAATAGAACACAATACCTAGCTTCAACGCTAGTGGAAATGCAAAAGTAACGCGCCGTGTCGTGTAGAGTGGTGTAGTGCCGGTGCTGTGGAAAAGCGCTATTAGGTGCCTAAACAGAGCACTTTAATTCCTGCTTTTACACTGTAAACCCTGACAAGTAAAGTTTACTTGAAAAAACCATGGAAATAAATTGCGTATTAACTTGACTTGAATTCCTCGAGTACATTGTTTACTTGATATTACCAAGTAAACTCGAGTGATTGCAATAAAGTTTAAATTTCTATTTATGCTCCGACTGGGATTCATACTCAGAACCTTGTAGTTGAGAGGCAATGGTGCTACCCACTCAGCCACCAGGACACCCTGACATTGTCACACCTGCCTCATTAAAGACTCTACACATCAAAATGTCAAAAGTGAGGCTTACTTGAACAGAAACAGTTCAATTCAAAGAAAACCCTGAGTGACATAGGCAAGCTTTAAATAAACTAACAATAAATGAGTAATATCTACTTACTGGGAAAAATCTATTTAAAATAACTTTGATATCTGAAGTAGGATTGAAGTTAGGGTTTACAGTGTACCCCTTGTATTGTTTTGTTGATCGGTGCCACAGTGTCAGCTGTTTTTATTATTATTTTATATTCAGTGTATGTGTATTTATATTACAATGTATCGTGCTTTTATTCTGTCGGTGCACACAGAGTACCTCTTTTTGCAAATGTATTCCAATGTAGTTTTTATACTGCACATGGCCAATAAATGAATCTGAAAGTGTAGAAACATTTTACTATTCATTTGAAAAAACACATTTTAGAGTCAATCGTGTCAACATCAATGATCATTAGAATTTGTATTTATTTTAGACTGTCATTTTAGGAAAACATTGAATGTATTCATGATTGTATTTTTGTGTGAGGTAAGTTTGCTTTTATATTTGTGGTGTGTGTATTTAATATATACTGTCTATGGAGTGTATCTTTGTGTGTTCACCTGAGACTACAGATGGAAAGTAGCTGCAGCTAAATCTGGTTTTTGTACATTGTCCCTGTTTTATAAAAATTAAACTAACTTATGCGAGACATTAAAAGTATTGGGTTCTTCTAAAACAGACAATATAAGGTTTTGTGGTGTTATTTTTGTTATATTGAGACATTTGTGCATTCATTGTTTTTCTTTTATATTTATTGTTCTGATTGAATCCATACATCTTTGAGTACAGTATGTGTTGGAGCCTGTAGAGAAGTTTACAAATAATCATCAAAAATACTTACGTGTTGCTACTTCAATACATTCCACGCTGAGCAAGAATCAACAAGCAGGACGGGACTCTTCCGAAAAGTTGTATAATGTATCTTTAAATATCTGGGAGAGTCTGCACCGAGAAACAAACTCAGTGTAACTCAGGTAATCATGAAACCGAGCTACGTGAAGTCAGAAAATAGATTTAGACCAGATCAGACCGAGTTTTGTCAACACATATTGGCAGTAAACCTAGAGACAGCACATACAGCAGTAGTTCATTTAGGTTGGATCAATAATATAGATCTTTATCGCCAGTTTTCGTACACAATAGAAGGTAAAGAGGACATTACATAACAACAGACAGTTCTCCTGATTTATTTACATTTATTACATTTTTGATCTGGTAAAAACAACATTTTCAAGCTACATCTATTGTGATTTACTTGTCATTAATAAAGCATATTCAAATAAAACACACTGATTAAAATGTCTGAGATTCAAGGGTCCTGGCCAAGAAGCATCACGCACACTTTAAACATTTCACTAAAAATCATAGACTGTAAATATTAGAACACAACGTTTTGCTGCATTTACAAAACCGTCTTTAGTTTGTACACAGAGTTGTTTCTTGTTCCTTTGACGTGATCCAGTCTCTTGAGTTCACTTAAACAAACTATAATTAAAAGTGTTTTCTCTCCACAGTTGATCATTTGTTTCAGCTCTTCAACGTGAAACTCCATCTTGTTTCCTGTAGAGGGAAGCAGAAGACAAAGATTACACATGCACAGAACCCTCAGTCTAACGTTTTTATGGACAAAATGAAAAGGATATGAAAAGGTGCTTTTGGCTGAATACAGATTAATGTGACCAGGCTTATTTCCATAAAGTATTTATGAATCAAAAATACAATACTTTTACAGACGAAAGTAGTTAAAACCCAATAATAAAGCTGCACAATATTGGAAAATAGACCGATATTTATTGCGATAATATTATTGCGATATTTTTGTTTTTCACCTAAAATTGAAACGCAAGAGACAAAAAACAAAAACATGAATGACCTTTGAATGCATATATTTATATACTTTTTTGTCTGTTGTTCTTGAATGCGGATGTATCTGTGTGTTTTGTCTTTAATAAAGGGGGGAAAAAATAATTCTCGCGCATCTTTTCTATATATATATCGCAGGTACCAATATCACGATAACGATATATTTTTGATATATCGTGCAGCCCTATCCAATAGTATTTTGTTTTGCAGCCTAACACAAACTTAACTTTTTCTCTGTTCTCATTGACTGCTGCCGTTTTTGTTGATTTCACTGATTCTCAAGACCCACAGAATATTATTTCCTAAAACTATGTGAAATATCAAACCAGATGCTGAAAGACTGGATTGTTTACTTTCCTCAACAAAAATAAGTTTGTGTCTAGTTTTTTGTGTGTGTCATGTAATCCCCGTCGAATAGAGTAAAGTTTGACAGAAATCACCAGTATCAGACAAATACAGTTCGTCAATGGCATTAAAAGGTGAACATTTTAACTTACAAATTATGTGTAGAAGTATTTTAAGGCTTCACATTCATGAAACCAGAAAGATAGTTGTTAAAAACAGTTGTAATTTGGCAAAAAACCCACAGTTGTAAATGAGTAAAAGGGAACCTGTAGTACATAGTTAATGCGTCTCACCTGTAATGTGTCTCAGTGTAATTCATCCTTGTGCGTAAAGTAAAACCCGGGATAAAAAGCTTTTTGTCGCCATTTGATCCTGTTCAAGTCGTTAACTGAAGATGATACGTGTCTGGATGATGGACGTTCGGCTGCGGAAGAAACTAATCAACCCCTACAACGGCACTTAGAATGTCGCGCTTAAAAATGGACAGACGAATCGTTCTAGACTCAGTTTCAGACTTTTTGTGTTTGTAGTTGTTCAACCGGTTCACACTGTATGTCGATCAGTACAAGGTTAGCAAGTCAGGACTTTTGGTTTAATAATGATCCTTCTCATGTTCCCGCTGCAGCAGTTGCTTTGTGGTTACGTTGGTGTCACAGACTGTCTCAGATTCAAGGGTTTTTCTTTGTTTTTTCCCCCAGATGTGTGTTTACTTATTAGAAACAACCAATATTTGACTTATTTTCCATGAATAAGCTCGTTAGTCACGTAGTCACACATTTCACATTCCTAATAAAATACTGTGACTAATGTTCCTAGTTCCAATAACTCACTAGTCTTCCCAAGAAGTGAAAACGAGAGGACCATGCTCACTCAGCCCGGAGCATGAAATACACATGAGAAAGAATACAGGCCTTTGAGCCTGAAGGTCGTGGGTTCGAGCCCACCATGGGACCTTCTCCATCGACTCCCACTGATGTCTGCTGTCGTTGTGTCCTTGGGCAAGTTACTTAACCTCTGGGAACAGCAGGTGCCACAGTGGGGCGGCTGTGGCTGTAAAGTGCCAAACTGTGGTTGTGTCCTTAGGCAAGACACTTCCCCCACATAAGAATGAGTGTGGTGTGTGTGTGTGAATGGTTGGTGGTGGTGGGAGGGGCCAATGGCACAGACTGGTTGCCTCGCTTCTGTCAGTGTGCCCCAGGGCAGCTGTGGCTACAGTAGTAGTTTATCACCACCGTGTTTGGAGAGAAAGAATGACATGAGAAGCATCTTAGAGCGTCCAAAAAGTGCTGTATAAAACCGAGGCATTATTATTATTATTAATCTTTATTTATATAGCGCCTTTCACAGGCTATCTACCCGTGGGCAAAATGCGGCCCTTTGAGCCATTTTATGTGGCCCTCCGCTGCTAAGACAAAGTCGCCATTGAGGCACTTTGACAGTGTCATCCAGCCAACTTCAGCTCCACCAAAACAGTCATGCCTTACCTTGTTGTAAATCTCAGACCCTCTGGAATTCAGTTGTTTGTTATTTACTGACATTTGTTTTATGATTGTGTCAAACAGTGGTTAATCAGTTCTCTTGGATTAATGCATTTTTCTTTTTGCAAGACTGTCAGGCAACATCAATAATTCATGAAAAATGTCACATACCCAAACTTTAACTTCTCATATTCAACACTAAAGCGTATGTTTAAACAACTATACTCTAAAGTACCTTTGCACTTTGCGATGGCGAGGTTGATGCTGCCCACGGCCTGGTTGAGGCTGCTCAGAGTCATCACCCTCAAATATCGCGGTAAACTCTCAAACTCCTGCTTCGACACTGAAGGCAGCGAGTCAGACCTATGTGGAGGACGGAGATGCTTAAAGAGGCAGAACACACAAAGATTCCAAAGCCAAAAAATTTGAGTTTGTACCTGATGTTTTCCTTTTCGTGCGGCGTCTTACTCGTCTTCCTTTGAGTCTGAGCGATCATCTACAAAAAGCAAAGTAATTCAAGATTCGTGATTAGATTTTTAGATGAGATTTTATATTGGGAGATAGGTTTAGGTGTTTACTTTGCAGATATCCTGTGTGACTGCGCTCAGGTCGGGCATTTCAGGGGTGCTTGGCTCATAGTAGTATCTCCCGGTACGTGGCGTCCTCAAGTTGAACTCTTGAGTGGGACCATCCAAGTCCAGAGAGTCACCAACGAGACTTTCACCGGCGCATTCTTTCCTCTGTATCTTTGCACTTCTCTGTTCAGTGAAAGGCAAGAACGAAACATTGTGTGGTCTTTAAAGTAGTAATATGTAAGATTTTCATGTCCAGTCATCATTAAAGGGCCCTAATCTGTCATCATTAAAGGGCCCTAATCCGTCGTCATTAAAGGGCCCTAATCTGTCATAATAATAAACTGTTCTTTTCCAATCCTTCTTTAACTGATAACAGTAGTTCAGAGATATTTGAATTTCTAAATTACTTTTCCAGCCTCTAAATCTTGTTATTGTTTTCATTTCGATGTCCCGCCCTCCACCGTTTCACCAATCAGAAAGTTTGTGATCCGGGCGCCAGAACTCACCGTGTGGAGCTAATCTCACTGGTAAAGTACCATGTGGCGCAGGACTAAAAAAGGTCTCGTTATGATTCTCAAATCATTAACGACAAAACAAGGAATAAAACCAGGATTTCTATCTTTGTGAAAAAGGTGTTGGTTATAGATTTGTTGTTGACAAAACTCTTGTCTATTCAGCTGTTATGGTCCCAGCTGGATTCGTCTGCATATCTGGCAACCTGAGTCAGGGAGAGTGGGAGAGGCTGCAGTACCACTTTTGGCCACATGTTTACAAACTGCTCCTTTAAATTAGATCTTCGTAGTGCACAAAATAAATCATAATTTTGAAAATTTGACAAAACTAGTAAACGTCATTATTGTGTCCTTACAGTCAACAAAGAGGCTCCAAAATTAGACTCGAGGTCTGGCATCTCCGGGACTTTTTTCTCCATGTCTTCTATCCCAAAGTGTAATTCGTTAAACTCCCAGCTGCGTTTGGAGGCGGCAGCGTCATCACGAGGGGGCGTCGACACATTTAACATTTTGCTGCCATCCTCACTTTCCATTTTTATCGGCTCCGGCCTTTTCTCACTCTGTAAAAAGGACAAGGAACTAGATTTGACAACTTCCCTGACTATAATGGTGTTGAAGTTTGAATGCCAACCTTTTTGGTTTGAAATGTAGGCAGCTCAGGAGTGGTCGGCGCAAAAGCAGGATAGCTCTGAGATGTTAGCTCAGAGCAGCTTTCAGTCTTGTCTTTCTTAATTTCTGGGGTGCAAAATACAAGAGGCTCTGGCAACGAGAAGCAAGAACACAATTATTTAATATTTACATTTACAAAGAATATACATATTTACAATCAGACAAAGGTTTCTGTCAGGAAGAGATGAATAGAGTAAACTATAAAGTAGGGCTGCACGATATTGGAAATGAGAGCGATATTGAGTGTTTAGAATTGCGATAACGATAATATTGCGATATTTTTGTCTTTCACCTAAAATTGCATCTGCATTGACACGCAAAAAACAAAAAATAAGCACAACATTAATGACATTCGAATGCACATATATATATATACCTTGACTGTTGTTCTTGTTGACATGTCTGTTTTGTTGTCTTTAAGAAAAAAAATTATCGCGCACGCAACAATATCGCAATAACATAATTTTTCCCATATATCGTGCAGCCCTACTATAAAGTAACTAGAGCAGTGGTTTTCAAAGAGTTGTGTGACTGCAGGTTTTCATTCCAACCACACAGGAGCACACTAGACTCCACTGGTTTTACTTGAGGAAACGGGTGGGCTCCGGCTTGGTTGGATTTTCCCCACTGTGGGACGAATAAAGAATCTCGGACTTGCAGACACACAGCCCATTGAGGACCAGAGTAAGTAAGTCAAGTTTATTTGTATATTTGTAGTGTTAAGCCGTGTCTGTCATCGTCAGAGGGCGGCAATGACTAAAAGACATAGTCCGTATAGTTTTTATTTGGTTTGTCTCATCTTTTTTGTCACTTTGAAGTTATTTTGTTGAGACCGCAGTCAGTTCAGCGTTTAGTTTCTCTGCGTATAAATGTTTAGTCTAGGTTTTGTTTTGGTACTGTTGAGTTACTCCCTTATGTCCTGTATTGTGTCCTTATGATTTACGTCTTCTTATCATTTACATTCCTGTTTTTAAATACTTGCATAGCCATTTACATCTTGTTTTTTGTTACCTCCCTTACCTGAGCAGAGCTAAGATAAGAGTTCCTTTATTTGTCCCACAGTGGGGAAATTTTTCACAAGTTTCACAAGTAAGAGCACACACAATATACAAAATAAGTAGTAGCTATGTTTCTTAACTAGCTGTAGATGCTGAAAATGCTTCAATACCAGTCAAAATATATATTATATACACACACTGTATATATATGAAGTAGTGCGGAGTTATATACTATACATATTGTGCAGGATAATAAGTAAATAAAGTAAAGTGACATTGTTCAGTGGACTTTCCGAAGTTGCAGTACAGCTGGGTCGTAACATGTAGTTAGAGAATAATCAAAGTCGTACCATTTGCCTGTGTGACTTCAATCTGAGGATAAACCGTTGGCTCTGGGAGACTGTGCTCTCGTCTGTGAAAGAACATCACAAATGTAATCATTCTGACAGCTGAACGTCAATAAAATAAAGTCAGATTTACTTTTTGTCCTTCTCAAAACTCTTGACCCGCAAATCCATGGTAAAGTCATTATTGAAACACGTGTGCTCTGTGATCCCGAAGTCGTGCATCGGTGGCGTGAGCAGATCCTCTTCGTCCATGCGCAGAGCCCGTTTGGGGGTTAGAGCCATGACCGGAGGCGCTGGCGTCCGGGGTGCGCGGGGAGGGGTAATGTCAGGCATGGGGGGCACTTGGGCTCTCCACTCTCTCTGCTCCATCACTCTCTTGAAGTGATCCTCAGACAAACCAAAGTCCGACAGTCGTGGAGTCCGCATCAGTTTTGTCGGTGGAGCAGGTTTCTCAAACGGTGGTTCTTCAGGATCATGGCCGTCTACCTCCTCAGATATCCGCTCTTCATCATGACGCACTTCCGCTCTCTTCTCTCCTTGCGCCATAGCTCTCTTGAGGTGAGCGCCAGATAAGCCAAAGTCCGACAGCCGTGGAGTGCGCAGCAGATCGACTGGAGCAGTTTTCTCTGGAGATGCTTGTTCTTTTTTCTCTGGAGATGCTTGTTCTTCCGTCTGATGTCCGTCTACTTCTTCATATTGTAAGTTGGAAAGAAAACAAATGTATACTAAGGAATTAGTACGAAAAAAAGGACACAGCAAAACAGTATCAAACATTACAATTCATATATTAAAAACAAACAAGGAATTGGCAAGAGCATTGCAATTGTGGAAAAAAGAAAAATTAAATTGTGATTTTTCACACGAACATTGCGATCCAGTTGTAATATATTTAGAAAATATAGACTCATGGCAGGTACTGTTAAATATTGCTTATAGATGTGTATTAATATACACATCCATGAGCAATACTGCAGACACAGGCATATTTGCATCTACTTGTGTACGCAATATCATAAAGGTAACTTTCACAAAAGAATGCATGAATAAATTGCAATGAGATTTTGGATTCACGTATAAACAGTTAAATGACGTCAAGAAAATAAGCAGGCTATAAAAGGCATTTTTTGTGTGATTTTGAGTAGTGGACAAAGAAATAAAATAATTGCCATCATCGGGGTCCATATTGCACCTGCTAAAAGTGTGATTTAGATTTGATTTTGAACAATATTATGGCTCTAGAATTCATCAGAAAACATTGAGACTCACGGTTTGTGGCCTCAGTCTGTTTTGGAGGTTGGTATCCGTACTTTTGCCAGTGAGCTTTGATCACGTTCAGGTCTTCAGAGATCTTTAGCTGCTTTGCTTCATAGTCCTTTATGAAGCGGCTCACATTGTCCATGTTAGTTTTCTGTTGTGTCACATTATCCTGAATCCGTTCCTAAGAAAATAAGTAATAAGATTAAAAACTTATAAAAGCTTATCACAAAGTAAAAACAGAATTTATTACAGGTTTCACATTGTAGGACACAATTTATTACTAGTTTCCTACAATCTTATTCTAGTCTTTGCACCATTTTTTTTTTAAATTTCAATCTAAACAAAAGCAGTTAAAACATGTATTCTTCTTTAAAAACTGAAAGAAGTGAGTGGATGAAGAGGTTGGGCTCAGATCCACCAGAACAACATTTAGAGAAGATAGTTATGTGTCCTCCACATTTGGACAGAACCACATTTCTGTCAAAGTGGCAGAACCTGGAACTCCCATTAGGCCTAATGTAAATAATAATAATGTGTTCTGCAAATTGTGTTATTCTACAGTTAAGGGTGTAACATTTTATCAGTATTCCAAAACAAAAGAGATAAAAATTCCTTTAAAAACCTGTAGGAACCCTGACAATGCTCCAAATCATTCTGGTTAATACCTCGCTCATTCAAATATACACTTAAAGCTAGGGTACCTCCATTTAAAGCCTCTAAAGGGTATGTAATAAAGCCCATGTTAATTTAACTCAGAACAGTTTGGTTCTACAGGTGAAGAGTCCATTTATGTTCGATTTACAATGTGTAACTAATATGACAGAAAGTGATATATCAAGCTTTCATATGTTATATTTATAATTGGTCCATAACTGAATAAAAACCAAAATATACAATTCTCAAATATTATGAAAAAAGACTGATTATAACATTGGCATAAGTCACTCTGCAGGTAATGAGTCTGATATCGGCTCATTTTCCGTGTTTCTCTTTCTGTATCACTAGTTTTCACAATAATGCATTTTTAACACATCATTATAATCAGCTTAAAGAGAGGACCACCCTCACTCAGCCAATCAGCTCTCAGAATAAGTGACCCTCAAGACTCTTGCACAGATATCAAACGTTTTTAAATAGATATCAAACACCATGTTCAAGCTACTATCTATTGAGACAAACAACATATTATTTCAGTAAAAGTCAGATAATTGCAATCCTGAATACTGCATGTTTCTTACCTTAATGTCCAGAACTTCGCAGTTTAGTTCATGATAAGCGCGCATCCCTCTGGCAGCACTTTCTGAAACCAAAGTGCACATATTTACACATATATTACACACATATTTTCTGTTATAATAATGAAAAGATAAAAGTAGTTTTTCACGGACCACCGCTGTCATCTTCACTGTTACGATGCTCAAAAGATGATTTTAATTTGTTGGTTTCTGTTTCAACGGTTGCTGCCACTTTACGAAGCTTCGCAAAAAACTGAGAAGTCGGATCCATTGGAAAGAAAGTGTTTTGAGTTTTACAAAATAGATGGAAACATTGAAGTGTTTGCGATAGTTTTCTGTGTTTACCGCTCGCTTGAATTTTGGCGCCACTTCCGGGTTTGAGCGGAAACACGAGGAGGCCTTTTCTCACAACAGCGCCACCGCCAGGACTGGAGCTGTACTTACAGTTAGTTGAAAAGAGGAAAACAAACACAATCATAAACTATAGTCTCTCTGGTCTCTCTCTCTGGTCTCTCTCTTGTGTCTCTCTCGTCTCTCTCTCTGGTCTCTCTCTGGTCTCTCTCTGGTCTCTCTCTTGTGTCTCTCTCTGGTCTCTCTCTCTGGTCTCTCTCTTGTGTCTCTCTCGTCTCTCTCTCTGGTCTCTCTCTCTTGTTTTCTCTGGTCTCTCTCTCTCTGGTCTCTATCTCTGGTGTCTCTCTGGTCTCTCTCTCTGGTCTCTCTCTTGTGTCTCTCTCTGGTCTCTCTCTCCGGTCTCTCTCTTGTGTCTCTCTCGTCTCTCTCTCTGGTCTCTCTCTCTCTCTCTGGTCTCTCTCTGGTCTCTCTCTCTCTGGTCTCTATCTCTGGTGTCTCTCTGGTCTCTCTCTCTGGTCTCTCTCTAGTCTCTCTCTCTCTGTTGTCTCTCCCTCTGGTCTCTCTCTCACTTGTAATTCAACAAAAAACATAAAAAAAAAACTTGAAAAAAGTGTTTTTTTTCCGGACAGGTTTTTTTTTTATTGTGGGAAAACGTCCCTAAACCCTAAAAGTATCAAGTTATCACGTGTTTTCAAATAGTAATGGAATTGACCAGATGCCTATAGTCTCCAAAAATTTATAAAAAAAATTGTAGAGCAGACCCTCTTCCTATTTCTTGCGAGTGTACTCACCTTATCCGATTATTTTCTAAAACTTAAAATGGCTGAACAGAAAATGGCAATTTCACGTTTGTCACCCACTCTTCCTGTTGTGACAGAGAAAAGAAAATGCTGGATGTTTGGTGGAGAGGGAGGGGAGGGGGGATTGGTTTGGAGTTGGTGCTACGGCTACGGTTCGATCCCACCACAACCCATGTCACCTGCTCCCACTGATGTCTGCTGTCGTTGTGTCCCTGGGCAAGACACTTAACCCCACATTGCCTGAAGCCCCCAATGGAAGACCAAGGCCATGTCTACATCCTCACGCGGACCCACCACCCTCATGAGGATCAGCGAGGGACTGGTGCTATGAGACTTGGGGCAGCTCTGATTGACACCCCCCGACCCAGAAATAGATTAATAAAGGGGAAGAAAATGACATGACATGACCTTTGAAAGTGAAAAGGCCACAAGAGACATGCTGATCTACCACTGCTGTCCACACTACACTGGGGAAACCACGATCGTGTTGGAGCAGAAATATTTCTATTACAGCCGCAAACATAAAGAAGAGGAGAAAGTGAAGGGCGTGTTTGAGTCCGGTGGGTCTGCAGTTCAGACTCAGGTTAATGCGGCGCTCGTTACTGTTGATTTCCTCACTGTTGTCGCTCTGCCATAATCCCAGTTTGTGACATTTAGATTGGATTAGATTATGTGGTCTAATCCAAATCCAATTCCAAAAGTAGTTTTATCCGTGTCTGCTCATTTCCTGAAGTCTAGTTTACATCTGGACTGGGGTTGGTCCGCCTGCTGCCATTAAACGTGCACTGTGTAGTTTTTACTCCCATCTAGTGTTGAGGTCATATATTTCATCTCCAGTTTGTATAGATTATAAATAATGACTTTGGTTCTACAGTTGCTTGGAAGGATAATATCATCTTTGACTGTGGGCCCCAACTCCCGGTCATTCGAACCAGGGCCAGGGCTTTTCAACCAATGTTTTTCAAGATGGTGCATTGACACGGAGAGTACCCTGCTCTTATGTACATTTATAAGTCAAAATCTAAGACAACAAACAAAAACATGATGGAGGTAAATAGTCTTAAAAAGGTCACATGTTTTTTTCATTTGAGCAAGTGTAAAAATGTGTGAGTGCCTTTAAAGGGAGACATATGCAAAATTATGGGGTTTTTCCCTTTCCTCCATGTTGCAACATTGTTCCATAAAAAACAGAAGTGGTTTTGTTTTTAGATCCATCCATAATAATATCAGGAATTTATGGCACAACAATCCCAATCAAGCATTTTTACCCTTCAGTCTATGTTCATACCCTTACAACAATTATTTTCTGGCTAATATTTAATGTTTTTTCTGCTTCATAATTTAATAATAATAATCTCTAATAAAGAGATGTGTCGAACAAGGTGCACTTTGTTTTCCCCGTAGGGAAATTCATCCTCTGCATTTGACCCGACATAGTAGTAACAGCGCCCGGGAAACCATCTCCAAATGTTGATGCTCGGCTTGATCAGGACCAGAGCTGGAGGATTTAACCTAGTGAGCATGTTTTTAGTGGTAGGGGAAACCGGAGCACCTGGAGGAAACCTACGCAAGCAATTGGCCTCTTCAACTGAGGTTATTCTGTCATCAATTTCCATCTACACATTTCAGCTCAATCTGTCCAGACATTTTTTGTGCTCAGCCTGCACACACATGCAGACGCACACACACATGCACACGCACATGCATGTGCACACACACACACACGCACACGCACATGCATGTGCACACACATGCACACACACACACACATGCACACGCACATGCATGTGCACACACACACGCACGTGCACACACACGCACATGCATGTGCACACACACGCACGTGCACACACACACACACACACAGTAATTAGTAATAATTCTATTTCTGACCAATTATAATTGCATGCACAACTCAAGTCAATATTTCTTTATGACATAAGAAAATCTCACATATGGCAAACCTTATATCTCAAGGGAAGCATGAAGCACGGCTTCGGTCCCTGAATGAACAAGACAAATGTGGCTGAAATCAAAGAGGTAGCCATATGGGCTGCATCTGTCTTCTCAGTGTGGAAATAACTGGAATTTTAAATCAGCAGCACAGTGACCTTGATCTGTCTCTGCATGCTGAGTTAGCACATCCCCTGTTACCGTCTTGGAAGAGGAACCAATCCACCAAAACTAAGCAGCTGAGTGAGAACAAACAAGGAGAGAGGCAACAAATTAGCACCAATTACACCAACAACATGTGGATAATACTGTGCTGGACAAAGGGGAAGATAGAATAACATGTATCAATGATTCAGCTTCTACTGAAAAGACAGGTTCAAAAATAAATTCTGATGTTGTTTCCAAACAATTGGAATCATTTTCCCAATAAATAAGGACCTGATTCACAGTGATGCTTCCCACGAATGGTTCCATAAGGATGGCCTCTGATGATGAAGACAGAGGGCGTAGAAATCCTCCGCAGGTCGACCTCTGGAGCTCATGGACAGTCGCAGAGAAAATGTAGAGAAAATGTGATGTTTCATGCCGTCTTTAGGACGACATCTCAAAGACAGATTCCAGACGGAGGACATAGTTCTGGTCACGATGTGTGGCCTGACACAGACCAAACCACCTCTGGACCAGAGCCCACACACATGGTCCTGGAGTAGAAGGTATACCTCATCCCGAGGACCGCGGGCCTGGCCTTAAATAATCTCTGGTCCAAACCCTGACAATTGACTAATTATCTTGGTTCTTGTTACATCTGTAAATATGCATCACAATCACATCACAAATCAGAAACTGAACAAAGTCCGGTTTAATGTTGCTTCTCATTCACAGCTAATGCAATAAAAAAGTCCATATGTTTGTTAATACTGTGACATTTTGTTATATTAAAATGTCCATTTGTTTAAAAGCCTATGAAAATAAAACATATTCAGTCGCTTGCATTTCAGACCAGTCCACTCTCTGCATTGACATAATTCTTCTCAATGTCTTTTTTGACATCAAGGAAACTTTGCAGCACCTCCTGAAAATCGTTCCAGGACAAAGTGAAGCAGCGACAGTCGGTCAGAGCCTTCGCCGTCACCAGATGTTTCCCTTTGGTCACAACACACGACTCTGGAGAAGCACAGGGACCACATTAATGAAGCTGACCCCCAACAAGTAATCCAGAATGTAATTATCAATTTCAAATGTTTTCAGACAGAATCCCATTGGTTTGATTCCAGTGGAGATTAGAATTCACTCTGAAAGTCAGATAATTAAATGCGCACTTGGAAAGAGGTTTGATGATGCAGAGATTGAAACGGCTTTTTTTAATGATGGGGCGAGGAACTCTTCTGGTTCATTTACATTTAATCTGGGTTTGAATGTTTTGGGAACCCTGCTTCAGAATGCTCCAGAAGCAAAGACTCAGTGATGTATTGAATATATTTGATGTGAATCTCAGCTGCTGCTGTTGTATCCTTGGGCAAGACACTTCCCTCACAATGTCTGATGTGAGTCTGTGCATGTCAGTGATGGTGGGCAGAGGGCTCAGATTGGCAGTCTTGCCTCGTCAGTCTACCCCAGGGCAGCTGTGGTCACAGTGGTAATTAACCATGTACACAGTCAACAAATAATGATTGGATTTGAATGTCCTAAAAACACTATTTAAAACCAATTATATGACCATTTTTGCCATATAATGAGAACAGGGATTTTTTAGGTCTTGGCCCTCAGGCTTAGGCCTATTCCTAAATTGGTGCATATTAGGTTGGACATTTATAATTGTCATCAAGATTAGAGTTCTAATAAAACATTCATATCAAACTTGAAGGTGTGAAACAGAATTGATATTAAGGTTTTGAGATTAGTACATGTTTGTATCAAAAACCTCAGACAACGTCATAATGTAAAAGCGTAAACTGTGGTGGGACAAAAGCGTCTAAATCAAAATGAGAAAATCAACTAGTAATTCAACAAAACTCACCGCCAAAGAAATCCCCATCACAGAGCTCCCTCTCGTAGGAGTCCGCCTCCACTAAGACCTGACCATGGTCTATGAAGTACATTAGGTCTCCGGGGACATTCTCTCGCACTATAGCGTCCCCCTCCTGGAAGATGCAGTACTCCAGCCTCACCACCAGGGCGTTTATGAAGTTCTCGTGTCTGTTTTGAAACATTGGCACTTTCCTCAACAGACGACAGCACATCACCACCATGATTTGCTGAAATAGAAACGAAGGAGTTTAACACAAACATTACATAACAAACATTTAAAGTTAGACTAAATCTACAGAAGTAAGTTACACATCGGGTCTGTTTGACAGATCAGATTCACACTCAGCACACATCAGATTCATACTCTGCAGTGTGGGTGAAGTGTTCTGCCAAAGGACACAACAACCGTTTGGATCCTCAGATCCTCGACCTGAGGATCAGGATCTGGACTTCACAGCAGCTGGTGCCCATAGACTGTATCAGACTGTTCAAGGTGACTACTGTGATGGAAACATGTTTGGGTTTTTAACCAATCTGTTTTGGAAAAGCACCAAGTGAAGTCAGTATGACCAAGATATTGGTCAATCCCACAAATGTATTCTTGTGCATATTTTCACAAAAATAGCAATAGATCGATCAAGCATTTATAACACAACGTGCAACATGATCTGGAAATACCTCTTTGAGAGCCGAGGACACAGTGTTCATGACCTCCTTCTCGTCAAACCACTTGCCTCCGTATCGAGCTTGATAATAGTTATTTATTCTCAGCTGCAGCTCAGGAGGCAGTTTCATGAATGTCATGTAATGCTCCAGACGACTCATCTGAGGAAAAAACAAAAGCAGTTTAATGCAAAAGTCCAAGATAGAAAAACAAGTATGAGCCGTGTTCTTTCACCAGAGTCAGCAGTTTCATCTGAAATAATGGGAATAATGACCTGAGCTGTTGTTGGGGACATGAAATAACGACCTCATTATATCATCGCTACACTTTGTTTTGATCTAAAGAAGGATCTACTCATGACCCTCGGCTCTTTTACAGGTTACTTTGTGTCCTTAGCAAACAACTTACTGAAGTTTTACTTTTACAAAAATATATTAATTTGATCTCAGTGTTAATTATGTGTGAAGCACAAATCATTAGGGTCTGGTGCTGAAGTACATGTACTTTACATGTACTTTACATGTACTTTACATGTACTTTACATGTACTATACATGTACTATACATGTACTTTACATGTACTTTACATGTACTCTACATGTACTTTACATGTACTCTACATGTACTTTACATGTACTTTACATGTACTATACATGTACTTTACATGTACTTTACATGTACTTTACATGTACTATACATGTACTATACATGTACTTTACATGTACTATACATGTGTTATACATGTGCTATACATGTACTTTACATGTACTATACATGTGCTATACATGTGTTATACATGTGTTATACATGTGCTATACATGTGTTATACATGTGTTATACATGTGTTATACATGTGCTATACATGTGTTATACATGTGCTATACATGTGCTATACATGTACTTTACATGTACTATACATGTGTTATACATGTGCTATACATGTACTTTACATGTACTATACATGTGCTATACATGTGTTATACATGTGTTATACATGTGCTATACATGTGTTATACATGTGTTATACATGTGTTATACATGTGCTATACATGCGTTATACATGTGCTATACATGTGCTATACATGTGTTATACATGTGTTATACATGTGTTATACATGTGTTATACATGTGTTATACATGTGCTATACATGTGTTATACATGTGCTATACATGTGTTATACATGTGCTATACATGTGTTATACATGTGTTATACATGTGTTATACATGTGTTATACATGTGTTATACATGTGCTATACATGTGTTATACATGTGCTATACATGTGTTATACATGTGCTATACATGTGTTATACATGTGCTATACATGTGTTATACATGTGTTATACATGTGTTATACATGTGTTATACATGTGCTATACATGTGTTATACATGTGTTATACATGTGCTATACATGTGTTATACATGTGTTATACATGTGTTATACATGTGCTATACATGTGTTATACATGTGCTATACATGTGCTATACATGTGTTATACATGTGTTATACATGTGCTATACATGTGTTATACATGTGCTATACATGTGTTATACATGTGCAGACATTACCCATGATATAATTCATGTTTTTAAGTCTGGATGTTTGAGTTTGTTTTCAGCGCGTGCTTGAGTGCTTTCTTGTGTTTTCAGTTCTTCCTGCTCCCAACGCTCTGCACTAAAACACCCCCCAGTGTGAGACCGATGAAGGATGTCCATCTCTGTCGAACAGAGTCTGTAGAGTTTCAGACCTTGCTCTTGTACTCCTGAGACGCCGGGTCCACGTTGGCGATCATGATGGTGGTGTTGGCCACGAGCACGGTGTACATGAGACAGCCGGACACCATGCTCACCATGACGATCCACATCTCCACATAGTCTGCGAACACAACAGCAGCGTGTCTGTACGTCTCCATCACACAACAGGCCGCACACAGGAGGCTGCAGTCAATAGGTCTCACTTGTGGGAGCGTCCATGGAGCCGTAGGACAGAGCGATCATCTGGGACAGAGCACGGAATACTCCCCATGAGTATTTGGCCAGTACTGTGGCATTCTGCAACATAAGAATATGAATATTTATGTGTGTGTGTATTTATTCATGTTTTTATATCTCTCTAAAGGAACCTCCCAGTTCCCTCGGCTCTGGCCCATACTCTCCCTCACACGGATAAACACTTGAAGAGGAGGAGCCAAACCATTCATATTTTTCTACACGAGAAAAACATAATGAAATTGAATCATGTTTTCTAATCTAAAATGTGATACTTTGTGAGAATATGATAAGAATCATGCTTTTTGACAAAATCTTTCAGAGGTTGTTTGTACAGTCTCTCAACAGCCTCATGGAGAATGTGAGACATGATCACACTAAGATAAGAACAGATAAGAATAGAATAAATGTATGATACATTATTGATCAGTATATACAGTAGATAATACACAGGTGCTGAACTAGCCAGGCTGGTGCGACCTCATGCCACCACACCACCCGCTTCATATCACTCTGAGTCAGGGAAATACATTTATTTTTGTATAATTGTATTGAATTGTTAATTTACAGTGGTCGACTTGGAGCGATTTTCCAACTATCAGGCATTATTGAAACACAGACTGCTCCAGGAGCCAGTCGGCCAATCAGTGAAAAGAGGAGAAGCCATGACATTGCTCGATCTGTTCTATTTTCAACTGGTTTACAAATACCATGTTAAGACAAACGTTTATTATACATTATATTACTTTATTCCAGATTCTTTGAGAAGTGTCATCTGGACATGGCAACTATGAAAACGTCTTTACAAAAAAGATCAAGACAAAGTATAACATTTTCTTCCCCTTTTTCCATTTTCTTCCCCTTAATCCATTTCTGGGTCGGGGGGTGGCAGTCAGAGCTGCACCCAGTACACAGAGCACCAGCCCCTCACTGATCCTCCTGCAGGTGGTGAGTCCACAGGAGCTGAGATCTTTCAGTTGGGGCTAAAATTGGATCCTATACCATTTAAATCTGACAAAACGACTACATGAAAATATGTCTTTCTGCTGTTTCGTTACCATGAGGTTCTCCTTCCGGACCCAGCAGTCTGTGGGGAACTCCTCCAACATGGGCACGAAGTACTGGATACACCCGTTCCAGTGACACAGCAGGAAAATCATCATGAACAAGGAGAGGATTTTGAAAAACAACCTCACCACCTCCAGATTCGCATTGGACACCTGCAACACGCAAGAACATTTGGAAAGATTATTTATGAATGAACGAATGCATTATACAACCACATCTAGCATCTGCTGCGCTCTGCAAAATGGAAAAGCTCCCAGACAGATTTGAACTCAGAACATATGGCTGCCCTTTTGTGTTTGCAGAGGTAAAAATAGGCTAGGATTTAAAAATAGACAGAGATGGCATTAAGACGACTGGCTAACGTGAAACGGGTAACACGCTACCACTGCTAAGTCAATGTCAAGAGTCTATATGGTAGTGTTCAGTGACACAGGATGACATTGGTTTGAGGCTCAGGGTCGAATGTGTCACTGGAGAATGTAACGCATCGTGTGGGAGAAAGGTTGATTGAATTTCAGACGTGATCTTCAAATTGAGCTCTTACTTTCTCCACTTCGTTGAAGAATCGGACCAGTCTGGAGACTCGGGCCAAGCGGATCAGGCTCAGGATCCGCACGAACATCAGGATCCGCATCATCTTGTTGGCTTTGGAAGGGTTGTCATCGTTTTGGTAGTGGAGGTCCTGGAGATGCACACGTTTGTTAGGACGTACCATGAAGGTGAAGACAGGGAAAAGGACCTCTCTCTGCTGGTTCTGATGCTGGTTTTGGAGCTAATTAAGATTGAAAACCAACATATTCCCTGGTCGTTCAGTTGACCAATCAGTAATGTTGATTTGTAACTTTTTTTTTAAATCTATTGTGTTGCGCTGCAAACAGGAAGGACAATGGTAATGAAGCAGAAAATAAATTAAATATTTTTTTTTTAAATCCCTCCTTCCCTCCTATTTCCAACATAAATACACACACACATACACACACACATACACATATACACACACACACACACACACATAACCCTTCCCAACATACACACACACACACAAACACGCACACAAACAACCACGCACACACACACACATGCACGCACACACATACACACACTCACACAAACACACACACGCACGCACACACTCACACACACGCACACACATACACACACTCACACAAACACCCACACGCACACACACACACACACACATAACCCTTCCCAAACATAAATACACACTCACACACACAAACACACACACACGCACATAACCCTTCCCAACATAGATACACACACACAAACACACACATCCACACAACCCTTCCCAAACATAAATACACACTCACACACACAAACACACACACACGCACACACACCCACAAACACACACACACACCCATCGCCCAAGAATCAATGACATTTCATGACTTCCTTATAATTATAATAAAACGAGATGTGTAACTTTCTGTAGTTTACTAAAAGTGTCCGAACATTCTTCCTGGAGATCAGTGTGTTATGATTCCAATGATTGTTGTTTTTCCAGGACTGACCGCCAGTATGACAGGTTCAATGTAAATCTGAGAAAAACAAGTGCCTACACATAACACACCTAACTAATGTAAGAATCCAGGTTTTAGGGAAATAAAATAATAATAATTCTGAAGTGCATTCAAGAAAATCTTCTATAAGCAGTAAACATGTTTCTTTTAAAACACTAATTTAATGGCTTTAGTTTATTTTCTATCTGGGCATTTCGATACAGTACAGTGCCACATTATTGTAGAAAATCCAACTTTGTCCAAATATTTAAAAGTAGGTGCTGGGCTATGATTGTATGAAACAGAAAACACAAGATGAGAGAAAACCGTTGAAGACTTGTTAAAACTAATCTGCATTTTCTTAATTATGTGAATATAATCTAAGTTGATTGCACCATCAGCTTGTTTTATCTGCTTTCATTGGAACGGCGCTTTAGCTTTTCTTCAGCCCGAGGATCCGGCACAAAACCAAAGTCTTTGCATTGACTGGGGTTTGAGCCAGACTACATCGCTTACAGCATAATGCACATTAATAATACATACATGACAGGAACAACTAAAAGGTAAAAGGAGCAGAGCAAGCAAATTGACCAACCTATAATATATTTACTTATTTATAGTTTTACGTACAGCATGAACAATTAAACGTAGGCAAAACATAAGGGCATAAGTCAGGGAAACCTTTTGACTCATAACAATCTCTTAAATGTCTTAAAATATACATTATTTCATTATTTTTGCTGCTATAATCTTCAGCAGCAGCGGCTTACACAATTCTTTTAAATTAGCTTCTGGCTGGCTTTGTTTACATCACTGCATGAGTCAAAAAACCACATCCTTTTTATTGTGTTTGGATTAATATATGGTGTTTTTATTGCTTCATCTTTGAGATTAATATTACCGCAAACAGCAGTATGTATCCGATTGGGAACGCTGCAATCACGTCCGGAATGAACCACGTCCTCAGGTAGCTCACTCGGATCTCCTTTAAATCCAAGACTACCTCCTGTCAAAGAAAAACAGCACATCATTAAAACATATTTTGTAAAATTAGTCAAATTTTTTGATCAGCTAAACACATGCTTTGCAGATTTGACATACATATTTGTAAATGTAAAGGCCGTTTTATTTCGCATTAAGAGAAAGCTAATTCTAGGTTAATTATTTTGTTTTGGTAGGCACCTATATGCTTTATTTTGTGTGTGTTCGGGTGGGGCCAGGTAAAGTGCAGTTCCTTTTAATGACAGTAGGGGGAACCAGTGAGTGTCATGTGGAAGCTGACCTGGGTAAAGGCCATGGAACAGTTTTCTGACTGTGTTATTTTGTGGAAAACTGTTTGGAACCATGAAACCTGAGCCTCCTTTAAAACCACATTTCTCTGTTATCCCGTAAGTCTGGACATTACATCTGTTTATTCTTTCAAGAGCACACGTCAAGCTAAAGCAAAGCCCAGGCTGCTTACAATGGCAAGACACGCTCAACTACAGTCACAACAATAAATATATCTTTGGCCAATCACTGTTTTGACTCTTGCAACTTATATTTACAAAGTGTATTAGCTTCCTGTTTAAAAGCAATATTTCCAGGCCCTCTTACCATCTATAAGAGCGGGCTTTTGATTTGACTTTTCACTACTTATGCAACTGTCCTGATTCTTCATCGCTCTGAAACCCATGGGCTATACTGTAGACATTCTTATGACGGGCCCGTGCTTAATGATCCACCGTAGAGTCCGCAGCAGCGAAACGAGGCCTTGCTACTTGTTATTCTGTTTGTCAATTGTCCACCACTTGAACTTAGCATCAATGTCATGATCAGAATCAAAATAATGACCATTTTTCAGTTTCATATATTGTGGGAATAGCCCTAGGGATGCATCAAAAACCAACACACAATGAAACTCCCAGATTAAAACGTGTCATTTTGACTGTTTTCCAAGTGCAGTACAAAACAAGTGACACACTGTACATGGTTACTTGGAATTGTGTAGATAACATTCACAGATTGGCTGCAGTCACATTGCCCAGCTGCAAACAAACAGGATATAGTCCCTGTAATTGGAATAGAAGTATAAATCTATCATAATCCCTGTTACCACATCAACAGCAGGTGCCAATACATTCCCTATCCCTATGTCTGGAAATGGAGAGTGGGGAGGGACGGTTGTTAATCTCAGTTGTTATGTTGGATCTAGATTGCATATTAGGCACGACTGGATTGTTTTTGTGCAGATTACCAGATTGTTTATGTATGGGAATGCGTGGTGTCACCTCAGCATCGTCCCGGATTATTCCCATTCGGAAGTTTAGAGCCACATCGATGAGAAACAGCGTGTCCGAAAAGACGTTGAAGCCTTCCCACGCCAGCCCACTGTCTCTGTCCAGGAAGGCGATCTCCATGGGGATGCCGATCAAGTTCAGGAAAGTGATGGCCATCATTCCCATAATGTAGTAACTCCTGAGAACGGCAAAGCAACGGTTCACTTTGTTTACTGTTGTGGCTCTTTCTTTCCAAATTATTTTTCAGTCCATAATAAAATGTCTAAGAACTCCTCGGCCCGTCAGCTGTAAGACAGTTTACCAACCTAAATGAAATACTGTAGCTGCGAATCTCTTAAGATGGCATTGAATGTCCTGGCTCAAATAACTGCAATTGTTTTCACTGAGTCTGCTCACATTACAAACCAATTACAGACGTTGTCACACACTGAGTTTAAAGATTTTACAAAAACGTCTATTTTTTTTACTATTGCTATGCTTCAAACTTGAGTACGTAGATCTGTTGAACTTTTAAACATGTTTTCAGATCTATGCACGTGTGTTTGAAGATGCATGGAACATTTTGAACAGGATTTGATGCTAAATTACAGATGTTTTTACTGTTCAAACACCTGCAGTATCTTTTTTTTCTGTAGATATGACCTGTAATTTTGCTAAGTTTAGTTACTTGACTCCAATTTAGATGTGTTCTTTTAATGCCGCACTGTGGAACAAGTCACATAAAACAACATTTTAATGAACCAAAACATAAAGCAGCCCTCCTTCAGAAGCTATGTGCAGTCATCTAATTATGACATGGAATTAAACAACAACAAAACAAAATCTAGAAGGAACAAGAAAGAACATTAGTGAGAGAGTTTGTGTGTGTTTTTTTAATTGAACAAAGGATACATATCAATAGAAAAGTTGTGGGAACTAACTTCTGGTTCCAAAATTGCTTGCTCAGCACTACCGTGGCCTGGTTTTCTTTACGCGAGCAAAGAAAGTGTGTAAATACCTCATCAGACTGAAGGGGTGGATGACCAGGACCCCGCTCTGCAGCTGCCTCATGCATTCCTTCTCCACCGCGATCTCACTGCCGTAGACGTACAGGGACTGGCGATTGAGCTGAGGTAAGAGCAGTGCCCTCCATCCACAGGTGGCCGTGGTGAAAGCCGGCGTGGGAGCTCGGAGTCTGTCCACGAACGAGCGGGACGTCCTGCGATCTGCCATCCTCCCGGGCCATCCCGTGTCTCTGCTGTCCCGACTACTTCTCAGAATGAGTGGTGACAGACTGTGACTTTCTACTAGTCCTCCTGACCTCCCCCTTTTGGTCACAAGGTAATTTTCCATCAAGCCAGTAAACCTAAGGGCTTATAGGATCTGCATCTGTGCTGAAAGGATGCCCGCCTCACTCCTCTCCTCCCCCTCTCCATCCCCTCCTCACTCCCCCATGTCTCTCTCTTTCTCCCTCTCTCTATTTCTGCCCCCGCCCCATCCCTATTCTCTTCTATTCTTTTCGTCCTGGCTCATCAACTATTCAGCGTCTGAATCCCAACGCACATGAATCATGTCGTGTCAAAGAGGGTCCAGCTCAAATTAATATTGGGGGTGTGCATGTGTCAAATGAGAACACATCACCTGATCATTCAGCAGGAGTACTATTGTCCATTTTACAAAAGTAACCAAAATCCAGACAGGTTTCAATACCCAAGCACCAAGACTTTCACTCTTCCTCCTGGTTTGTCTGGTATCTGTGTCTAAATAGCTGCTTAGTTTTATCTGATACAGGGTTGTGTTTCTCTGTTGAATTTTTGCATCTGTCAGTAGGTCAGATGAAATTATATAAAAATTCCGTGTGTGTGTTTGTCACATTGGTGGTCATGTGCACGTGACATCTGCTGCAGCCTGGGTCTCTCGTGCACAAATGTAATCAAACACTGTACCATGTTACCTGATGCTGTACATATGCCCTGAGCCGCCAGACACACACACTGTTCTTGTTTGCATTGTTTTACCTTTCAGCTCAAGCCTCTTCACGACGCAAAAATATTCTCTATGCATTTTCCTCGAAAGACGATGTGAAGAGAAAGTTTCTGTAATCTGAAATAAAAAAAATTACATTGGGACATCATACTGCAAGGGGATTAGATTTGAGGTCATGCAGTGGGTAATCTCTGGCAGATTACTGTATGGGATGTGACTAATACAAGAGGCACATTTGGTTAGATTATGGTTCAAATGCAATTTTCATCCTAATTGGTGTTTAATAGGTATAGGATATCAATACATTTACATTTATCTATTCAGAGTTTTCTGAATAAATTAATACAGATCAGAATATCCCCTGACAATAGGAAGAACACTTTCATCACCAAAACGAAAATCTGCATCAAAAATATATATTCAAGAGTTAACTACATTTACTGCAATTGGTTTTGTCTTGTGCATTACTACTGTTCTTTAAAAACAGGAAGAATAAAGGGGCTCTTGTCTTTTTTGTTTAGTGTTTTAGTAAACATGGCACATGATGATAAAGATTGATATTATTGCACTTTTGTTGTGTATTGCATTTGTTACCCATCCCCCCCACCCCCCTTTGACTTTAGGAAGCTAACTGTATCCTCTCACCAAAAGTCTACAACGGTTACACTTCTGTACTGTATTGACCTTTTAGCAGGATATGGAGTTGACATGAGAGCTCATGGAAGTCTGGGATCTAATTGGGCAGTGCTATGTGTGCTATTCTACGCTCCCTGTAGGGGGCATTCTTATGTCCCTGTGTCTCTTGGGAGCTAACAAGATAGATGTTATGGCTTCTGTATCTAACCTCGCTCTGGGGTTTTCCAAGGTAAATCTTTTCGAAGGACAGCAGCTGTGTGGTGCACACAGAGATTCAAGTGTTTTGTACATACAACCATACTACACACACAACGTGTAATTATCTAGCTCACAGCTGGATGACACTATACTGCTTACGCACGCACGGTTTCTCTCTGACGCACACGAAAGATGGGACCTGCTATATTATAGCCTACATTTGCCCAGTTAAATGTGACCTACTTTCACATTTGAATCCATGTCTCCATCAGTAAAGTCTTAGCTAAGATAATATTTATTATAATAAATGTGGAGTCTGGTGTTTATTTTCCTCATCTCAGCTCTTACAGATATTAGGCGGTTACTTACCGTTCTGATAATAAGAAAGTGGGGCCATTTCTCAGAGCGCGTGTTTTATAAAACTACATGTCCCAGAATGCTCTGCGGGGATCTTTGCGTAACTCTCTACACGCAGCGTCCGGTTGTTCCGTGTTGAAGGTGAAGTGTCCTCAGCACATCTCGTCTGTAAATGTAAGTTATTGTCAACATTAAAAGGAAATAAACAGGCTGCAAAACTATAATTTAATGTTTAATACCACAGCTCGACTTTCCAAACGGAGCAGGGTTTAAGCCTCTGTTCTTTAATGAAGTGACTCCGATGGATGAGTTATTCAGCAGTGTTTGCTTTGACAGTCATTCATTGAAGAATAAAGGTCATAATTCAAAGTAGCATAGGTCTGTACGCGATGTGAGTAACACTTGATGAAGTCATGTTAAAGCTTGGTAATAGCTAAAAGCTAAGCTATTGCTAAGTGTTAGCTTCATGGCTCTGCTGTCACTCACGTGTTTGTGTCGGCTTCTGTCCTGCCTGAGATCTGATGTATTATTGGAATTAATCTGTGACTGTGTGTTCTCATGAATCAATACTAAGTGACCCATTCCTGTCTGTTTGCTAGAATCCGCCAAGATGTCATCTCTATCTGCAGCCAGTGTGGAGACTGCGGCGGAGACGGAGCAGAAGAAGCCTCTCAGACCCTGCTGTGCGTGTCCAGAAACTAAAAAACCCAGGGACGCGTGGTGGGTTGGAATCCAGATTCCTTTGTATTCATCTTGAGGCTTTCGTGTAATGGTGTTGTTCTTTTGATTTTCTGCAGCATCATTGAGAAGGGAGAGGAAAACTGCACAGAACTCATTGAGGCTCATAAAGAGTGCATGAGGGCGCTGGGCTTTAAAGTCTAAACTTCTGAGTGTGGTAAGTTCAGAAACATCTCATTATACTGAAGGCTGGTTGTGTTGCCTGCAAAAGTATGTCAACTTAACATCATTGACCACTGTCATTTAATGCATGTGAGAACAAGTTTTCTGGATGGAGGCTTATGTATTATTTTTTTTTTTAGGACATCATGTAACAAAAGTCAGTTGGGAGGGGCGGAGAAAGGGGGCGGAGCTTGCGTCTGAAGCTATGTTGCTCTGTTTTAATTGCACTCGGTCATGTTTTATAATACAAATATAGCAGGGATACCTAAATAATGCATTGTTTGTCCCAACATAAATATATTGAAATGTTGCTATTGATGTTGATTATTATAAATGTAATCTAATAGAAAATTAGATTACACACAGCGGCTGCCTTTATCTAATAGAAAAAATGCAACCCTTTTTGTGCTTTTGTGTAGTAAATAGCCTTGTGAGTCACTTGCTGCTTTCACTTCTGTCTGAAAAAGCTGATCTATAGATATTAAAAAGGTTAATTTAAATATATAACAGGCCAACAAATACATGTATGTTACTGGAGATGGAACCAAACTATTTTGACAATTTTAAGGCTTTTATTATTATTTTGAAAGTTTTGTTCCCAGCTTTATCCGATCCTCCATATTCAAACTATATATTATCTTAAGCCACAATTTCACTGTTTATATGTATTCATAGATTTTTCCTTTTCTTTCAGGGTCTGTGGCTGCCGTGTTCTTCTGATACTATTTATGACCCGATTAAGGGAAGTGTGAAACTTAAAACTCCAATATTTTACTGGATTTTTTTATGTGTAAAACTGTGACTTTAAAATAATATCTTAATAAAATGTGCTATGCAAAAAATGGTATGTGGTCTTTTCATTCAATCTAAAAGGTTAAAATGTTCTCGGATTGGTTTTATTCCGTGTGGAAGCCCAGTTGCTGTGCGTGGTATGCTCTTGAGCCAAAAATAAACTCCACTGAAGTAAATACTCAACATATCTGCATTCTTACGTGCTGCTGAAGCGGCGCTGGCTTTGACTCTGGGCATTTGTATTATCTACGTTCACAAATTAGTGTTACTGATAAGTTGTATTGAATGTGTACTGTAAGTTATACAGTTATATCAAGCTATGTTGTCTGTGGAGAATTACAGTTGCTAAGTTTGGTGATACAATTACAACAATTTAAATGTTTTCTTGTATCACAACAGCATCATCTCAGAAACTCGACAAAACCATTGAAATCAACACAGATCAACAGTGAATACACAGGAAACACACATATGTATTGGACCTTAGGGAGAGACCAATGTCCGTATACACACATTTCAGACATTTTGAGGTTAAGAAAAATTCCTAACAACATTGTGTGATCCTCAAATGAAACCCCCAGTGATTAAAAAATACCCTAATGATTGATGATTTTTCCTTTAAAGATTATATTTCTTCTACTTGAAATCACTAGCCTGTTATTTTGACCCGAGGATAGCACAAGGGTTACACAAAGTAAAAGTTTATAGTGAGGTTTTTCATTACTGCGCTGAAATCTGAAAAGTATTATTGCAAGTTATCAAAATTTAAAGTTACAGTACCAGTAATGTTGGTTAAAAATATAATGTACATGTATGTAAAATGGATATATGCACATCAAAATATCTATTTAAGCAAAAACATATGTTTCCTGAAATGCATTGTGCTGACTTTGCGTGAACAGTGACGGGAAGAGACCTAACCTGAAACCTGAACAGAGATCTCCCAGTTCTTCCATCGGCCCAAAATATATGTGAGTCTCAGTGTGGGCTCAACATTTGAAGACTGTGAATGAAGCACTTCTTTAAAACAGTTTTATTCAGTGTTTTTATGGGACAGAGTTGAGGTGTGACACATCGGCAAACCTCTTGTTTCCTCTCCCTCTCTCTCTTTCTCTCTGTGTCATGTTAAGTGCAGGCCTGCTTTCTATCCACCGCTCTTTCCTCCTTGGGTTTCAATTCCAAACATGGTTATCCTTGTAGGGACCTACTGACGCCCCCTGTCCCTTATCCCCTGCTCTTCCAGCTGTTAGTTGTGGACTGCAGGCCTGACAGGGTGATTGGGACACACTGAGCAGGCAGAGAAAGCAGCAGAAGATGAGGGAAAACCAATGAAACTGAAGCACAGGATTTCGTCACATCGAGGAGATACTGACATTTTGACTTCTGTGGGCTGTACAACAAAAATAGTGGATGAGTTTTATCTTGTAACTTTTCAGCCTTGACATTTGGAGAAGATGGATTCAGATAATTCAACCCTGACGGACCATTTGCTGTATGTTCCTTTGTGTAATGGATGGACCAATAACACAGAAGGGGCCCTGTACCATCTGGGCAACACCATCCTGTTCCTGGGCTACATGGGGGGCAGTGGAGCCTATGGCTGCCTCTTCATCTTTGGCTTTCTGAGCCCAGCCTTCCTCTGCCTCACGCTCTGGGGCTGGATGACTATGTGTGGCCTGGACGTGTTGAGCTGGAACATGCTGCTGCTGTTTGTGTGTTTGGTTCAGATCTGTCACCTCTTGTTCAGACTGCAGCAGGAGGGGCTGCCCAGCGAGGAGCTCACCTCCCTGTACCAGGCCGTCTACCTACCCCTGGGTGTTCCAGTGCATGTCTTCAAGCAGATTGCTGCTGCCTTTGAAAACAAAGTTGTGGAGCTTAAAGTAGGAGAGACTTATGCTGTGGAAGGGAAGACCTCCATTGATCAGCTGTCGTTTCTTCTGTCGGGCAGGTAGGATACACAAGTATACACAAGTATACACACACACCTAAGTATACACAAGGGACACTGGACTAGTTAGAACTGGGGCATTTAATCGTACTGAACAGTCTTGGATGTTCATCTTCACTCAAAACAACATACAGAACCACATGCACACAACATTCACACACTTCCTGTAATATTTTTGGGATACGTTTCTAATTTTAACTGCACAGGAAGCTTGTCTTTATCCAAACATTGTGGGACATGAGTTGGAGCCATGGGCCCAGTGAGTATTTCTGTCTGTGACTCAACTTCAGCTGTTGTTTTTTTCTTTTCTTTATTGCTTTCACAATATACTAAAGACTCACCAAAATCTTTAAAAAAAATTTCTCTTAGATATCATTTAAATGGAAAAATAAATAAAGTAATTGCCTGTTTCCAGGATCAATGTTTCTTTGGAGGGACAGTTTCTTCACTACATCCACCGTAACCAGTTCCTGGACTCTCCAGAGTGGGAGTCACTTCAACCAAACGAAGAGGGAAAGTTCCAGGTACTGTAAGAAAACGGCTCCATTATTTCACATAATCTGTTTAATGTTAATCAGTAAAACAGATTGGGTCCTTCTGCTGTGAAACAGAAGAGGGAAACTAATGTACACAAAGGCTGAGCAGAAATAGCTTGAAGCCTTCTTAAGTTCTCTCTTCATGACTGGGACAATGATGAACCTTCTGTTCTCGTCCCCAGGTGACTCTGACGGCTGAAGAGGACTCTCGGTACATCACATGGCGTCGCCGTCGCCTTTACCTGCTCATGTCCAGAGAGCGCTACATCGCCCGTCTGTTCGCGGTCATGTTGGGATATGACATTTCAGAGAAGCTGTATAACCTCAACAACAAGCTGTACATTAAGAGCGGTGTGCTCCTGGACATCCGTCTCCCCAGTCTCTACCATGTCCTCGCCCCGTCGTCCCAGGGCAGTGACGGGGGAAGTGGGAGTGATGCTGGTCTATTAAAAGATTCTAAAGAGGAAGAGGCTGCTCCAGAGTACCAGCCCTCAGACCAGGCCAAGCCGGACCACTGGAGATCACCAGAGAAGCCCCGAAGTGACCGCTGGGACCCGGAGCTGCCCTTGGGTGAGGACTCCACCAGCCTGGTCTTGGAGGACTTTGCTGATGTGGCAGGCTCTTTGATGGACTATGGCAGTGAGAGGGAGTATTTGAGGTAGAGGGGCAGGAGCTAACACACAGGGTCACCTTTTAAACACATGTAAGTACCGCACCTGGGCTCAGGGGATGTGGGCATGCAGCAACGGCTTAAGTGCACTCACTAATCTTTAAAGCATGCTTGGGCAAGATGACACTCATTTTAAAATCCATCACATTTACTGACTTGGACACAAGCCATGTCACACAAGTCATCCATAATACATGACACTGTAACTGGACTGGCTACAGTATGAGAACAAGGATCAAGCTTTTAGACAAAGTGACTTGAAGTTAATCCATTATAATGGCTCCTCATTACATTAGACAGAGAAATGACTCAGCCCAAATGTTTTGTCATGCATGTTTGAAGCATCTGATGTGGAAAAGTAAAATGCTTCCAAAAGCAGTTCACCAATTGAATTTTTAGCAAATAATTGAACAACAATTAACTAAAACACTTCGTGGCTCCTCCCTCAGACTGCTGTGCACAGATTAGGATTATTATTCTAATTTCACATTCAAATTGGTGCACTGCTTCTGCCTTGGCTTTTTGCTGTTTCTGTCAAATTAGTGCAAATGTTCTTCTTAACTCAACAAACGTAGAAGCAAAGAGGTGTTTTTGTGCAGCTTTGAACGGTAGAATATTCTGGGAGGCGTGAGCGGCTGCAGCAGCTGTGCCCTTATCCAATCAGGATTAGAGATTGTAATGTTAAGGATGTCCAAATTTCAGTGCAATGCCTTTAATCCCGGTGCCCCCTGTGCTTGCCCATGTCTGCAGCTCACATAAGGCTCCCGCGGCCACAGGTGCAAAGTATCACGTTTTATGGACTCAAACGGCAGCAGCGAAGACCAGTGGAATTTCATCTTGATTAAACCCACAGTAAAATATTTGCACGCTCTACAAGGTGGAGTTTTATAAAAGTCTTAAGCCTTATTATTCAGACAGCTTTATGTCCGACATAAACAGCGTCGGTTAAAGAAGTAGGTCATGCACATCCTGAAGAGTAGTGGATGTAATTAAGTAATATTTATTTATATAGCGCCTTTCACAGACCAGAGTCAAAGCGGTTTACAATTGTGGGCATTAGTCTGTCACTCCACACAGAGATGGGAGCGGGGCCAGTACAGGAGGCACAGACCTATTGTACATGTTTTTAGTGGTATGGGGAAACCGGAGCACCCTGAGGAAACCTACACAGACATGGGGAGAACATGCAAACTCCACTCAGAAAGAGGCAAGGTGGTTCCTGTGAGTAAACATAAAGGGCTGCTTTATTTTGTGTTTTCAGAGGAAGATGAGGAAGACCCCACACCTCCGCGATTTCTGAGGGGCCGAGCTCCACTGGCCCCGACTGAGACCCCCAAACTGTGATGGTCCTGGAACATGTTTTACTCGGGCCACAAACGGCACAGGACAAAACTACTTTATACTTCTCACTCGTCTGTTTCTAAATGTTTTGCTCCTTTTTACCACTTTTTCAGTTTTTAGGAGATGACATCACAAAATAAACAGAAACAGGTTTGGATTCATGGACATTTCACAAACTGGTGCCAATAATGTCTGTTCTGCCATTTTGTTTGGAAGTCCAACTTGTGATCACATTTTTTGTTATAAACTGTGAATAATATAATTGTAAGCAGTATGTGTGTTTTAAGGGGCCAATATTTCTCAATAAAGCTCTTTAAGTGCAACCTGAGTGTCTAAAATGTAATTACAAAAGTCAGAAACAAATGGGTTTTATATAATTATTATTCAAGTAAAGAGGCACATACTGTTCATACCATCAGAACAATACAATATCAATAACAAAATGTATTCAAAAAACCATAATAAGTCAGTTACTTATTATTTTCTCCTGCTTCAGTTAATTAAGTATTAAATAAGTTATATAATTTAGTAACTTTAGATAAAAATACAGACTGACATAAGCAGATAGATCACTGTTCACACTGGAGTAGTAGTTCAGCCTTTTCTGCTGCATGTTTAGACCACTATGTTGTAACAAATGGAACAACCTATTTGAATGCAGTTGTATCTGAACAGAAAAATAAACGTATAAAGAAAATACACTCAAGACAGAACTCTCTCCTTCACATATTTTTTTGGTCTGTTTTGCTTGTTCAGTTACAGACTTGTACAAAGTCATGTGACCACGGAGTTCCACGCCGGACGTCGAACTTGTTCACACAAAGAGGCATCTCCCGTCTGGAAAAACATTACTCAGTTATTTACATGGTTTTCTAAATAAACACAGAACATGAGAATAATAATAATATTGTACTTAAAACTATCACTGAAATGTGTCCATACAATTGAAGAGTTGCTCCAATCTGGTGTTTTTATCTGCTGTTGATTAATACACTCACTTTGTATGAGTAAACTAACCCTATCCCTCTGGTGGAAAAGCTGCCAATTCTTCTTGACTAACGGCCAATTTCCTGTAAATTCCTGGGCTGCCTTGCATGAGCTTCACATTAGATTTTGTGGCTCAATGAAGTTACAATTTAAAAAGTAGAAAACACATTTATTTGACGTATGGCTTCACACATTCACCGACAACTACATTTTTTCATAAAGAACAACATATGGCCAAAACATTTAAATATCTGACTGAGTGAGTGAATTTTAAGTCCAACAGTATTTATTCTACCCCTCGCAGATAAATGTCAAACCACGCGTATATTTCTTCTCCTTTTGTGGCGATCCAGCAGAACCAGATCCAGGACATGTTCCAGTGTTAGTCAAACCATAAATGAGATTCAATGTGTATAAAGTCAGTCTCAAGTCAGTCTAAAGTCAGTCTCAAGTCAGTCTAAAGTCAGTGTAAAGTCAGTCTCAAGTCAGTCTCAAGTCAGTCTAAAGTCAGTGTAAAGTCAGTGTAAAGTCAGTGTAAAGTCAGTCTAAAGTCAGTCTAAAGTCAGTCTAAAGTCAGTCTAAAGTCAGTCTAAAGTCAGTGTAAAGTCAGTGTAAAGTCAGTGTAAAGTCAGTCTAAAGTCAGTCTAAAGTCAGTCTCAAGTCAGTCTAAAGTCAGTGTAAAGTCAGTCTCAAGTCAGTCTAAAGTCAGTGTAAAGTCAGTGTAAAGTCAGTATAAAGTCAGTCTAAAGTCAGTCTAAAGTCAGTCTCAAGTCAGTCTAAAGTCAGTGTAAAGTCAGTCTCAAGTCAGTCTCAAGTCAGTCTAAAGTCAGTGTAAAGTCAGTGTAAAGTCAGTCTAAAGTCAGTCTAAAGTCAGTCTAAAGTCAGTCTAAAGTCAGTCTAAAGTCAGTCTAAAGTCAGTCTAAAGTCAGTCTAAAGTCAGTCTAAAGTCAGTCTAAAGTCAGTATAAAGTCAGTCTAAAGTCAGTCTAAAGTCAGTGTAAAGTCAGTCTAAAGTCAGTCTAAAGTCAGTCTAAAGTCAGTGTAAAGTCAGTCTAAAGTCAGTGTAAAGTCAGTCTAAAGTCAGTCTAAAGTCAGTCTAAAGTCAGTCTAAAGTCAGTCTAAAGTCAGTCTAAAGTCAGTGTAAAGTCAGTCTAAAGTCAGTCTAAAGTCAGTCTAAAGTCAGTCTAAAGTCAGTATAAAGTCAGTGTAAAGTCAGTCTAAAGTCAGTCTAAAGTCAGTCTAAAGTCAGTGTAAAGTCAGTCTAAAGTCAGTCTAAAGTCAGTCTAAAGTCAGTGTAAAGTCAGTCTAAAGTCAGTGTAAAGTCAGTCTAAAGTCAGTCTAAAGTCAGTCTAAAGTCAGTCTAAAGTCAGTCTAAAGTCAGTCTAAAGTCAGTCTAAAGTCAGTCTAAAGTCAGTCTAAAGTCAGTATAAAGTCAGTCTAAAGTCAGTCTAAAGTCAGTGTAAAGTCAGTCTAAAGTCAGTCTAAAGTCAGTCTAAAGTCAGTGTAAAGTCAGTCTAAAGTCAGTCTAAAGTCAGTGTAAAGTCAGTATAAAGTCAGTCTAAAGTCAGTCTAAAGTCAGTGTAAAGTCAGTCTAAAGTCAGTCTAAAGTCAGTCTAAAGTCAGTGTAAAGTCAGTCTAAAGTCAGTCTAAAGTCAGTATAAAGTCAGCATAAAGTCAGCATAAAGTCAGTATAAAAACAGTATAAAGTCAGGAGCCGTGGGTGCGTTTGGGAGCCTCACCTGGGCAGCTGCGACACACAAACAGATCGAACTTGAATTAGGGTTTGTCGATAGAGGCGCGCCCCGGTGTTTCTGACGGTGATGGAGTGGAGCTCACACAGAGGAGACGGATGAGCCAGCACTGCCCTGTACACGGTGGTGTCTCTCTGACTGGACACACAACACTCATGTTACACAAACATAAGCTTGATTTCAGGTTATTGGCCTTTTTTGACTGGTTTGGATTTATTTGTGAATGTGACGGGCTAAGGTTTATTCATATTCTCATTTCTTACCCCATTGGCAAATCATAGATCAATCAATAGAAATATTTTAGTGCATTGAGAAGATGACATCCAGCTCAGAAGAAGTGTTACAGCTTGGAGGTACAGGCCCCCCTTCGCACCCCACCTCTTCATATGTCTCCAGCCTTCAACTGCCCCAAGCCCCCCTGCCCCCACCTCTGACAGTACACCCCGGTCCCCCCCGCACTCCCCCTCTCCATCACACTGGACCAGTTGAGGAGTGAGCTGAAGCGACAGAAGCAGAGGAAATCCACAAGACTGAACGGGATCAGTCCCAGGCTGCTGAGGACCTGTGCCGACCAGGTCTCGGAGGTCCTCAGCTACATCTACAACCTGAGCCTCAGACTGGAGATGGTCCCATTGGAAGACCTGCCGTGTGATCCCGGTGTTCTGTTGAGTTGTTCCATGAATAGTTTAAAAAGTTGAAATACGCTGCATACTTATGCACTTATACTTCATTTTACTGACGTAGGCCGAAGACACATCCTGTGGCTAACTCGACAGCTAATAGCTAACAACTGGTCTGTCAGGTTGATAATGGCTATAATAAACAAAATCCTGCTATTGCCACTTTTTTATTGTACATAATTATATCCTGCATCTGAGCGGTTCTATCTCCTTATAATCCTCCTTTCAACACCGACCACCCTGTCTCTCACACACACACACACACACACACACACACTGCACCTGCCTTCATCTCTGCTCTCAAAACAGAAAGTGCACACTCATTCTTTTGTGAGTGAAAAACCTGCTGTGTCCATGCTGGGAAAAGCACATGCAGCCGCCTCCTGACAGCTACTCACATAAAGACTATGGAAATGTGACTTTGGACAGAGGATAATCACACGTTTAATGACATTGAATTGTTCTCCTTGGGGGGGGGGGATGGGTTTATTACTCACAGTCGAAGCCTCTTCTCAACTTTTTGGTTTCCTTTGTCCAGAGAGATCTCTACTTCAGCACTTTTGTCCAAAGCAGCGACCACCAGCTCCACCAGGATGTGATGAGCTGCAGGAGTCAAATGTTGTAATCTAAATTATAAACTGGCTTCTATGTACCTGAAACTATGATGAGGATTAGATAGTCAGTACAGTAGTGCGTAGAGAATCTAATTTTGTCACTAAATGGATAGTATTTGTACTAAAGTTTAAAGACAAAATATAGATATATATTTCCACCATTTTTATCAGAAGCTATTTTTCCCAACTTCCCAACTCTTCTGTGTGCTTTAAATGTTGGACTTTCTCCAAAATGGGAAAAGAAACCACAAAAGAATTCTCCGTCTTTCACTGAACATTTTTCCTCTGGGTTTTTGAGGCGTCCTTGCCGCTGTAACAAGGTCTAACTAGGGGATGATCCGTGATTTAAATGTTTATGTTATGGACCAGTGACCCTGATGTTTATTAGTGTTTCTTATGTGTTCTAATGAAGCTTAAGCGCAAATTCAGACTGGAAGACTAAAGAGGCGTCATGCTGCCACACTGTCTCCTCCCCCTCTGTACGGACGCCTCCCCCTCTGAACTGGCTCCGCCCTGTCTATACTAACTCCTCCCCCTCTAAATTGGTTCCTCCCCCTCTACACTGTCTCCTCCCTCTCTAAATTGGCTCCTCCGCCTCTACACTGACTCCTCTCTCTACACTGACTCCTCCTCCTTTAAACTGACTCCTCCCGCTACACTGACTCCTCCCCCTACACACCTACACCCGAGCTCATCAGTCTCAGTAACCCTCCTCCTCCCCATCACCTCCTTTTTACTGCAGCATCATGTCATTTCTTTGCCTCAGCTTCTTTGCCACCAGGTTCAAGGCCCTGAGGGGTCGCAAGCTCATAATTTCTACTAAACTCCCCTCCGCAGACGTCATGCTGTATTCCCGCCAGAGTCTAATGCTCAAAGTTTATCAATAAATAACCAATTGACACGCTGACTTAGTACTCAATCTAAGTCAGCTGGTATTTATTCTGCATCTCTACAATAAATATTTGAATACAACCTTCATCGAGTCTTTCCAGATTGAAATGATTTTATATTCTAATCTGGGAAACGACAATCTTGTGATTTTGGGCTCTGTTTGATACATGCACTCACCACAAAATGGAGCAGAGGAGGTTGTGATTAAAAACACTTTCTGCTCTCTGGGAACCGGTGACACAGTGAGGCCGCTGTTGACCGATAAACCTGCGACAGAAGGAGTTAGTGTGCGTCACATCAGCTCTTTAACTTCAAAGTGTATGATGTATATACGCTGTCCTAATGTTCATGTTATCTACACTGATACGCAGCTGCCACAGGACACGGACCAGGGCCCTGCATCATGGCATAAGGCTGTGAGTGGTCTTATATATCTGTAAGAACCATATGTGGTATTGGCGGGACGCTACACCCATCAGCCAATCACATCGGTTGTTCAATCTAACTGTCACACAATAAAAGTGTAAGTGGACATAGTTGCATGTGGGAAGCAAATAGGCCATACTTTCACTTATTGTTCTACCAAAGGGTATTGTGACTGCCCCAGTGTGTGAGTGGTTTGTCTGTACACAGGCTGGGTATAGTCTCTCCACGGCCTCGCACCAAAGTACATTAGTGACATTTTAGTCCCATATGAACCGGCCCGGATTAATGTCCTGGGATTATTTATGATTTTTTTTTTCTACTATCTTGTTTTGTTCAGTAATTTGAGTTGCCTTGTGTATGAAATGTGCTATACAAATAACAAATAAACTTGCCGTGCCTGGATAATACACAAACTAAAAAAAGCCTGCGCTAGGATCAATATGTACTATTTGATGTTTTTGGTTTTTTTTGTGCTTATGTCAAAGTTTATTTATCATCTTTTTCAGGCGGGAAAGTGATAACGAGACCGCCCTCACTCAGACAATCAGTCCCATCCCAAAACGTTCAGTTGGTAAAGCATTGGTCTTTGAGCCTGAAGGTCGTGGGTTCGAGCTGCCGTTGTTGTGTCCTTGGGCAAGACACTTAACCCCACTTTGCCTGAAGCCCCTGCTGAAAGATCTCAGCTCCTGTGGACTCAGCACCTGCAGGAGGATCAGTGAGGGGCTGGTGCTCTGACTGACACCCCCTACCCAGAAATGGATTAAGGGGAAGAAGATGGATGGATGGTCTTCAAATAAGAAAGAAACCCGCTCGTGGTATTGTTCATAAAATGTTACTTTTTCAAGCCTCTTTTCGGGACAAACATAAAATCATGCATGGAAAAAACAAAGTTAGGTACCCCAGCTTTAAAAAGGTATTTAGAGCCAGTCACCTATGGTTGGACAAGTGCCCTTGAACACATTGCAGTCCTCACACTGGCCCCTCAGGAAGTCCTCATAACTGGTGCAGGGCAGAGCCGTGAGCGCGCACGAGCCGTTCACTGCACTCACGTACACGTGCAGCGCCCTCATGTGGTCACAGATCACATAGCCATACACTGATCACACACACACAAAGGATTATTACCAATTTGACTAGTTTATCATTTTTCAGAACTTACTAGAAGCAAATCTTGAGCGGGCACATCCGGTCTGGTCGTTCCCGCCATTTATAAAAAAGTCAACGTGACCGACTGGGATGGAGATGCCAAAGTCTGGGTGGAAAACATACAAAATAAATAAATGACAGAGATGAGTGGCCATTATGTGGGTTCCTGAACATATGAACTACTCAATGTATGATTCAATTCAAACAAGACTAAAATCCTGTGTCTTGCTGATTGTAAATTGTAATATATATATTTTATTTTATAAGATAAGATAAGATAAACCTTTATTAGTCTCACAGTGGAGAAATTTCAGTGTTATAATTTGATTTCTAGCCTCACAATCTGAGTCGGTGTGAACGGCATCAACAAACTTGGCATCTGATGGGTCCAATCGATCGAAGGTATCGGCTCTTTTGAACATGGGTCCGGCCGGATCCAAAGCTGCGAGAAAAGACACACTTCACTATGAACAAAAATGAACATTGCTGATTTGAATGTGTAAAGTTTAAAGCTGGGTATCGAACTATCAGAGCAAAAACATTGAATTATATAAAAATCTATGTGACTGTTTTCTTACAGGTAAATACAAATAAATATATGTGTGTGTGTGTGTGTGTGTGTGTGTGTGTGTGTGTGTGTGTGTGTGTGTGTGTGTGTGTGTGTGTGTGTGTGTGTGTGTGTGTGTGTGTGTGTGTGTGTGTGTGTGTGTGTGTGTGTGTGTGTGTGTGTGTGTGTGTGTGTGTGTGTGTGTGTCATGTGTGTTGTTAGTGTTTCAGACAATGGTTTCTGGCCTCCTAGGACTGGACCAAAGCAACACAACAGTGGTGCTTTGTGCTGTGTCCGGGGCATCAGGGCAGAGCCTCCTCAGACTCTCACAGATAAAGGGCTTTGAACTGTCCAGCACTGAAAGGGCGCGTGCACATACACACACACACACACACACATTTACACGTTTTTGTTACCTGGTGGGTCCCTTTGACAGGGCCGTTCAGAATGGGACCCATAGACATAATCTTTTTTTACTGGGACTACTTTAAGTAATACAAAACAGTCAATAGAAACCAAACAACTATTTTAAAGGAATTTTATTTTAGATTTTTTTTTCGAATTGCAGTGATTCTATTTTTGACATAGAATTTAATGCCACTCCATGTCCGATGTCTAAGGTCATCTGGTGAGGCATTAATGCAGGCCAGGCAGTGAGACTTCCCAGGGACCTTTCCAGTCTGTATGAAAGGTGTCATGGTCTTCTCCACAGCCTTCACCTCAGATGCAGACCATGGCTTTCTCTAACGTTCTAGGGAGAGAAATAAAAAATATATTAGCAATATACACTCCCAGGGTTAGGACCAAGCAGCCTGGCTGTAATCCCCCACCTGGTACACTTACCAGAAGGGGCACTGCCACTACCATGGGGTGCATCTGGATGAATGGTTGAAGGTTCTCCGCTTGAAGTTTCTTTTAGCCCGTCCGTTTGTGAGAGGATCTCTACTGCTCTCCCTGTCGCACAGAAAATAAAAATACAAGTGGCCTTTAGGGGAAAAAAATCATACATATTTTAATAATATCAAGAATTACCTTCAGGCTCAATTTGTATCTGGTCGAGGCTCTTTCCTTCGAATTCCGTCACTCTTCCCTGCTCCATGGCCATCAACACTTTGCTGATTTTGGCCAGCTCCAGTGTCCCCTCTGGTAGTCTGTAATATTGCCTGTGGATGCGAATGTCATGGCCGAGGAAGTTGGCAAGTATGTCCATCTCATTCTCTTTCATATTGAGAACTGTAGACATAGTAGCTATGTGCTTTCTAAGTTTGGTTGAGGATAGCATCTCTGGATGCACCGCACCACATTCTTTGGCTACCTGGCGTAGGGAGTCTGATCCCCTGATGTGGGTGTCTGCGCCCGGGCGGGAAAAGAAGTATGGGTTATGGTCAGAGATGGAACAGGCCCTTCTGTTCTCCACCAGCACCTCCATCGAAGCAATCATTTCAGGAGTCAAAAGAACCGGCACTTTCCGACTTCTTTTCCCTTTAATTTCAATGCGTTGAAAATGCTGACACAGCTTTTTCTCAAGTTGGGACAGTCCCAGAGCAATGTCAGAATGGATCCCAGTCTTACTTCTTAAGGTAAAGGCTGTCAGTGGCATCTTTGAAACCTCACCTTCCCTTCTTCGATTGAAAATAATGACCTCACAAAGAGTCAAAACTGCCAGTTTAGACCAATGCTTAGACGTTGGCTCACTTATTAGGGTTTGCACATATTCAGGTCGACATACCTCAATATGTGCATGCATGGCTCTAACGTCCTCAGTCAGAGGGAGCAGGTCCGGAGTGTTCCACTTGGCTTGCCGGAGGGTCTGTAGGGCAGCAGAAGAAACACAGACGTCCCACCTCTTCTCAAAAAGCAGCCGGCTTCGTTGGAGGTTTTTAATAAATAGTTCATCAACACAATGCTCCATTTTTGAGTCACATTCAAGAATATCTGCTAGCTTTCTGAGGCTATGGCCGAGTTTGAGGGCCAAGGATGGAGTCTTGTATTGATTTGTTTCCTCATCATATCCAGCCACAGACCTGACTGCATCAATCACATGGTTAAAGTTGGAAGGAATAAAGAAATCCTTAATTGTTTTCAGTTTCCCTGCGGTTTTTGCTTCGTTAATTAACCTACCGACTTCTCTCATTTTCTGCCTAATGTAATCATGCTTAGTCTTATCATGCCCGTGTTTTAAGTACAGGTGCTCTCCGAGTCTCAGAATCCCCTTTTCTGCTTTGACAACACCCGTGACCTCATCCTGATGCATTGCCGAAATTAAAGACCACAGCTTTTTGCTGATGCCCTCCGGTACAGGCTGGGCTAGGGAGCAGAGGGACTGGACCCTACTTCTACCTGGTTTAGCCTGGTTTAGCCTGGGCATCTTTCTGTGAAAGCCGGCACCTGGCCACATGCCTCCACAGTGACTTTCGCTTAAGCAATGCCCCACAGTCTATACAGTGCAAAAACTCACTGGATTTAACTGGGGAATTTGGCTGTTTAGCTGGGACTAAAGTTCCAATGCCGGCCTTTAAAACCTCAACATTGTGCTCACGGTTTCCACTATTCCTGATCAAATCAAACTGAAGTTTACGTGCTTTAGATTTCACAGGTAGAGCCAATGCTCTGGCTACGTCACTTTCATTTCCATGTTTTCTAGTCAAATGACGGGACATTTTGTGGCAGGACATTGAACAGTAGAGGCCAGAAGTGTCTCTTGCTGTAAACTCGCCCCCCATTTTTCTTCTTTTGCAGCTGCATGATAACAATCTTATTTGCCTTTGGTTCGTCACTTTCCGAGTCTTGAAGAAAAGTGTTTTTGATTTTTCTTTTTCCATACTTTTTTACAGGTTTCTTCTTGACAGTTAAATCGTCAGAATCTGAGTCGACTTCATCAATTAGGGACTCTTGACTAAGCTGCACAAACAACAAATAATTTGTAATAATTCTATATAACAATTTGAAGTCATGACTTGTAGTCAGCACTTACCAGTGGTTTGTAAGCGTGCGCTTCAGTGTGCTGCTCTGTGATTGGCTGCAGCCTAATGAACCACACACTTGCACCTTTTCACCTGACTTCCTCTGTTGTGCTGCTCCATGATTGGCTCCAGCCTGCTGGACTGAAATTGCCCCAGTGTGCCCCTCCCTGATATCCCGCAATCCACCACCAGGGTTCCGACACATAACACACTTTTTTCAGGAAAGTAAACCTCCAGGGGTCCTTTCCATATTTTTACAGAGACTGCATAAGGACCGTTAGAAAAGCATTACCCATTGATTATTAAGCTTGGACCAGTGGGGTCCGGTGTTCGGGCCCCACCACGTAAAACCAGTCCCCATGACGTGAGTGGAATCTCAGGTTATGGAACCCACCAGGAGTTGAAAACAAGTGCACACACACACACACACACACACACACACACACACACACACACACACACAACACGCATACATACGCGCACACACACACTACACATGCATACACACACATGCACACAATACACGCATACACACACATACACACAACACACACATACACACACACACTACACATGCATACACACACATGCACACAATACACGCATACACACACACACACATGCACACACACACAGACAACACACACACAACACATGCGCACACATACAGACAACACACACACACACACAGACAACACACACATAGACAACACACACACACACACACACACAACACGCATACATACACGCACACACACACGACACATGCATACACACACATGCACACAATACACACACAACACACACATACACGTACACACACACACACAACAAAGGCATACAACACACATACACGTACACACACATACTCACAACACACGCAGACACACACATACACACATCTACTTTTGTTTTAGACCTTAGAACAGTTGTTGCCAGAGATACTTTATATTTGAGATAAACTCTAACCACCATCGTTGATATCGTTCTAGAAGCGGTGCCTGGACGGTCCTTTCCATCCAAACTTTAATCTTATCAATGCTAAAGTCACACTGTTGAACACGACACACACATGGTCCTGAAAGAGCACTGTCTAACTAATGAGGCCTATAAAGTACTGTTTATCAGAGACTATTTAATGCAGGCTCTATCCCTGTGTAACAGTTTATATAGAGAGAATAATGATAACATTATCATTTTGTTATTGTCATTATTATTGATGAAAAGCATAATGTACCAGGTTAAAGCCATAGAAGCGGTGATGCTATGAATAACCAGCACATGTTTGCACACGCTGTCTCACCTGTGATCCGTCCAATCCTTCCCTCAAAAAGAGTTCCCACAAATCCGGCCACGTGCGCTCCCAGACTGACCCCAATGAAGTGGAACGACTCCAGCTTACTCCCTTGTTTCTGTTAAAACAACATGATACTCTGATACAGCAGTAATGTATATTATAGTAATAATGTAGTATTCTGTTAATATTATCAAGGCTTGACTAACCTGGAGGTGGTTGATGAGGATCGAGATCTGCACAGCCACCTCTTTGTAGTTCTCCACCACCAGGTTGTAAGCGAAGGATGCTCCGTAGACCCAGTCCACGATCAGGACGTTCACATCCTCTGCCCTGAGCAAGACCTGAGCCAGGTTCAGCACCCAGGACGGCTTACTGCCCATGGCCCTGCACTCAGCAGAGGACTTTATATGGATGACTTTATAAACAACCTGATATTGTTACTTTAAAGAGGATGATTAAACATGGCAGCCATGGCTGGATCATGGCTGGATCATGGCTGTCACCCCCTGTAGGACGTTCTGTCTGCTGTGAAGAGCAGCTTCAGTGACAGCTGTGTCCACCCTCCCTGTGTGAAGGCTGCTGTCAGACTGTACACCCTCAGAGGGGCCTCCTCCAGGACAAGGACGAAACACATCTTCACACTTATATCAGGGTCATACCCATGACTAATGCTTTGTTATCTTGTTTAGATATGGTTGTAATCAAATCATTGGACTGAGCTGTAGATGTCAATGAAAACATTGTGACCAAGGATGTCTGGGGCCTTCAGGGCTGTCAGGCTCCCGTCACTATACGTCACTCTCTGAATAGAGCGAGCACAGGCTTTGGAGAGAACTTATAACCTCCACATTGGCAAACCTCTGTATATCAATGTACTTTAAAGAGATGTTACATTTCACATAACAGACAAATACAATTTCCTCTCGAAAGCTGTGATATTCCCTGATATGTGCCATACTCACTGTGATCATTGTATTGTTATTTTATTGCTTGTATCTCACTCGGCCAAGTCCCACCTCATCTACATAATATTCATGTGTAGATGTTTTGCAGTGATGCCAGGCTCTCACCTGTATCCGTGGACGATGACCTTGGTCTGCAGAGAGGTGTTGAAGTGAGGAGGCAGCTGTGTCTTGGAGAGGGAGTCCTGGCTGAAGGCCTGAGCACAGTCCTGGGTGTCTCTGGTCAGCAGCAGATATCGAACCTGGAGCTCGGTCCTCTGTCTGTACTGCTGCCATGTGGTGTTGGTGAGGTCTGCACATCCATGGTCCTCTGCTGCTGGTTCAGCCGCACCTGGAGACACAAAAAAGACTACAGAATTATACATTATCAGCAAGAAAGACAATGAATCTATAGTGTTTGGAAATTGCAAAGATATGAAGAGTATAAAGCTGGGGTACCTAACTTTTTTACCTCCATTAATAATACATGTTTGCTCCGACAGAAAGAGTGAAATAGTTTGTGAACAAAGACAAACAACATGCTATCTCATTATATACAATCTCATAATTAGCAGACTTAAATCACTATTTGACAGTTTCACTTTTCTGTCTGATAAGGCTAATCTTGTCATGGTGTTCTTGTTCCCCTCTTGATTGTCTGCCCCGCCCTAATGTGTTTCACCTGTGTCTCTGTGTGTCTATATGTACCTGTGTCTATATGTACCTGTGTCTCTGTATGTCTATATGTACCTGTGTCTCTGTCTATATGTACCTGTGTATCTGTCTATATGTACCTGTGTCTATATGTACCTGTGTCTCTGTGTGTCTATATGTACCTGTGTCTCTGTCTATATGTACCTGTGTCTCTGTCTATATGTACCTGTGTATCTGTCTATATGTACCTGTGTCTATATGTACCTGTGTATCTGTCTATATGTACCTGTGTCTATATGTACCTGTGTCTCTGTCTATATGTACCTGTGTCTCTGTCTATATGTACCTGTGTCTCTGTCTATATGTACCTGTGTATCTGTCTATATGTACCTGTGTCTATATGTACCTGTGTCTCTGTGTCTATATGTACCTGTGTCTCTTTGTGTCTATATGTACCTGTGTCTGTATGTACCTGTGTCTGTATGTACCTGTGTCTTTATATACCTGTGTCTATATGTATCTGTGTCTATATGTACCTGTGCTCCTCTGCCCTTGTTGCTGGTCCATTGTCTTCTGGACTGTTCCTGGTTATTTTGGATTTTAAAGTTCTGTTTTTTACTTTCGACTTAATTTCATGAATTATTTGTCATTCCTGCGTTTGATCCTCCTTCATCTCACCCTGAGACAGTAAGTATGCAGTCAATAATAATAATAATCTATATATGTAGTAAATAATCTTTTTTCCTTCAGAGCTCGACCACCAAAGCGTTTTTCTGTGTGTTGTCCCGATCAAATAAATAAATTAAATTAAATTAAATTAAATTACATAAAATAAATATATAAAAATATTAAATAAAAAATAAAAACACAGAGGCCCGCTCGACTCACACGGTGTAAAAAGACAGAAAATAAAAGTGAGACTCACCAAGAACCTCGGACCTGGTGTGTGGGGCCAGAACACAGAGCAGGGCCGCGATGGTGCAGCCCCAGAACATTTCAATAAAACCCAAATGAGTTTCCAAACGGTTTTCTTTGAGGCTTATCGCAAATCTGTCCAGCGGTTTGTGAGTACGGGACCAGAGCAGACTGTGGACCGCTCCATGGTTCAGACCAAAGTCACAGCTGAGTGTGTGTTCAGCTGGCGTGTCTTCTGCTCGGAGCCCTTTTCCTGGCTGGGGTCGGTGCTCAATGGCTGTTTGTTTGGAAAGGCTGGACTCTGGCCTGGACTCTGGCCTGGACCCGCTCTGTGTGTGGTTCAGTGGGGACCAGAGAGAGAGGGAGGGTCACACTGTTTAAGGACATCCATAACTATGGATGAAGCCTGAATGATTTTTCCATGCTCTTATGTAACTCAGCAACAGAATATGGAATCTGAACATGGAATATTTAATCAGAATGTCATGTGTTTGTTTCTCGAAATGAGGTCATCTGAAAAGTGTGTCATGAATAGATTTGAATTTATTCTAGAACATCAGATAATTACACAGTCCGGTTTAATAAATATCCAAAGGCTGTTATATATTATAATCAAATGTGCGTGTGACAGTCAGATCCAGTCAGACCTCTAAACCTGTGCAGGGCAGGGCCTGGTTAGCACTGTGATGGGAGACCTCTGGGAACATCAGGTGCCACAGCGCTGTGTCCTTAGGCAAGACACCTCCCCCACACTGCCTAGAATGAGTCTGGTGAGTGAGGTTGGTGGCACTGACTGGTTTCCTCGCGTCTGTCAGAACAGCAGGTCTAGACCTACAGTAGTTTATCACCATGACCCCACCATAACCCTAACCCTAACCCTATGAGTGAAAGAATGACACGTGAAACATTATCCTGAGCAGCGTTATATAAAATCCAATGCCATATTATTGTTATTATTATTATTACCTACTGCATGTGTTGAAATGTAAGGAATGAGACAAAATTCATCTATTTTATTGTTTTATTTGATATGCACATTATTCACATTATAGTAGACAATTTCCTCGTGCTAAAACTGGTGCATTTCCTCGTGCTAAAACTTGTTCATAATAAATGTATAAATTCCAATTCCAATATAGTTTAGTAAAATTAATTAATAGACAAAGGTGTAGTTAAAAGATATGTATTTACAGTTTCTCTTGCAGTGCCGGGAGCTGCCCTGCGAGCCACTCTGTAGTGCCCTTGCTTGCTTGTTGCCAGCTGAATCTGGGAGTGTATCCCAGCTCCGTCTGTGCTTTCTGATATGAGAAAGTGAAGTGTGTGTTCAACATTGTGAGCACCTGTCGGCTCAGAGGTGGGACCAGAGTAATGAAAGGGCGCAGCATCATACTGACCATCTCCATAATGAAACACCCTGCGTACAGCAAACTCATGGGCAAGGGCAGTTTATCTTGAATATGAAACCCCAGAGGGGACATCAGGGCGTGGCTAAAGTCTGAGTAACTCACTGGAGGCGTGTCGTCTGATATGAAGTAAAACTTCCCACTCGCGACTTGTCGCTTTGTGGGATCTTTTAGGCAGCGTGCTGCTTGGAGATGAGCAAAGGCCACATTACCAACATACACAGGGTTCACCTTTGCTTCCTTTAAAGACATACGGTACAGGACATTGTTATTGCCCAGTCCGTCTGCCAAGTGTCCCCGGAGGAAGCGACACCCCTCCCCATAGATGTACATGGGTCGTAGGGCACAGGTGGCCAGCCGCGTCCCATCAGGCAGCAGTTTACCGTTTGCCTGGAGGGTCTTTTCCTCTGCCTCCTTCTTGGTTATACCGTAGAGAGACTTCAGGGAGGAGGAGTCATACACAGTTTCCTCTGTGCCGCTGTGGATGGGATCACCCCGTGGGTTTGGACCCATAACCTCCAGGGAGCTGGTGATGATGAAGGAGGACACATTCTCCTCGATACAGACGTCCAGGAGAAGCTGAGTGCCTGCAGCAAAACAACATCAGTGTATTCAGGTTCTCAGTGACAGGAATTTGTTCTGCTACTTTGTAATTATTATTGTGATCTTTATAAAAATGCATTTGCTATTTCCCAAAACATTATTCATTAAGGGAACTTTATGCCGTATGCACTTGAACTGATTTGAGAAAGGTACAACTGACCAAACCAGTGTTGTCACCAAAATAAAATGTGGGCGTCATGTCCATGTAAGAATAAAATCAACATTGGAAGGATTCTTGATGGAGATAAACCAGTTCAATGTCAAACTGTGTCATACTGTCTCTCAAAGTCTCCCAACGTCTCCCAACGTCTCCCAACGTCTCCCAACGTGTCTCCTGTGGTTGAGACGCACAGATACTTAGTTTGGCAGTGTGTTTAGTGTTTACCTGTCACATTCACTCCATGCAGTTCACTGAACTCCACAGTTCCCAAAACGTCGATGAGGGCGGCAATGTGGAAGACCAGGGACGCCCCTCTGCAGGCTCGTCTCAGGAAGACCTCGTCCCGGATGTCTCCTTCACAGGCACGAACCCGAGTACTGCTGCTGCTGCTGCTGCTGCAGTCTGCCCAGACAGAGAAAAGACACGATTGAAGACACAGACATTCACAGCAGTGACAGGCTTTGAGGTTTGTGATTGGGGAGACACAGATTTACAATTTTTCTAATAAAAAAGAATTAATTTGTCAATGCAATAATGTCCACAACACATTTTAATAATCCCACAACAAGGGAAAGGGAGAAAGACCTGAGGAAGGAGAGACCCCTGAGAGACCTGAGGAAGGAGAGAGACCTGAGATAGACCTGAGGAGGGAGAGAGAGAGACCTGAGGAGGGAGAGAGAGACCTGAGGAGGGAGAGAGACCTGAGAGAGACCTGAGGAGGGAGAGAGAGAGACCTGAGAGAGACCTGAGGAGGGAGAGAGAGACCTGAGGAGGGAGAGAGACCTGAGAGAGACCTGAGGAGGGAGAGAGAGACCTGAGAGAGACCTGAGGAGGGAGAGAGACCTGAGAGAGACCTGAGGAGGGAGAGAGAGACCTGAGGAAGGAGAGAGACCTGAGGAGGGAGAGAGACCTAAGGAGGGAGAGAGACCTGAGGAGGGAGAGAGAGACCTGAGAGAGACCTGAGAAGGGAGAGAGAGAGACCTGGGGAAGGAGAGAGACCTGAGGAGGGAGAGAGACCTGAGAGAGACCTGAGAAGGGAGAGAGAGAGACCTGAGGAGGGAGAGAGACCTGAGGAAGGAGAGACGAGAGACCTGAGAGAGACCTGAGGAGGAGGAGAGAGACCTGAGAGAGACCTGAGGAGGGAGAGAGACCTGAGAGAGACCTGAGGAGGAGGGAGAGAGAGAGACCTGAGAGAGACCTGAGGAGGGAGAGAGAGAGACCTGAGAGAGACCTGAGAAGGGAGAGAGAGAGACCTGAGAGAGACCTGAGAAGGGAGAGAGAGAGACCTGGGGAAGGAGAGAGACCTGAGGAGGGAGAGAGACCTGAGAGAGACCTGAGGAGGGAGAGAGACCTGAGAGAGACCTGAGGAGGGAGAGAGACCTGAGAGAGACCTGAGGAGGGAGAGAGAGAGACCTGAGAGAGACCTGAGGAGGGAGAGAGAGACCTGAGGAAGGAGAGAGACCTGAGAGAGACCTGAGGAGGGAGAGAGACCTGAGAGAGACCTGAGGAGGGAGAGAGAGACCTGAGGAAGGAGAGAGACCTGAGGAAGGAGAGAGACCTGAGGAGGGAGAGAGAGACCTGAGGAAGGAGAGAGACCTGAGGAGGGAGAGAGACCTGAGAGAGACCTGAGGAGGGAGAGAGACCTGAGGAGGGAGAGAGACCTGAGGAGGGTGGAGACAGAACATGAACAAAAACAAGTTGTAGAACTCTTGGGCAATGTTCGACTTGGTGAATCCCCACATGTTCTCGACCTGTGGGGATCATGTCCAGAAACGTTAAAGAATCTGGTCCACACAGATTAACAATCGCTGGTTTCTCCCACTGTTGGAAACAAACCTGTGTTCTCTCAGTTTACTTCTTGCTTTAATTAAAAGTCTTGTTTAGAAAGAAATCTTAGCTTCAATCAAATTATCCATTTTCCAGTAAAAGAAAGACTGTAGAAACTCGGGCACGAGCTCCACGCTCACTACCGCCCCCCACCGGTGAGACACAGATACTGCCTCCCTCCAGGCAATCTTTTCCCTTGTGTACTTCTGTGATCAAAAGACTTTAACTAAATATAAAAATAGTACAAACATACGTACATTACTAAAACCACAAAGGATATGAGAAACAACAAGCACGGTCTGACCTCGAACAAAACATGCATTTAGTCCACAACCTGCAATAAACGTCCAAATACAATGTTGTCAAAGTAGCAATAAAAAACATGCAAACAAACACAAATATATTTTTACCATTAAAATGTTGAACGTCCTCAAGTTTAATATTTGTGTCCACCAGGCGAATTTCGGAAAAGTTCTCTTCCTCCAGCAGCAGCCGGATCAGTCTTTTCCCCAGAAATCCACAAGCCCCGGTCACAACACACACGCCCCCGCTCAGGGCCATCGCACACAAGAAGGGCAACGATCTGCAACTCTGCCTTGGATTTGTTCTGTTCTGCTCAAAGTTAAGATGAATCTGCTCCAGTCCTACTCTTTATAGAACCGAAGGGAAGAGGGGGGATGTGGGCATGGAACTGAACACCTGAACCAGCGCGACTCCGCCCACATCAACATCTGAACTATCCATGGAACCATCTCTCTCAAAACAGCATGTCTGGACCAGGGACCAGGGCCAGGACCAGGGGACCAGAGGACCAGGGACCAGGAGCAGGACCAGGGAACCAGAGGACCAGGGACCAGAGCACCAGGGGACCAGAGGACTAGGGACCAGAGGACTAAGGACCAGAGGACCAGAGGACCAGAGTATATCTTAGATGGATATCTCTCTGTAATGTTCGGTGCAGTCGGTGTGGTCTCCGGTCAGGCTGAGGTCACTGCTGAGGTCACTGCTGAGGTCACTGCTGAGGTCACTGCTGAGGTCACTGCTGAGGTCCAGATGTTGGACTGACTGGAGCTCATGCTTTATGCAGCAGCTGGAATGTTCTCTTTTTTTGTTTTCCTACATATTTATTTTTCAATGTGCAATAAACTGTTTTTATTGGGTATTTTCTTTTTAACTATGGGCCGTATTGTGTCGTCAATAATAGTAATAATAATAATAATAATAAACTGTGGGACCTACCTAATATTTAAAAGAGTCCTGAAACTTTGGTTAAATCAAACCAGTCGTGCCAAGATGACCTGCTCTTCTTTGGACTTTCTCTTTCTCTTTTAGATGTATGTTGTGCTTGGTGACTTATTGTTTATACTTTTACCTAACTGTGTGTTTCTTACCTGCCCTAGGACAATGGATGTAATTTAACTATTCTGCTAATTCCAGCATATTTATTTTGACGCTGTTTGTAGAGGTTTTGTTTATGGCAGAAGTGTTTGGGACATGTTTGAGTCAGATGCAGTTTGTGGGTTTAGTGATTACAGTGATTGACGTCTCCTTTGATGTGACTGTTTCCTCATCATGTGGAAGATGTGATCACGGAACAATGTCCAGTCCCTGTGTCCTCTGCCCCCGTCCTCTCCACCTCTTACCCCCCCTAACCCCCCCTAACCCCCCTAACCCCCCTGTGTCTCTGCTCTTTAATGTAATCATGAGTCTGAGCTCCTCCACATGTAGCCTGGATATATTGCCCTCTAAATTTCTGAAGTCCGTCCTGAGCAGTTTGTTACCTTCACTGACACAAATAGTAAACATGTCTCTGTCGTCAGGAACATTTCCTATGGCCCTAAAAACAGCAGTCATAAGACCTCTCCTAAAAAAGAGCAGTCTGGATCCTGCGGGACTTCAAAATTATCGCCCCATATCGAATCTGCCATTCATTGGAAAAATTCTTGAAAAAGTGGCCTCCCAACAACTTACTGAATTTTTAACAATGAATAATTCTTTTGATATGCTCCAGTCTGGGTTTAGACCCCACCACAGCACTGAGACCGCTCTAGTGAAGGTAACAAACGACATTCGACTTCACACTGATGCAGGTAAAGTCACAGTTTTGGTCATGTTAGATCTTAGTGCCGCGTTCGACACTGTCGACCATGAGATCCTCATGCAGAGACTGGAGGACTGGGTTGGTGTCACTGGCACAGCCCTAGACTGGTTTAGGTCTTACCTGGAGGATAGGAAGTACTCTGTGGAGATTGGATATTGCGTCTCAGATCATGTGGCCCTGACCTGTGGAGTACCACAGGGGTCGATCCTGGGACCTCTTCTGTTCAATCTCTACATGCTGCCGTTAGGTCAGTTAATACAAAGAAACAAAGTGTCCTACCACAATTACGCCGACGACACTCAGATCTATGTCTCACTGACAGCAGGAGAACATGGACCACTGGATTTGCTCCTTCACTGTATCCAACAGATCAGTGAGTGGATGCAAAATAATTTCCTCCAGCTAAATGCAGACAAAACCGAAATCATTGTCTTTGGTCCCCAGAAACAAAGAGAGGGCGTCATCTGTCAACTTCAGTCTCTCTCCCTACTTCCTTCAGACAAGGTCAGAAATTTGGGGGTAATACTGGACTCAGACCTAAATTTCAATAGCCACATAAAATCAATAACATCAACAGCTTTTTACCATCTGAAGAACATTGCCAAAGTCAGAAATATAGTGTCCAGGGCAGACTTGGAGATTCTTGTCCACGCATTTGTCTCCAGCAGGCTAGACTACTGCAATGGCCTGCTTACAGGTCTGTCCAAACAGACCTGTAAGCAGCTGCAGTACATCCAAAATGCAGCAGCTAGAGTCCTGACAGGAACCAGGAAGTATGACCATATTAGTCCGGTCCTCAGGTCTCTGCACTGGCTTCCTGTGGCTCAAAGAATAGATTTTAAAACGGCTCTGCTTGTGTACAAGTCTCTCCATGGCCTTGCACCAGAATATATTAGTGACATGTTGGTGTCATATGAACCAGCCCGGACTCTGAGGAGCACAGGGACTGGCCTCCTGCTGGTGCCCAGAGTGAGAACCAAACATGGGGAGGCTGCGTTTCAGATCTATGCAGCTAAGATCTGGAACAATCTCCCTGAAAATGTGAGGGAGGCGTCTACTCTGTCAATGTTCAAATCCAGGTTAAAGACTGTTCTGTTTGCCTGTGCATACAACTGAAGGATTTTATCTCCATTTGTAATGCACTGCTGTCATTTATTTATTTATTTTTTTTAATTTCTTGTGTAACTTTGAAAGTGTTAATGGTTTTATTCTTTTGTGTGATTTTATTGTTTTTATTGTGTTTTAATCTTTTGTGTGATTTTAATGTTTTAATTGTGATTCTGGTGTTTGTTTTATGTGATGATTTGTGATGTGGACTGTGAAGCGCTTGTGTTGCCCTGTGCATGAAAGGCGCTCTACAAATAAACTTTGATTGATTGATTGATAATCAGTGCAGAGGTGTGACATGTGTTTGTGGCCAATGAGGGACCGGACCGTTCTGATAAAGTTTGTGTGAATCCCAGTGTGCGTCAGAGACTGAAGAAGCTTTCTCTATTTGCAAATACTTATTCTTGTCATGTACTTTTTACTTTCATTAAAACAACAGTGTGCTCTTCATTCCTACTGTCTGTAATGTGTGATGCAACACTGACATTTTCCTACTGTGGGAAAATCCCTTAATCTTAGAACAATACAGTTTTGATCTCCATCATCCATTTTAACAAGGCATTGGCTCGATAACGTTTGTAAAACAGCAAAACTATAAAGTGGTTATTCACTCCCAGGTGCTGATCCGAGGCACAGAGTTAAAAGTGTTCTCATCGTGCACAGCTGCAGAAAGTGGTTTGCAGCAACAACACACACTTCCTGTTTGGCTTCATTTAGCGGTGGTTCATAAGTTTCACACAGACAGTGCACAGTCAGATGTTTTTCATTTGTTTGTCTTCTTAAAGGACCAGTATTTTAAAATGTGGTCTAAAGTGATACTGCAGCCTCTCCCACTGTCCCTGACTCAGGTTGCCAGATATGCAGACGAATCCAGCTGGGACCATAACAGCTGAATAGACAAGAGTTTTGTCAACAACAAATCTATAACCAACACCTTTTTCACAAAGATAGAAATCCTGGTTTTATTCCTTGTTTTGTCGTTAATGATTTGAGAATCATAACAAGACCTTTTTTAGTTCTGTGCCACATGGTACTTTACCAGTGAGATTAGCTCCATGTGGTGAGTTCTGGCGCCCGGATCACAGACTTTCTGATTGGTGAAACGGTGGAGGGCGGGACATCGAAATTAAAACAATAACAAGATTTAGAGACTGGAAAAGTAATTTATAAATTCAAATATCTCTGAACTACTGTTATCAGTTAAAGAAGTATTGGAAAAGAGCAAATTATTATGACAGATTAGGGCCCTTTAATGATGACAGATTTGGGCCCTTTAATGATGACAGATTAGGGCCCTTTAATGATGACAGATTAGGGCCCTTTTAACGATGCCTGGACATTAATATCTTACATTTTGCTTGAGGTACTCACAAAGTTTCAAAACGTAACTAGCTTTATGGCATGCACATTATGAATTTATGAATTAAAATACAAAAATAAGAGTTTGCCGTTCCTATTGACTGGACAAACCTGTCGGTCAAGCTCCCAAGCCCCGGAATGCTCCAATTATAAACAGAACAGCCCAAAAGTACATGTTATTGCAGAGTTGAGAATCATTAGTTACGCCTGAGCGGCAGTGACGTGGAGACGGCGAAGGCAGATTCTAGTCCTGGGCTACGGTCCTACAGTAGACCAGTGTAGGTGCAGGAGGGTCTAGTCTGGGTCTGACTATAAGGACTGTGGGGATGATCCAGGACACTCAACTTTCAACAACATTTACATTTATCATCTTCCCTTTATGGACCAATGGCTCTGTGTGTTTTTTCATTGTATTTTAATGGTTTGATTCTCTGATCTGTGTTGGTGAATTCAACCGTTGTCAAGTCCTCCGAGAAAATTGAATAGAATTAAATGACACAGATTTCTATAGACGGCAGAACAGGGGTGTCAAACTCATTCAGGTCGTGAGCCAAATTAAAAAAGATAATATCAGGGTGGGACGAGAAAAATAAAAGAGGTTATAGAAGCCTTTGACAAATGAACTGTAGCTGATGTTGTTCTGGGGAAAAACTGGGAAACAAAACACAATATAATAAGTGATATATTTGAACTTATAATTTTATTTGAGCAAACATTTTAGAACAGATACAATTCTATGGTTGTTTTCCTGAGACAATAGGCTTTAAAATGAAGTATAACATTCCATAGTAGCCCCTTACCATCAATGATGCAAGATACTCATGTAAGCTTTGGCTGCGGCTGTAAAGTGCCAAACTGTGGTTGTGTCCTTAGGCAAGACACTTCCCCCACATTAGAATGAGTCTGGTGTGTGTGTGAGTGGTTGGTGGTGGTGGGAGGGGCTGATGGCACAGACTGGTTGCCTCGCTTCTGTCAGTGTGCCCCAGGGCAGCTGTGGCTACAGTAGTTTATCACCACTGTGTTTGGAGAGAGAGGATAATAATGTAAAGAGACTTTGAGAGTCCTGAACAGTGCTGTATAAAACCGATACATTATTATTATTATTATTATTACTGCAATAAGGAGAATTGAAAGTAATTTAAAAACCAAGGTCATAGAGAGCATTGATGCCCAAAATGGTGTGTAGCACAAATGGTTTCTGAGATCGGGGTTTTTGAAGTGAGTCGATGAGAGTGAAACGTTGGAGCAGAACTTTGTCCATGAGCGCGTCCAACATGGGCTTTGAGCTAGCGGGTTAGCATCGTCCTCTACAGTCTGTGATCACATGACTCCATCAGCTGCATGACGAGTGCAGTGGACCCTCCTGGATCTCCACCTCGTCCACGGCCCACTCAGGCAAGTGCACGGTCATGGTACACGCCCTGATGCCCCCTAGTGGCTCCAGCACGTTAAACACCCTGTCCCACACGTCCTTTTCGGGGTCGTACCTCTGCACTATGTCCACCATGCAGCGGCTGTTCCAAGAATAACCCCCCACCACATACACCTGTCCGTTAAACACCGTCACGCCCACGTCGCTCTGGCCGCGAGGCATGGGCGCCACCACGGTCCACTGGTCGGTCAGGGGGCTGTAGTATTCGCAGCTCAGGACGTCGTCGTAGTCGCTGCAGCCCCTGAAGTGGTTCCCGCCCATCACGTAGAGCCGGTCCCCCACGGTGCACATGCAGTGGAGGCCCCGCAGGTCGATCATGTCGGCCCTCCGTGTCCACACGTCCGAGACGGGGTCGTAGCTCCACAGCTCCTTTTGAAACGTGTCGCGAGTGATTCCACCTTCAGAATAAAATAGAATTAAAGTAAAGTAAATAGAATAAATTAAAGTTAATTATTTTGTTTTGATAGGCACCTATGCTTTATTTTGTGTGTGTTTAATTTAATTTAATTCATTTAAGATAAGATAAGATAGACTTTATATTTGGCAAAGATAGAATCACACACACATTAAATAAAATATGTTTTATTTATTATTACTATTGTTCGGTTTTCTATTACACATTAGCACCCACACTTACACATTAGCACCCACACTTACACATTAGCACCCACACTTACACATTACCACCCACACTTACACATTAGCACCCACACTTACACATTAGCACCCACACTTACACATTAGCACCCACACTTACACATTACCACCCACACTTACACATTAGCACCCACACTTACACATTACCACCCACACTTACACATTAGCACCCACACTTACACATTAGCACCCACACTTACACATTAGCACCCACACTTACACATTAGCACCCACACTTACACATTAGCACCCACACTTACACATTAGCACCCACACTTACACATTAGCACCCACACTTACACATTAGCACCCACACTTACACATTAGCACCCACATATTTCCATGACACAACTTGCTTTTTTTTGCTTGTTCTCACATACTTTATTTTATTTTGATTTGATTAAGTATTGTTTTCTTTGTTCATTGCTCTGGATGCCTAAAAAATCCCCCCCCCCCCTGCACTACTATGTTGTACACAGTCATTTATGTTTTTGGAATCTCAATCACACGGTGTTAAATAAAATGCGGTACACGGCTCAAGAGGTTCTATGCAATCATTTTAATACGAATGATAAACTTTGAACCAGTCCGGCCCTCGGCTTGAAGCTAATAATTATTTTCTGTCCCTCTGACGTGTGTGACTTTGACAGAGCTCTTTAGTAAAAACACCATGTGGGGGAGTGCTAAAGTTCCACAAACCATGACCTTTCGAGAAGAGAAACAGTTTTTTCTGCTTGCAAACGAGGCCAGTGAAGCGATTTCCTGTCCAAGGTAGCTCAGAAAGCGTTGAATGAGGTTTTTCTGAAACTCAAAGTGGTTTCAAACAGACTCAGCTTTAAAGTTTAAAGGCTGTACCGGGCTGCAGCGCAAAGTGGATTCCATTGAAATGAAACCGACTCACAGACTTTTTATATCATGTGTTTTCTCACCACTGATTTTTGAAGTCGATATGTGTGCGGTGGATGTTTGGACTCGCTGCTAGACAAAACCTCAGATGTAAACTAGAGATAAGAGTCTGGCGTCTTGCATTGTTATTGGACACATTATTGTACACACTCTTTGAACCATCGCAGCAGAGAATGTACCTGTTGAGAAAATGTAACTCTTTTAATGTAAATACAACAATTCTTAATCATTCTCATTGTTGTTTTATCGAAATCCTTCTTTTATCTGTCGGTTCCAAAGCCTGACGCTGAAGGACAGAAACAAGTTACAGAGTGTTGTGAGAACTTTAAAATCACGGGAGGAAAACTCAGAGACCTTCACTGTCTGTGGGAGGAACAGGTGCTGAATAAAGCCAAGTGTATTCTGGCTCAGCCCGAACATCTGCTGATCGCTGACTTTGTATTGATGCCTTGATTTTTATGCTCCAGCGCGGAAAACAAACCGTTTTTCCAATTATTTTGTGCATCTGCATAAAACTGTTGAAGTCTGGTGCAGGTGTGTGACTTTTGGGAATTGTGTTGTTCAGTGTTGTTTTTGTAACTTATATTGTGTAACCTGCTGCTGTGTGACTCACTGTGTGTTTGTGTAGTGTGTGTGTGTGTGTGTGTTTTAGATTGTGCTGCAAATTAATTTCACTTTGGGATCACTAAGGTTTTCTGAATCTGACTTGTGCTCATTAAATAAAAACGATTGTTGTGTTTGAGATTCGTTGCCGAGGACGATACGTGTCACTGGGAAACCTTATGCATTTGAGTTGTTGATGAATTCTGATGAAAAAAAAGATTAAAACTGCTTTCATCCAATCATCTTTCAAAATCCTCTGAAAGAATTCATTTTTATAAAGCGCCTTTCACAGACCAGAGTTAGAAAGTGCTTAACAACTGCTCTGGGACTCTCTCACTCCTCACAGAGACATATCAGACCGGTAATCAGCCAATCAGAGCGCGCGTACGGTCCAAGTCATAGAATAATTAGATTTATTTTAATTAGTAAAGCTATTGTTCACTTAACTTGTGCCGTGTGCTCCTCTTTCCTACTGTTCTATAACTTGTGATGCAACACTGGAATTTCCCCCACCGTGGGACGAATAAAGGATCTCTTAATCTGAATCGTAACAGTTTGGATCTATCGGTCTCTGTACCTGAGATGTACATGAGGCCTCCGTGGACGGTCCCTGCGTGTCCGTAGTGCGGCTCCACCATGTTGGTCACGAAGGTCCACTCGTTCTTCTTCAGATTGTAGCACTCGACTGTGTCTGAGCAACACCAGGACAAGATCACGGGTTTGTTAAGAGAAATATTTAAAAAGTGGATCTTACCAATCTCTCCAGAAGCATTCCTGCCTCCCACTGCGTACAGCTTCCCTTTGAGAGCGCTGAGATGGAAGAAGGTTCGTTTCTCATTCAGGGACGCGATCTGATGCCACTTGTCGAAGCGTGGGTCATAACGGTACGCACTGTCGATGGCCGTTTTACCTTTGGTGTCGTACGTGCTCTGCCCTGTGGATGAAAAGGATGTACATTTCAGTGTTGCATCTCAAGTTATAGAACAGTAGGAAAGAGGAGCACACAGCACAAGTTATAAGAACAATAACTACACTAATAAAAATAGAACAACATCTCTAACTCTAGCAAATAACAAGTATAAAACCTCGTTATTCAACATAATAATAATAATAAAACCTCACACCGTCACACAAACAAGGCTTAAATATTTTAGATTATAAATGATAAATCATGGCACTTGAGGTAAGAAGGTCTCAAAGCATGAGTTTAACTGTTTTTAAGTTCCATAGTATAGTATTTCTACAAAGGTTTGGACATGTTTGGTTCCAATATATAAATATATATTTATAACGGCTGATTCTGTGTCACTGATAATAATTCACTAGTCACTTTACCTGTTGTTATTATTGTTACTGATGTTTATTCTGCTCATATTCTCCGCTGCTAAAGTATAAAATATCTGTAAATACTTCTGAACCAAGTGACATTATAGCTCCAGAGTTTATTTTATTTCATTCTATTTAACCATTTTATTGTCTTATTTTAATTCTATTTAATTTTAAATTTTTATTCTTGTCTATTATCTTAAATAATAGACTCTGATGTGTGCTTCTGAGTCTTATCTTAATATTCAGATTCTTCCTGTTCTGACTTGTTCTAACCACACTGAACCATCTGTCATTCATCAACACAATAACGTCCTAAACCTCCGACAATGAAGAGGAAGCCCCCGAGCAGAGCCACTCCGTGCTGGTATCGCGGCGCCTCCATGGGGCTGAGTGGTACCCAGAGCCCGGTCTTCTCATCGTACAGTCGGAGCTCGCGGCTGACCACCAGCTGCTGCCTCATGACTCCGCCCAGTGCCAGGATGTGGGTGGAGTCAGAGCGGATCTGCGTCCTCTCGCTCTGCAGGGCCGGCTGCATGTACGGCATCATCTGGTAGTTACTGGCCTCCAGCAGCAGGTTCACACAGGCTGCATCTGTGCGCATCACAGGGCTCCCGCCGTCCTCCTGCACGACCATAGGGAGAGACCACATGGTATTGAACCATAGAGAGAGACCACATGGTATTGGACCATAGGGAGAGACCACATGGTATTGGACCATAGGGAGAGACCACATGGTATTGGACCATAGAGAGAGAGACCACATGGTTTTGAACCATAGAGAGAGACCACATGGTATTGGACCATAGCGAGAGACCACATAGTATTGGACCATAGGGAGAGACCACATGGTATTGGTCCATAGGGAGAGATCACATGGTATTGGTCCATAGGGAGAGATCACATGGTATTGGTCCATAGGGAGAGACCACATGGTATTGGTCAATAGGGAGAGACCACATGGTATTGGACCATAGAGAGAGACCACATGGTATTGGACCATAGGGAGAGACCACATGGTATTGGACCATAGGGAGAGACCACATGGTATTGGACCATAGGGAGAGACCATATGGTATTGGACCATAGAGAGAGAGACCACATGGTTTTGAACCATAGAGAGAGACCACATGGTATTGGACCATAGCGAGAGACCACATAGTATTGGACCATAGGGAGAGACCACATGGTATTGGTCCATAGGGAGAGATCACATGGTATTGGTCCATAGGGAGAGATCACATGGTATTGGTCCATAGGGAGAGACCACATGGTATTGGTCAATAGGGAGAGACCACATGGTATTGGACCATAGGGAGAGACCACATGGTATTGGACCATAGGGAGAGACCACATGGTATTGGACCATAGGGAGAGACCACATGGTATTGGACCATAGAGAGAGACCACATGGTATTGGACCATGAGAGAGACCACATGGTATTGAACCATAGAGAGAGACCACATGGTATTGGACCATAGCGAGAGAGACCATAGGGAGAACCATGGTATTGGACCATAGGGAGAGACCACATGGTATTGGTCAATAGGGAGAACCACATGGTATTAGGGGACCCATAGCGAGAGACCACATGGTATTGGACCATAGGAGAGACCTGTATGACCACATGGTATTGGACCATAGGGAGAGACCACATGGTATTGGACCATAGGAGAGACCACATGGTATTGGACCATAGAGAGAGATGGACCACATGGTTTTGAACCACATGTATGGACAGAGAGAGACCACATGGTATTGACCATAGCGAGAGACCACATAGTATTGGACCATAGGAGAGACCACATGGTATTGGTCCATAGGGAGAGACCACATGGTATTGGTCCATAGGGAGAGATCACATGGTATTGGTCCATAGGGAGAGACCACATGGTATTGGTCAATAGGGAGAGACCACATGGTATTAGGGACCATATGGTATGGGAGAGACCACATGGTATTGGACCATAGGGAGAGACCACATGGTATTGGACCATAGGGAGAGACCACATGGTATTGGACCATAGGGAGAGACCACATGGTATTGGACCATAGAGAGAGAGACCACATGGTTTTGAACCATAGAGAGAGACCACATGGTATTGGACCATAGCGAGAGACCACATAGTATTGGACCATAGGGAGAGACCACATGGTATTGGTCCATAGGGAGAGATCACATGGTATTGGTCCATAGGGAGAGATCACATGGTATTGGTCCATAGGGAGAGACCACATGGTATTGGTCAATAGGGAGAGACCACATGGTATTGGACCATAGGGAGAGACCACATGGTATTGGACCATAGGGAGAGACCACATGGTATTGAACCATAGAGAGAGACCACATGGTATTGGACCATAGGGAGAGACCACATGGTATTGGACCATAGGGAGAGACCGCATGGTATTGGACCATAGAGAGAGACCACATGGTATTGAACCATAGAGAGAGACCACATGGTATTGGACCATAGCGAGAGACCACATAGTATTGGACCATAGGGAGAGACCACATGGTATTGGTCCATAGGGAGAGACCACATGGTATTGGTCAATAGGGAGAGACCACATGGTATTGGTCCATAGGGAGAGACCACATGGTATTGGACCATAGGGAGAGACCACATGGTATTGGACCATAGGGAGAGACCACATGGTATTGAACCATAGAGAGAGACCACATGGTATTGGACCATAGGGAGAGACCACATGGTATTGGACCATAGGGAGAGACCACATGGTATTGGACCATAGAGAGAGACCACATGGTATTGGACCATAGCGAGAGACCACATGGTATTGGACCATAGCGAGAGACCACATGGTATTGGACCATAGGGAGAGACCACATGGTATTGGTCCATAGGGAGAGATCACATGGTATTGGTCCATAGGGAGAGATCACATGGTATTGGTCCATAGGGAGAGACCACATGGTATTGGTCAATAGGGAGAGACCACATGGTATTGGACCATAGGGAGAGAACACATGGTATTGGACCATATGGAGAGAACACATGGTATTGGACCATAGGGAGAGACCACATGGTATTGGTCAATAGGGAGAGACCACATGGTATTGGACCATAGGGAGAGAACACATGGTATTGGACCATAGGGAGAGATCACATGGTATTGGTCCATAGGGAGAGACCACATGGTATTGGTCAATAGGGAGAGACCACATGGTATTGGACCATAGGGAGAGAACACATGGTATTGGACCATAGGGAGAGAACACATGGTATTGGTCTATAGGGAGAGACCACATGGTATTGGACCATGTGGAGAGACCAATGCCCATACATGTTGTAGAATGCTAAAGTACAATAGGGAGCGTGGGATTAGGTACTGATGATGTGCTGTTTTTTTCACTGCCAAAAATGTCCTGAGCAAAAACAAAATGATCTTTTTCTAAATTCACACACATATACTGTACATTATTCATGTTTATTTGTCTGATACTTGTCGACTGCACCCACCTCGGCCTGTGAGATGTGGATGAGGTTGCTGGGGCTCATGAGGGGGAAGCGGATGTGCCTCATCAGAGTGTACACAGAGGGACGGCGGCTCGGGGCGTCGTAATCCAGCCACTCTTTGGCAATCTGGTAGAGTTCCATCTCCGAGAAGCCCTTCAGGGAGTTACTGGACAGAGCTGTGGCCATGGTAGAGGCCGACAGCTGCAGGTGAAGGCCGCTCTCCATCAAGGACGAGAGGTTTTGGCTCACAAACTCCCCTGCAAGGACACACATGTCAGAGAGAGTCCGTGTGGTCCCTCACCCCATCCAAGGTACGAAAAACAGTGACCAGAGGAACTCGATTGACGCAGATTCTACCTCTGTCAGCAAAGAACATTTCACTCAGAGCAGCCATAGTTTGTGAGTTATTATTTTATCTTATTTAGTTTAAAACTTGAAAATGTTGACCTGTATTAGGCTGGTTTTAGAATAGTAAGAGTAATAATGCACCGGTTTTATACAGCGCTTTTCAGGACACTTAAATCTTTGTGTGTTTCCAGTGAGATTAGCTCCACGCGGTGAGTTCTGGCGCCCGGATCAAAGACTTTCTGATTGGTGAAACGGTGGAGGGCGGGACATCAAAATGAAAATAATAACAAGATTTAGAGGCTGGAAAAGTAATTTATAAATTCAAATATCTCTGAACTACTGTTATCAGTTAAAGAAGTATTGGAAAAGAGCAGTTTATTATGATGACAGATTAGGGCCCTTTAATGATGACAGATTAGGGCCGTTTAATGAGGACAGATTAGGGCCCTTTAATGAGGACATATTAGAGCCCTTTAATGACGACAGATTAGGGCCCTTTAATGACGACAGATAAGGGCCCTTTAACGACGACAGATAAGGGCCCTTTAACAACGACAGATTAGGGCCCTTTAATTATGACAGATTTAGGGCCCTTTAATGATGACAGATTAGGGCCCTTTAATGATGACAGATTAGGGCCCTTTAATGATGACAGATTAGGGCCGTTTAATGAGGACAGATTAGGGCCCTTTAATGACGACAGATTAGGGCCCTTTAATGACGACAGATAAGGGCCCTTTAACGACGACAGATAAGGGCCCTTTAACGACGACAGATTAGGGCCCTTTAATTATGACAGATTTAGGGCCCTTTAATGACAGATTAGGGCCCTTTAATTATGACAGATTAGGGCCCTTTAATGATGACAGATTAGGGCCCTTTAATGATGACAGATTAGGGCCCTTTAATGATGACTTCACATGAAAATCTTACATATTGTTAGTTTAAATGTAGTTCCGGAGCGTCACTAATCCGGACTCACCAATGTTGGCCTGGACATCCTCCAGATTCAGGTCGATAGCGACTCGTTCCACTTCAACGCAGTTATCAATCGTCACCTTCAAAAAAACCAGTGTATTAATTTTTCATTCTGGAAAATCAAAAGTATTTTAGAGTTTTTTGCTGAAGCAGTGCAGACATGTAGCTGTAAATGTACGGGACTGTGTTAAGATGCACTCAACAGGGAAAGTATGTGTAAAGTGTCTTTTCTCTCTTTATAAATATACAGTATTATCATTGAGTGCATCAAATCATACAAGGATAGAAAGCAAAACAATTACATTAAAAAGATTGAAATGATAGCGTGACTGGTAGCAATAGTTTTTCTCTGACCTCGCTGCAGAGGAGTTGGTTGCAGAAGCGGAGGACGGGGATGACCTGCAGAAAGTTGGCGGCTTCCAGAGTGTCCTGGAGGTTCCCCATGTCCAGCGTGACTTTGGACGTGTAAATGAAGTCTATGATGTTCTTCAGGCCCAGCTTAGTGACTCCGTGCAGCTTAATCTCCTCCATATCCTGCTCCCTCATGCCTCCTGGACCAGAAATAATACAAAGACAATGGAGAAGGTCGGACAATGTCTTAGGATACATCTGCAAACTCAGCCATAATCAAAGGCACTAACTCCAGCCTTTGGGCCCAGTCCTTGTCAAAGTCAAAGCTGTCGTTTGGAACGGAAAGTGGAAATAGACACAGTTTATGTTAGACTGAGAACATTACAGTATTGTTTAAAAGTTCATTTATTTCTGTAATTCAATGTGGTATGATACAGATACAATACCTGCAGAGTGACTTAAAGAAGCTATACACCATTTATTTCTTTATGAGTTCATAAAAATGCTTATTGCTAAAGACAAGTTGTATTATAATCTGTAATTTAATGGAAAACTTGAGCTCATTGATTCAGCTGTGCATGAACTCAGGCGTAAAAAGTGCTGAGTAGAGACTTAATTTTGCTGTTTTACAAACGTTATCGAGCCAATGCCTTGTTAAAATGAATGATAGAGATCAAAACTGTATTGTTCTAAGATTAAGGGACTTTCCCACAGTAGGAAAATGTCAGTGTTGCATCACACATTACAGACAGTAGGAATGAAGAGCACACTGTTGTAAAAGTAAAAAAAGTAAAAAGTACATGATAAGAACAAGTATTTGCAAATAGAGAAAGCTTCTTCAGTCTCTGACGCACACTGGGATTCACACAAACTTTATCAGAACGGTCCGGTCCCTCATTGGCCACAAACACATGTCACACCTCTGCACTGATTACATTAAAGAGCAGAGACACAGGGGGGTTAGGGGGGTTAGGGGGGTTAGGGGGGGTAAGAGGTGGAGAGGACGGGGGCAGAGGACACAGGGACTGGACATTGTTCCGTGATCACATCTTCCACATGATGAGGAAACAGTCACATCAAAGGAGACGTCAATCACTGTAATCACTAAACCCACAAACTGCATCTGACTCAAACATGTCCCAAACACTTCTGCCATAAACAAAACCTCTGAACCATTTGTTAATCATCACTTCACCCGCTGAGCTCACACCATCTTCATGTCCTTTCTGACATTACAACACAAGCAAAATTATGATTATTATAGTTTTTTGTTTAAATTTAGGACAGTACATATTCACCAATGTTTCTACAAACAGCGTCAACATAAATATGATGGAATTAGCAGATTAGCTCAATCCAAGTTTAATGTGGTGAACTATGTCTCAGATTATAAATGGACAGAGCGCGTCATTTAGCTAAACCTGGTCTTGTTCTTTTCTTTTGTATAGAATATTGCAGTAAAACCCTGGGGTAAAAAGCACACTGTGTCTTCAAGGCTTGAGTCTATTTTTGTTCCGCACTTTGAGGCTGTATTGACTGATTTATAAATGTGCTTTCTAAATAAACTTCACCTTCAGAGAGATGCACCAGCAGAGAGACGATTGTGTGAGTAAAAGACGGTAAAGTCATCCTTCAGGAGAAAAATCAAACAAAAATATGCACTAAAGAAAACAAGCTTTTCCACATGACTCTCTCATATTGTATTTAATTAATAAAAGTTAATTAAAGAAGCAGTAAGCGGTTTTGTTAGCTTAGCCGTAGCACCAACTCGAAAACACTCCCCCCTCCCCTCCCTCTCCACCAAACCACTCCCCCCTCCCCTCCCTCTCCACCAAACCAAACATCCAGCATTTTCTTTTCTTTGTCACAGGGAGAGTGAAGCAAACGTGAAATTGTAATTTTCTGTTCAGCCATTTTAGGTTTTAGAAAATCCGATAACTCCGGTGCAGTCTGAGAAACAGGAAGAGGGTGAAGGCGGTAAACACATCCCATTGGTTTATTTTAATCGGTCCACTCCAAAATATGTTTTATTAATTTTTGTAGACTATAGACATCTGGTCAATTCCATTACTATTTGAAAACACAGGATAACTTGATACTTTTAGGCCTCTGTAAAAACTCACTGACTGCATCTTTAAATCTAAACATATTGTTTTAATCAAGTAAATCCAACATGACACAGTTATCACTTTATTTTTTCTTTTAATATTGAAAATAATAATCCGTTGGTTTTATATGACGCTAAAATCTTCCCATGGCATGATTCATTTACTCCATTTGTGGTGGTGATGAGCTACAACAGAAGTTAAGTGTCTTGCCAAAGGACACAACAACAACAACGACAAGAACAAGGACATAATCCGTGTAAGATCCAGGTAGAGTTTGGTGCAATATTCAGAATTTACAATAATAACAACATATTATCTTCAAAAAGCTGTCATGAAATGTTAAAGTCTCAAAAACAAAGTGAACAAATAGTATTTAGTTACTCACTTCTTTGTGAATCCTGTTTTAGGAAAACATGGATTTGTGGAAAATGTGTTAAATCATTAAGAGGTCAATTTTACATTGAGTCGTTATGAATATTTATGTTGTATTTTTAGTAATTATTTGTAAATGTGATATAAATATTAATTGTTTTGGTGCCATTGGAGGCCACAAAGGTCAATTTATTCTTAAAAAAATAATAATAATAATGCACAAAGTATATTATTTTTAAAAAGGTAAGTATGACATATTCTTGAAAAGCAAGTAAAAAATTAAGGTTTTGGTTACTCCCAATGTGTTTTTTGACCCAGACTTTGAGAATGCCTGCTGTAGAGTCTTGTGTATCAGAGAAAAGAGAAAACAGTGTATTTATCCTGTGGCACCTGTGAACATGGCCTTGAAGTAGTCGCTGGATGACGCCATGAGGACTCTGTGGACGGGGAACTTGTCAGGACTGTTTCCAGGGACAAGGACCACGTCGCAGAGGACATCACCGGCCCGGAACGAGTCCAGACTCTGTGGAAAACAACACAATCCATAAATACATAAATAAACAAAGCCATGGGTTGTTTAGTTTAGTACCTGCAACATGTCAGATCCGTGCTCCTCTTTGATGAACTCTTTGGTGAGGGGCCTCGGGGGCAGTTTGGGTTTGGTGGATTTGTCCGGTCGCTTTGGTAAAGTGGAGGAAGATGAGGGCAGAGGAATGGGAAGGGGAGAAGGAGCGGGGTACGGGGGTCTCACATCTGCAACAACACATGAATTATTAAGTATAACTTGTTCTGCAGCTGAACTTTACAGCATCCATAAAACACTTATGTATAAATGTGTTTTTAGAGCAAATACTGCAGTGTTTTTAGTGTGTGTGTGTGTGTCTTTTTGCCACAATGCTACACACCACCCTTTAGTGTTTCTCAGTTTCCATTATTTCAGTAAAAACAATCAGCGGCTAAAACTGATCCTGCAGACTTTATAACACTGTCCTGGGGTTGTTCACGTTAAAAAGGTACAAAAGTGTGAAATAAGGTCAACAGTTAGATATTAATAATCAGATATATGATATTTTTCATGGGTTCAAATCCCTCCTCTGTCCATTAGAAGTTGCTAAAAGAGAGTTTTATTAATGAGTCCAGTTTCCTTGACGTCTCCTTTGATGTGACTGTTTCCTCATCATGTGGAAGATGTGATCACGGAACAATGTCCAGTCCCTGTGTCCTCTGCCCCCGTCCTCTCCACCTCTTACCCCCCCTAACCCCCCCTAACCCCCCTAACCCCCCTGTGTCTCTGCTCTTTAATGTAATCAGTGCAGAGGTGTGACATGTGTTTGTGGCCAATGAGGGACCGGACCGTTCTGATAAAGTTTGTGTGAATCCCAGTGTGCGTCAGAGACTGAAGAAGCTTTCTCTATTTGCAAATACTTATTCTTGTCATGTACTTTTTACTTTCATTAAAAGACACAAAATACTGCTGTTGTTGTGTCCTTGGGCAAGACACATTGCCTATAAGGAGCGCGGAAGTGATGTTTGCTGCTTGCCTTGATGTGTATGTGTGTGTATGTACAGTATATTTGTGTACATGTATGTGTATATGTATGTGTGTACGTGTATATGTGTATATGTGTATGCATCAAACTGAAATTTCCCCATTGTGGGACGAATAAAGGACCTTCTTCTTCATTTTCTTTGACTCTGAGTCACAGAATGATCCAATCAGAGGCTGATCTCGACAGAGACGACACTCAGATCTATGTCTCACTGACTGCAGGAGAACATGGACCAGTGGACTCACTCCTTCACTGTATCCAACAGATCAGTGAGTGGATGCAAAACAACTTCCTTCAGCTAAACGCAGACAAAACTGAAATGATTGTCTTTGGTCCCCAGAAACAAAGAGAGAGCGTCATCTGTCACCTACAGTCTCTCTCCCTAAAACCTTCAAACAAGGTCAGAAATCTAGGGGTAATACTGGACTCAGACTTAAATTTTAATAGCCACATCAAATCAGTAACATCAGCAGCTTTTTACCATCTAAAAAACATTGCCAGGATCAAAAACATAGTGTCTAAAGCAGACTTGGAGATTCTTATCCATGCATTTGTCTCCAGTAGGTTAGACTACTGCAATGGCCTGCTTACAGGTCTGTCCAAACAGGCTGTAAAACAGCTGCAGTACATTCAAAATGCAGCAGCTCGAGTCCTGACTAGAACCAGGAAGTACGACCACATTAGTCCTGACTAGAACCAGGAAGTACGACCACATTAGTCCTGACAAGAACCAGGAAGTACGACCATATTAGTTCGGTCCTCAGGTCTCTGCACTGGCTTCCTGTGGCTCAGAGAATAGACTTTAAAACAGCTCTGCTTGTTACAAGTCTCTCCATGGCCTCGCACCAAAATATATTAGTGACATGTTAGTCCCATATGAACCAGCCCGGACTCTGAGGAGCACAGGGACTGGACTCTGAGGAGCACAGGGACTGGACTCCTGCTGGGACTCTGAGGAGCACAGGGACTGGACTCCTGCTGGGACTCTGAGGAGCACAGGGACTGGACTCCTGCTGGGACTCTGAGGAGCACAGGGACTGGACTCCTGCTGGGACTCTGAGGAGCACAGGGACTGGACTCCTGCTGGGACTCTGAGGAGCACAGGGACTGGACTCCTGCTGGGACTCTGAGGAGCACAGGGACTGGACTCCTGCTGGGACTCTGAGGAGCACAGGGACTGGACTCCTGCTGGGACGCTGAGGAGCACAGGGACTGGACTCCTGCTGGGACTCTGAGGAGCACAGGGACTGGACTCCTGCTGGGACTCTGAGGAGCACAGGGACTGGACTCCTGCTGGGACTCTGAGGAGCACAGGGACTGGACTCCTGCTGGGACTCTGAGGAGCACAGGGACTGGACTCCTGCTGGGACTCTGAGGAGCACAGGGACTGGACTCCTGTTAGTGCCCAGAGTCAGAACTAAACATGGGGAGGCTGCTTTTCAGATTCATGCTGCTAAAATCTGGAACAATCTTCCTGAAGATGTGAGACAGGCCTCCTCTCTGACAATGTTTAAAACCAGGTTAAAGACAGTTCTGTTTAGCTGTGCTACAACTGAGGGATTTTATATTTTTATCTTTCTTTTTAATGTTCTGTGATTATTTATGATTTTAATGCTTTCTTATTTTGTTCAGCACTTAGAGTTGCCTTGTGTATGAATTGTGCTATACAAATAAACTTGCCTTGCCTTGATCTGGTTAAAATGTTGCCAAAAATATATTTGTCAATCTTTTCTTTTGATTTTATCCAAACTATCTCTTTGAAAAGTCTCTGTTAACCCTAACCCCATCTATGATAGTAATTTTAGTTTTTGAGTTATAACCTTTAAAAGTCCTTTAACACTTCACTGCGAACACACTCATTCTCGTCAAAGAATCAAACAAACATCTTTCACATCACTTCCTTGTGTCTATGTCACGGATTGAGGAGATACTATGATAAACAAACCCTGTTGCACTGGGGGCTCTGGGGCTCTGTCCTGGGCCTGAGCTCGGGGACTGTCCCGGTGTCTGCTGCCGCCCCGGGACAGTCCGCCTCTGAGCCGTCCTCCGTCATCAACATTCGCTCTAAAACACAAAACACAAACAGAAACACCAATATTGAACTCTGAAACAGACTCAAAAAGCAGAAATAGTTAAGAATAAGGTAAAAATGCATTAGTGTGTGGCATAATGTGAAGTATAAAGATTTCATGTGAATGAGGAAGTATCATGTTTGTGTAATTTTCTTAAAACCATTACTCATCATGTCGAGGAAAACACAGTAATAACAATCTAACATTATGGACATTTTCAGAAAACCTCACCCAGCGTCGACGGCTTCTCTGGGCTGAGGGCTGCTGTTGCGGCTTCTGCTATTTCGCCTCCTGATAAAAGAAAATATATTAAATGTGGAAAGAACAATGAACAACACACACACATACACACACACACACACACACAGAGACACACACACAACTTTAGGTTGGATTATATGTGGAAAGGTTTTTGATGAAGGAGTATTTTGTTCTAACCTGTGGATCTACAAACAGAAGCACGTGTCTGAAAAAGTTCCTTCTCAATAATTAAATACTATTAAAATATAATTGAGTTCATTCCATATTCTGAAACATTCTTGTAAATGTAATGACCTCCATATTCGACAATCCAGAGAATCCCAATCAGAAATTTTAATAAGTCAAATTTAAAATACCACTAAATAATGGTAATAATATTACTATAATAATATTACTACTACTCCTAGTAATTATTTGTATAGAGCCATTGTGTGGGTTTCTCTCTCTCCCCACACAGAGAGCGAGGTCGCCCGAGGTCACCCGGAGGAAACCAACACAGACACGGGGAGAACATGCAAACTCCACTCAGAAAGGCCCTGCTCCGACCGTTATTCGAACCCAGGACCTTCTTGCTGAGAAGCACTCAGTACAGTGGCTGTACTTCTACTACTCTGTTCATAATGACCTACTACTACTACTACTACTACTACTAATACTAATACTACTACTGGGGATGAATGTAAACTAAATTACAACCCAGCAGATGTTCATGGCTGAAGACAAGTATAAACAGTTAGATGTGGAGTTGAACCTGAGGCTGTAGATCTAACCTGTGGATCCTTCTTACCTGAGCGAGAGCCTCCCGAACAGGCCGGACCCCAGACCGGACGCCAGTCTGACTGAATACCACAAACTCACTCAGAGACAAAAAAAGATGTGACTTCTGCCCGAGCAGCTTCTATTCTGAAAGCTGCAAACATCGATCACCGTTTTACGCCTTCACACAGACCTCAGTCACTTCCTGTGCTACTTCTCTTTACTGCTGTGAAACACACTGTCACTCTACAAACTGTAATCTTAGAGAGTATTCTTTGGTATTGATTTGGTAACCTACAGTCATGATCTTTCCACATAAGTGTGTTTGAGGAAGCTTTATTTAATCACAGGTCATTATCAGGCCAAGTTTTACAGTTCAGTACATTACTCTTCAAAAGGTTTCACTCTTGGATAAATGAAGGCACACGTGAATCAACTTTCTGTCTGTCCATGAGATTGTAGCTGCTCAGATAAAACACCGGTATCTGTATTGATGCCATTGTCGGACATTTTGATTCATTGGTTGATGGTTTGATGCTGTTGATTAAGCCGATATCTAGACTGGCCTTTTCAAATGACAAAATAAGTCTATTTACTGGTGGATATTGACTCAGACCATTTTGCTGAATATTTCCAAGATATTGGTTAATATTGAAAGTCAAATCTTCGGTATTGGACATAAAAAAGTGGTGCATCTCTTGGAGCCGCTGTGCACAGGTCTCATGAGTGTCATAAAGTCCTGTTTTCTGCCCAAGTGCTGCCCCCTGCTGGTGTGTTACACTTTAGAACACTGAATTAGGTTCTTGTTGATTTCATCCAAGTTTCGACAACCTGAGAAAAACATGTTAAATACATATTCAATGCAAAAGTTAGAATAAAACGTACAGTAATGATTAAACCGATGTACCTGACAGTGCCATGGACAGACGGAACTCATCATTTAAGATTTGTAGGACTTCTCTTACTCCTTCTTCACCCTAAAATAAGAATGTATTCATATCTAATTCATATTCCCAAGATTTGGTTTGAATGCTATGCTATGCTATGTCCATGGAAATGACACAGTTATTAGAGAAGTGGGAGCAGTTTCTGACCTTGTAGGCTAAACCCCAGATGGCCGGGCGTCCGATGAACACACACTTGGCTCCTAAAGCCAGAGCCTTGAGGACGTCACTGCCGGTCCTGATCCCTCCGTCCATATACACTTCTATCCTGCCCCGCACTGTGTCCACGATCTCTGTGAGTGCATCAATCTGTGGAACGTCAAAGGGAAATGGGTCAGTTTTTTAGTATTTAAATCTAAAGATATAAGAAGAACACTGTCTAAGAACTGAAAACTTGTCAACAGGACATTACAGCTCAATCCTGGAAGAATAATAAAAATGCTTAGGAATAACTGTGGCATATCCTTAAACATATGTGCTCGCTGCCCCCTGCTGGCCTGTAGTGCATGTATAATCTTTTAGAGTGCTAGGTCTTTTAACATGATTGATGACAAATATATTTTTATCAATATGCAGTTATTTTTTAGGCATTTTTCCCCTGTTTATATAAAAAGTTAATTAAACCATTTGCATAGAAGTATACACTCAGATAAACACACACTTGGAGCTGAAAAGGCACTTCTGTTGTTCACTATTTAATGAGTATTGAGTGCTTTGTGTGTGTGGAGAGTTCTACTTACATCAGGCATGTCCAAACTCAGGCCTGCGGGCCAATTGCGGCCCTCTGAGCCATTTTAATGGCCCTTCTGCTGCTAACCCAAAGTCGCCATTGAGGCACTTTGACAGTGTCATCCAGCCAACTTCAGCTCCACCAAAACAGTCATGTTATACCTTGTTGTAAATCTTAGGCCCTGTCCACACGAAGTCAAGCTCAGGCCTAAACGCAAAAATACTTTATCAATCCAGTGTATCGTCCACACGAGGCCGGCGTTTTGGGGGGGTGTAAACGAACATTTTTGAAACTAGGTCCCAGAGTGGAAAGATTTCAAAACTCCGTATATGCCGCTCCGTGGTTACTGCCTCTCCGCAATGTATCTGAGACGCTTGCGTCATCGCCCCGCCTCTTGTTAAAGCACGCATGCGCCGCACTCAGAAAATAATGACAACAACAATGTAGCTTGTTGGTTTTGTAATCCAGTGCGACCCGAAGCAACAGTTCAACCTCATCGTCCGTCCATACTAATGTAGTACCAGCTCGCCCACTCGCCATGTTGTCTGTTTACAAAATTCCGCGCATGCCCAGTTCCCGTCACGGAAGTTTGGGCTTGATCCCGTCATTGCGTCACAGCGCCACCAACAGGTCTGGCATAGTTTCACAGCGTTTTCAGGCGTATTGACTACATTCATATGGACGCACACATTTACTGAGCTAACTCCGTGTTTACAGAAAAAGTTTCTGAAATTATAAGCGTTTTGTCTTCGTGTGGATATAGCCTTAGACCCTCTGGAATCCAGTCGTTTACTCTATTGTTATTTACTGACATTTGTTTTATGATTGTGTCACAACATTCCAAATAAAATACAGCTGTGGATCAATGAGGACAAATCAAAACCCATTTTAAATTCCAGAATCCAGTCAATCCAGCTCGTATCCAGGTTTTGTATCCATGTTTTTCGGCCCCAGGTTAAGTCTGATGAACTAAAGTGGCCCTCCTACTAAAAGGTTTGTACACCACTGACTTGCATATAATGACATGAATGTACTGTTATCCAAATAAAAGTTAATGAAATGTATTTTACCGAGGCAGGTCCCCCATCCAGCTGCCTTCCTCCGTGATTGGACACGATGATGCCTTGGACGCCGTGCTCCACCGCCAGCTCTGCGTCCTCTTTGGTCAAGATGCCTTTGATGATGATGGGCAGGAGAGTGATGGACTGCAGCCAGTACACGTCCTTCCAGCTGATGGAGGGGTCCAGGGTGTTGGCAGGGATCCCGTACTCCTCTGGCCCGGCCCGCTCTTGCTGCAGGTAAAACAAAAGATTAGGAGAAACTATATACAATACACACACAAAAAAATCACAGGTATAATTATCATTTAATGCAGGAATGTCAAAGTCAAATACATCAGCGGGCCAAAAAGAATATTTTGCCACAAGTCGAGGTCAGGACTGGAGGATATGACCTGTTGAACCAAGACCTAACACAGTGGACTGTGTTTCTCACAGACAAAAACAAACTTCCTTCAAAGAGAAAACACTGAATATTAAATTAATAATACAATATTTTCTTATGGCTCTGTGCGGCCTGTTTTAATACTGATCAAATATCATCCGGGGCCCAGATGACTCTTTCGCGGGCCGTATCTGGCCCCCGAGCCTTGACTTTGACATCCGTGATTTAATGAATTGTTCTAAAGATCTAATTACAAACATTGTGTCAATAAATTACTTTCTTTAATGGTTATAACTTAAAGAAATCTAGTGGCTTTTAAAAAGAAATGTGTCTCAAAAAATTGCATTTGTTCCACATCAGAGCTCTCCTCCCTGTAGCTCCCTTTCAGGTAGCTCCCCAAAGGATTTAGAATTTCACATATGATCTTGAATAATTCACTTTTGAGTAATTGGAAATAAGTACAAATAAGTAAGTATTTACTTGTGTTACCGTCTGCTAGTTGCACACTGGTGCGGGTCAGAACTACATTGGAGCTTATATTTACACACACATACATACATGTATTGCACACACACACATACATATACACACACACAGACATATACACACATACATACATGTATTGTACACACACACATACCGGTCTGTCGCTCCTCTGTGTCACGGAGCCCAAAGCATTCTTGCAAATACACGGCTCCAGTCAAACCACATGGACCATGTTTGTGCTGCTGGTCCTTGGCATCAGCTCCACACTGATCACTTTTAAACTTTAGCGGAGACCTGCGAGACGCGGCTCGTCACTCGCTGCCCTGACCATGTGGACGAACTGTCTTTTGCTTAAAAATGCTTTAAGCCGCAGCACAGCAGAATGGGAAGATTAAAACAGCAGTTCTCTGTGCGCAAAGGTGCCGAAGCTGTTGCGGGTTTTGGTGCCGCTGTCTCGGCTCTGATCCAGTAGAACGCAGAGCTGCACTTATGAAAAGTACGCGGCTCGAAATGGCTGTTATTTCAAAGAACGTGGACTATTTTAAACTACGCGGTTAACCGGTTTCAACCGGTTAATGAGGCTCGGTGGTCGGTCATGAAAATTCATAGTTTTTTACATCCCTAGTTCAGTGTAGGCAGTGTAATGTATTCTGTAAAACGTAGCTCTCTGCCTCTTCTGTATAAACGTAGCTCTCTGCCTCTTCTGTATAAACGTAGCTCTCTGCCTCTTCTGTATAAACGTAGCTCTCTGCCTCTTCTGTGTAAAACGTAGCTCTCTGCCTCTTCTGTATTAGTCTCTGCCTCTCTGTAACGTAGCTCTCTGCCTCTTCTGTGTAAAAGTAGCTCTCTGCCTCTTCTGTATAAAAGTAGCTCTCTGCCTCTTCTGTATAAAGTAGCTCTCTGCCTCTTCTGTATAAACGTAGCTCTCTGCCTCTTCTGTATAAACGTAGCTCTCTGCCTCTGCTCTCTGCCTCTGTATAAACGTAGCTCTCTGCCTCTGTATAAACGTAGCTCTCTGCCTCTGTATAAACGTAGCTCTCTGCCTCTGTATAAACGTAGCTCTCTGCCTCTGTATAAACGTAGCTCTCTGCCTCTGTATAAACGTAGCTCTCTGCCTCTGTATAAACGTAGCTCTCTGCCTCTGTATAAACGTAGCTCTCTGCCTCTGTATAAACGTAGCTCTCTGCCTCTTCTGTATAAACGTAGCTCTCTGCCTCTTCTGTATAAACGTAGCTCTCTGCCTCTTCTGTATAAACGTAGCTCTCTGCCTCTTCTGTATAAAAGTAGCTCTCTGCCTCTTCTGTATAAAAGTAGCTCTCTGCCTCTTCTGTATAAAAGTAGCTCTCTGCCTCTTCTGTATAAAAGTAGCTCTCTGCCTCTCTGTATAAAAGTAGCTCTCTGCCTCTTCTGTATAAACGTAGCTCTCTGCCTCTTCTGTATAAACGTAGCTCTCTGCCTCTTCTGTATAAACGTAGCTCTCTGCCTCTTCTGTATAAACGTAGCTCTCTGCCTCTTCTGTATAAAAGTAGCTCTCTGCCTCTTCTGTATAAACGTAGCTCTCTGCCTCTTCTGTATAAACGTAGCTCTCTGCCTCTTCTGTATAAACGTAGCTCTCTGCCTCTTCTGTATAAACGTAGCTCTCTGCCTCTTCTGTATAAACGTAGCTCTCTGCCTCTTCTGTATAGAAGTAGCTCTCTGCCTCTTCTGTGTAAACGTAGCTCTCTGTCTCTTCTGTATAAACGTAGCTCTCTGCCTCTGTATAAACGTAGCTCTCTGCCTCTGTATAAACGTAGCTCTCTGCCTCTGTATAAACGTAGCTCTCTGCCTCTTCTGTATAAACGTAGCTCTCTGCCTCTTCTGTATAAACGTAGCTCTCTGCCTCTTCTGTATAAACGTAGCTCTCTGCCTCTTCTGTATAAACGTAGCTCTCTGCCTCTTCTGTATAAACGTAGCTCTCTGCCTCTGTATAAACTTAGCTCTCTGCCTCTGTATAAACTTAGCTCTCTGCCTCTGTATAAACTTAGCTCTCTGCCTCTGTATAAACTTAGCTCTCTGCCTCTGTATAAACTTAGCTCTCTGCCTCTGCTCTCTGCCTCTGTATAAACTTAGCTCTCTGCCTCTGCTCTCTGCCTCTGTATAAACTTAGCTCTCTGCCTCTGTGTAAACGTAGCTCTCTGTCTCTTCTGTATAAATGTAGCTCTCTGCCTCTGTATAAACGTAGCTCTCTGTATAAACGTAGCTCTCTGCCTCTGTATAAACGTAGCTCTCTGCCTCTTCTGTATAAACGTAGCTCTCTGCCTCTTCTGTATAAACGTAGCTCTCTGCCTCTTCTGTATAAACGTAGCTCTCTGCCTCTTCTGTATAAACGTAGCTCTCTGCCTCTTCTGTATAAACGTAGCTCTCTGCCTCTTCTGTATAAACGTAGCTCTCTGCCTCTTCTGTATAAATGTAGCTCTCTGTCTCTTCTGTATAAAAGTAGCTCTCTGCCTCTTCTGTATAAAAGTAGCTCTGTCTCTTCTGTGTAAACGTAGCTCTCTGCCTCTGTATAAAAGTAGCTCTCTGCCTCTTCTGTATAAAAGTAGCTCTCTGCCTCTTCTGTATAAAAGTAGCTCTCTGCCTCTTCTGTATAAACGTAGCTCTCTGCCTCTTCTGTATAAAAGTAGCTCTCTGCCTCTTCTGTATAAAAGTAGCTCTCTGCCTCTTCTGTATAAAAGTAGCTCTCTGCCTCTGTATAAAAGTAGCTCTCTGCCTCTGTATAAACGTAGCTCTCTGCCTCTGTATAAACGTAGCTCTCTGCCTCTGTATAAACGTAGCTCTCTGCCTCTGTATAAACGTAGCTCTCTGCCTCTGTATAAACGTAGCTCTCTGCCTCTGTATAAAAGTAGCTCTCTGCCTCTGTATAAACGTAGCTCTCTGCCTCTGTATAAAAGTAGCTCTCTGCCTCTGTATAAAAGTAGCTCTCTGTCTCTGTATAAAAGTAGCTCTCTGCCTCTGTATAAACGTAGCTCTCTGCCTCTGTATAAACGTAGCTCTCTGCCTCTGTATAAAAGTAGCTCTCTGCTTCTGTATAAAAGTAGCTCTCTGCCTCTGTATAAAAGTAGCTCTCTGTCTCTGTATAAAAGTAGCTCTCTGCCTCTGTATAAAAGTAGCTCTCTGCCTCTGTATAAAAGTAGCTCTCTGCCTCTGTATAAACGTAGCTCTCTGCCTCTGTATAAACGTAGCTCTCTGCCTCTGTATAAAAGTAGCTCTCTGCCTCTGTATAAAAGTAGCTCTCTGTCTCTGTATAAAAGTAGCTCTCTGCCTCTGTATAAAAGTAGCTCTCTGCCTCTGTATAAAAGTAGCTCTCTGTCTCTGTATAAAAGTAGCTCTCTGTCTCTGTATAAAAGTAGCTCTCTGCCTCTGTATAAACGTAGCTCTCTGCCTCTGTATAAAAGTAGCTCTCTGCCTCTGTATAAAAGTAGCTCTCTGCCTCTGTATAAACGTAGCTCTCTGCCTCTGTATAAACGTAGCTCTCTGCCTCTGTATAAACGTAGCTCTCTGCCTCTGTATAAAAGTAGCTCTCTGCCTCTGTATAAAAGTAGCTCTCTGTCTCTGTATAAAAGTAGCTCTCTGCCTCTGTATAAAAGTAGCTCTCTGCCTCTGTATAAAAGTAGCTCTCTGTCTCTGTATAAAAGTAGCTCTCTGCCTCTGTATAAAACGTAGCTCTCTGCCTCTGTATAAACGTAGCTCTCTGCCTCTGTATAAACGTAGCTCTCTGCCTCTGTATAAAAGTAGCTCTCTGCCTCTGTATAAAAGTAGCTCTCTGCCTCTGTATAAAAGTAGCTCTCTGCCTCTGTATAAACGTAGCTCTCTGCCTCTGTATAAACGTAGCTCTCTGCCTCTGTATAAACGTAGCTCTCTGCCTCTGTATAAAAGTAGCTCTCTGCCTCTGTATAAAAGTAGCTCTCTGCCTCTGTATAAAAGTAGCTCTCTGCCTCTGTATAAAAGTAGCTCTCTGCCTCTGTATAAAAGTAGCTCTCTGTCTCTGTATAAAAGTAGCTCTCTGTCTCTGTATAAAAGTAGCTCTCTGCCTCTGTATAAAAGTAGCTCTCTGCCTCTGTATAAAAGTAGCTCTCTGTCTCTGTATAAAAGTAGCTCTCTGCCTCTGTATAAACGTAGCTCTCTGCCTCTGTATAAACGTAGCTCTCTGCCTCTGTATAAACGTAGCTCTCTGCCTCTGTATAAAAGTAGCTCTCTGCCTCTGTATAAACGTAGCTCTCTGCCTCTGTATAAACGTAGCTCTCTGCCTCTGTATAAAAGTAGCTCTCTGCCTCTGTATAAAAGTAGCTCTCTGCCTCTGTATAAACGTAGCTCTCTGCCTCTG